CCACTCCATCCACTACTACGACGGCGACGACGGGCCAGGAGCAGCAATACCAGCATCCACAACAACAACAACAACAGCAACACTCTTCTGGCTTTGGCAAGGGCGTCGACCCCTTTTCGGCCCTCAGCGCTCCGCCAAGCGCAAGCGCACCTACGGCATCTCCGTTCCAGAGCTTTCTCAACTCGTTATCGTCCTCCGGTGCTGCTGGCTTGGCGACCGCATTAGATCCCCTCGGCTACGCGCGACAGGCTGCATTCAGCTCCAGTTTGGATGCGGCCAACTCGGATGATTTGCCGTTTGACACCCTTTCCTTGAAAGCCAGCAGCGAAACAAGCTCTGGCGCAAACCTGGCAGACTCGGGCATGCAATTCATTGCCTTGCTGGATGACGATGAGGCTGCGCTATTGCAGTCGTCACTGGCGAGCGGCGTACTATCACACAACCCACTAAGTGCCTTGCCGGACATGGTTGTTGATGCGACACATCCACATCCTCCGGGTGCCATTTCCCAAGCCCCCGTTGCCATGCCAAACGCTTCATTCACGGCCGCAACGTCGGGTGGCGCTGGGCAGGAGTTCTCACCGGCCAATTATCTTGCCCACGAGTTGGTGAGCCATCCCAAGCAGCATCTCCCGTTCTCGCACCTGCTCAGGCAGCTGCAGCAGCGCGAGAGCCAGCGCATGCTCGAGCCGGCACCGCAACCACCGAGTGGACAGCGGCAACCGTCGGGCTTGGAGCCCATCTCGCCCACCGCAAGCTCGTCCCTCGCCTCGTCGCCCTCGTCGACAGACGCTGCGGACGAAAACGACCGTCGGCTCACTATTCCCCGGATTCCGCGGCCCATCCCATACATTTCAGAGAACGAACTGCGGTGCAAGAATGTGTTTGTATTCATGCCAGACTTCCAAGGCGACCCTGTCACGGACTTTTTGAAGGGTTCGTCCCGCAAGACCAGAGCGCTCATTCAACGAAGCGAATCAGCCTTTGGCGTTACTAGCGAGCTGTCTTCCAGCCTGATCAGCAGACCAAGCTCACCCATCTCCGACCTTTCCAGTAGTAGCAAAGACGGTCGGTGTGTCAAGGTTTTGTGCGCAGACCAAGCATGGTTCCAAGCTGGCGATATCTCGGTTCAACGACTGCTTGCGTTGCTGGCAGACATGCGCAAGACTATTCTCATGTATCGCAGCAACAAGCGCAACCCGGCCCTCAGACAGTCGCTCATGACTGGCGTGCGCGAATCGCTGCTGCTGTGGGAGCGCATCCGACCGAAATTCTTCTCGTCGGGCGCCATTCCACGCTACGTGCCCGGCGGCGGTGTCGACGAGCGTGGCATGGCATGGCCCAGCTGTGTCTGGGACATTAATGCGCAAGTTATTGATGCGAACGACGCTTTGTGCAAGCTTTCGGGCTACTCGTTCCAAGAAATTATCGAAGACCTTCGCATGCTCTGCAGTCTTCTCGACACACGCGACGCCGCCCTCGCAGCGCTCTGCCACCTCGTGTCTGTGCATTCTCGCGTGGCATACTACGAATGCTCGTTTACCTTGCTCACGCGGTCTGGGTTTTCCGCGCGCATCCGGCTCAAGGTGCACATTGTGCGCTCCGAGCCTGATGGTATTTACTTGCGCTCCGTGGGCTACTTCCACCTCGAGTAGTGGGATTAGATTCAGAAGTTGGTGCTTGTCAAGTCGAAACGTGCGACGACATGCAGATGTCATTTCATTCAGGCGTAAATTTTGATGTTTTTACAAAGACACACAAACAACACGAAAATACACTGTTGAGCAAAACTATTCCCATTGAAGCGTTCTTCTTGCTCTTCGCTGCACGATTCTTAAGCCATACGCGCGCCGCCTCCAAATAATAACTAGCAAAGGCTCGCTCGGCTCGACAAACTCAGTCTCAATTCTGCACAAAAAAAACCATGTCACGCGTCCCCGACAAGCTGGGATTTGACTTTGTCCAAACCAACGGGCATGTCCAGTACGCTACTACTACTGCACAATAAACTCCTCGAGCTCTTGCATGGACCGAGATGCAGAATGTATTCGTTAGCAATCGAGTGCGAATCTCACCAATTCTCGTTCTCAACAACACCAGATACGTCTGGCGCAATGGAAAGTGGTCTGACGACGCCGAACTGCAAGCATCGCCGTACGTCCGTGTTCACATTGCAGCGACTGCGCTGCACTATGGCCAGTCCGTGTTTGAAGGGCTGAAGGCGTTCCGCTGTCGGGATGGGCGAGTTCGGGTTTTCCGCCCAGACCGGAACGCGGCGCGGATGGCAGAGTCTGCAGAGCGTCTGATGATGCCTGTTGTGCCGACAGACGTGTTTATCGCCGCCATTGAGCGTTGCATCCGCGCCAACGCCGACTTCATCCCGTCCTATGAGCACGGCGGGTCGCTCTACATCCGGCCAATTCTGTTTGGCAGCGGCGCGCGAGTGCCGCCAGAGCCTGCAGACGAGTACACCTTCATTGTGTACGTGGTGCCGGTTGGCGATTACTACGCTGGCACGAGTGCAGTGACGGCGTTGGTCGTTCGCGACGCCGACCGCGCTGCTCCGCTCGGTGTCGGCCATGTCAAGGCCGCCGGCAACTATGCTGCAAGCATGGAGTCGACACTGAGCTCGAAAAAGAAGGTAACGTGTCGTCCGGAACAGAGCTAGGAGGCGTTTCGGGATGGGGACACCCGTTTGTGCAGTAATTCTCGATCAAACCGAACAAGATTGCTCATCCATTTTGCGAACGGCCGTGGTTTGTTTTCTTTCTTTTGCTCTTGACTGCCACACACCACTTTTTTTTTTGGCTTGGAACAGGGCTACCCATTGAGCTTGTATCTCGATCCGCTTCACCACAAGTACATTGACGAGTTCAGCACGTCCAATTTTGTCGCCATCGACGCCAACGGCCACTATGTCACACCCGAGTCACGGACCGTTCTCCCAAGTATCACCAACGCTTCTCTGATGCAACTATGCGCCGACATGGGCATTCCAGTAGAGCGTCGCCAAATTGCAATTGAAGAAGTGGCTCGCTTTGCCGAAGTGGCGGCATGCGGCACCGCCGTTGTGCTCTCGCCTGTCAATCGTATTGTCACGGATGCCGATGTTATTAGCATCGGCACTTTAACCATTGGGCCGGTACGTGCAGCACGTGACGAATGATTCAATATTCAAGGCGAATGATGAATGATGAGTTGAAACCAGTGCTTTTTGATCGAATCGTCTCACTCTTTGGATTTCTTCAGATTATGAAGCGACTCTACGACAGACTCAAGGCAATTCAGCGTGGAGATGAGCCTGATCCGTTCGGATGGATGCATGTCGTGCCCAACGTGTGAATAAACTGTGCGAAACTGCGGTTTTTTTTTTTTCAATCTCCAACATCTCAGTACCATCCTTCCAGCAACATACACAACGGAGCAAAAAAATTACACTTTTACAAACTACCATACATCACACCACTAAAACCAAATGCGGTCGCAGTCTTTTGCTTCCAGCTGCTCAACGTCTCACATTTCGCACCCGCTTCTCAACGTCCAATTGTTCTTTCTGCTGCTCTCCGGTTTTTTTGCTCTCAATCCAATTCCACGCTCTCACACAAAACAATCTGATCAATGTCGCGATTGACCCAGCCAGCTGTTGCAGTGGCAGTCGCATCGTGCCCTCGCGTGCCTCGAGCACAAATCCCAGCGGACCAGCAGGTGAAAACGCCCGAAGCTGTCACATCCATCAACGACGCGCGGCCCAAAGTCGCCCCATTTCGCAAGCTGGGGCTTCTCGGGAAGGGCAGCTTTGGCACCGTCTACCTCGTTGAGACAATCTCCGACGGCGAGCGACTTGCCGTGAAGGAAATTCCCTGTGCTCGCATGGAGCGGGACGAGAAATCCAAGGCGCTACGGGAATTGCAGATTTTGCGCAAGCTGGTGCACCCGCACATTGTCAAGTACAAGGGAGCCTTCACGAATGCAGGGTCTTTGATTATTTGTATGGAGTACGCAGATGGCGGTACGTCGAAGCATTCTGGAGACTTGGTGGCTCACGTCGTGGTTGGCAGTGACGAGTGGTTGATGACTGCCAAAATTGTCAACGTCCAAGTCTCACCCAACTTGAATTTTTCTTTGTGCACAAAATCGCCATTGTACAATAGGCGACATGCATCAGCGCATCAAAGAGCGTCGCGGAATTCACTTTGGAGAGCAGGTAAGTGCGGTCCAGCCACAAGAGAACAGCAGCAGCAGCAGCAGGAGGAACGAGTTTGTTTTCGACTAACTCTCTCCTCACCGTCACAGCAAATTGTTAGCTGGTTGTTCCAACTCGGAGAAGCACTGTCGTATCTCCACGGAAGGCGAATTCTCCATCGAGGTACACACTGCGCGGAAAATGCGCGGAAAATCCATTTGACTTACCTCAAGCAAAACAAAGAAACCCACAAACTCACCCTCGCTGCTGCGCATAGACTTGAAAACACAGAACATTTTCTTGACCAAATCCGACGTGGTCAAGCTGGGCGATTTCGGCATCTCTCGTGTTCTCAGCAACACGCACGATCACGCGCGAACGCTTGTGGGAACCCCATATTACCTGTCGCCGGAAATCTGCGAGTCAAAGCCGTACGATTTCAAGTCCGACATGTGGGCCCTGGGTTGCGTCCTATACGAGATGGTGACGCTCAAACACGCATTTGACGCGCAATCCATCCGCGCCTTGGTCCTCAAAATCCTGACAGGTCGATATCCGCCCATACCAAGGTAACCAGCCTTCTTTGGATTCACCTTCAACACTTTCGCCTTGCATCCTGCTCTCGATAGGCGGGCGTACCTTTGATGGTTGTTTCCCCTCACCGCCCTTGCTGCTTGAAAAAAACTCTAGCTTTTACACACCCCAACTGGCTCTCGTCGTGGACAAGTTGTTGCATCTTCATCCCGAGTACCGGCCAACAGCCCAAGCGCTCCTGACAGAGACTCTCTTTGAACACGAAGTCTACGTGGCAGCACGGCCGCTTGAAAACGTCTCACGATCCGAGACTGCTGCCTGCTCGAGTTTAGGGGCGGCTTCGGGCCATGGGGAAGAACGCCAGCCTCCACGCACAACTCTCGCAACCGACCACCCGCAACCAGAACCTTTCGTTCCCATCGGCCACGAGTCCAAGAAGACTCGATGCGCACCTGATACGCTGCATACCCACGCACACCAACCCCAACCCCAGCACGAGGTGAATCACCCTGCCAGAATGGCGGAAAGCAACAGCGCGAAATGCCCCTCATCTCATCCGCAGGTGCAAAATTGGGCAGATGAAGATTCCGGATGGTCTTCACCCAACAGTAGCGGCCAAGCCAGCAGCAGTAGTAGTTGCAGCAGCACTGGTGGCGCGAGCAGCAGCAGCTACAGCAGTAGCAGCACTTCGCTGTCCGCAGAAACAGTGAGAAAGCTGCCTGTCGTCCCTGCTGTCGAGGCTCTCGACCTTGAGGTGGCGGAAATGATGGCCGGTATTTGGTCTGAGGCGGATCAACCAGATGGTCAACACGGAAGCTCTCGATTTCTACGAATCGAAGCGCTGCGAGCGTTTGTCGAAAACAAACTCGGCCTCGCCTTGTTCCGCCAGATCTACGGATTCATGTCCGATGTGACAAAGGATATTAGCGAGCAACACATTGCTGCCACGATCATGACGTTGCTTGGGCAACAGTCAAGCCTGTACAATGTGATTTTGCAGTTGGTCGCGTGCGAGCAGCGCATGTACAGCGCAAATGTTTGGCGAAAGTAGCTGACTGTATCTATCTACATTGAAAGTAAAAATACAAAAAAAAAACAATCACAAAAAGCAAGAAGAAATTAACAACGAATCATAACGAACGAACGCGAACACAGGAAACCAACAGAGGAATCAAACAAACAAACAAACAAACAAGCAAACAAACGAACAAACAAACAACAACAAATTCCGCACACAAAATCAAAGTGGAACTTTCATGGTTGTCAAGCAAAACGAATGGGGGCAAACCTCATTTCGGAATTCGTGAAACTTTGACACCCCGTTTCCTCCTCGACCAAACACCCACCCCCAACCAAAGCAGTAACTAGGGCTGCTGATTACGACGGCGTTGTCGGAGCAGGCTCGTCAAGAAATGGCCGGGACGGCGGGGTTCTTTCAAAGCCGTGTCGTCCTGCGTCAAGGGCACAGTGAGCACTTCGTAGGTGCGACGATCGAGGGCAATGATGGACGTAGCAAACGCAACGGTGCGCAGTCCAGGTAAAGATGACTGAGGTCGAGCAACTGTTGCGGCTGTTGCGGTGGCTGGCGCTGCGGATCGAGAGGGTGCTTCTTTTGCCGCAGTGTTCACCACAGGCTCAACGGCGGCATCCGTCGCTGCTTGCACACCCTCACCCGCAGGAATCGCATCGGAAAGATTGGCCTGCTCGGGAGCTCCAGGCGCATCGGAGGGCGAAGGTTGTCCAGGCTCACCAGCGACAGCGGCAGTGCCCTCTTCGGCAGAAGGACGGGGCGAGGCTTGGTCGTTCTCGACGGCGTCAGGCTCAGCTGAACTCTGTTGTGCAGGAGCGACGGGCTCTTTCTGATCAACAGAAGAAGCAGCGTCAGCATTGCCACTAGCCACAGCATCTTCATCGTGGCCAGTGCTCGACAACGGCGACGACGACGACGACGATGACGACGAAGAGCTGGCTCGACCTTCAGCGCCGGCGAGTTCGGTCAACGCAACATCGCCTGGCTCGCCTGGCTCTGCCTCATCGCCACCAAACGAGGTCTCAAGCAGCTCAAACTCGATGGACTTGTTTGAAGCAATGACCAATGGCGGCTTTCGCTCCCAAGAAGCAGCCATGGGTGCCAGAGCCGCCACGGCAGCCACGTTCCTGGCGACAGGATTGGCTGGCTTGCCGGCCACTGGGACGGGCGACGAAGTCGTGCCTGCCTGGGCGTTGCTGCCGGGACCGGGAAGCTCGACCAGAACCGTCATCGTTGTAGCCTGGCCATTGACCAGTGGTTGGTAGGCAATGGGCGCGAGCGCCAGTTTGCGATAGTTACCCATGGCTTGAGACATGATAACCCGGACGGACGACATTGGGCGAGATGCCATCTGACGCAGCTCGGTTTGCCGACGCGCGATAGCCAGACGCCGCGCGCGAGACATGCGGGCCCTCCACACAAGGAACATGACGGAGAGCAACAGGAAGAAGCAGGAGAAGAACACGGAGAAGAAGACAAACAGGTCGATCTGGGTCACACGCTGCGCAAAGTACACCATAAAAGTGGCATTGGAGGTGCCGTGCACCTGCAAGTAAAAGTGGGACGACAAAAAGTCGTGATCGAGGTACGAGATGACCAGATCCGTTCGGCGCGAGAGACCGGTCTGCACTTCAGTGTCGGCCTTCACCGCCTTGTCCGAGCGCGGCGACAGGTAGGTGGTCACCAATCCATCAAACACGTCCACGGTCAGGCGAATGTCCACGTTCGTGTACTTTGGCGAGATTGCATAATAGAGCGCCTCGCCGCGACCGACTTGGTCGGGACCCTGCAGCTCGCCCTCACCCAACACCAGGAAGCACTGGTTGCCATTCGTGGGCAGGCCCATGTAGCCTCGTGCACATTGCTCGCACTGAGTTCCTCGCGTGTTATCTTGGCAGTTGCACACGCCAGTGATGGCGTCGCACGTCGACGAGTGGCCATTGCAAATGCACGGTCCACAAATGACCGGGTTCTGGCCAAGTCGGGTGAATCCTGGCAGGCAAATCTGACACAGATCACCCGTGGTTGAGTTGTTGCAACCAGAGCAAATGCCCGTGGCGGGGTTGCACGACGTCGTGTGCTGGTTGCAATGAGAGTAGCACGAGGAGCACGACTGTCCGTTGACCGGGTTGCCGTAGTAGCCATCGCTGCAAACCTCGCATCGCAAACCGGCCGTGTTGTCCATGCAACGCTCGCAGACGCCGTATGTCTGACACGTGCTGTGGCCGTTGCAGCCACAATCCATGGAGCAGTTGAGACCAATGTAACCCCGGTTGCACTTGCAAACGTTGGGCTGCACGCACACGCCGAAAACGCACTGCTGGGCACAATAGGCGATGCACGTGCTGCCGCTCGGCTGGTAGCCAGGCAGGCACTGGCACTCGTACGAATCGGGCGTGTTGACGCAGACGGTAGAGTTGACGGGGCAGTTGGCTTGGCCGGTGAGACACTCATCAACGTCCGGACACGTGGCATAATTCCAAGTCGGAGGGGCGGTGCTGTTGCCAATGTAGGCGGGACTGGGCACCGTGCAATTGAGCCCGGGATCTGGACCCTCGCTGTTTCCGTTCAGGCAGCGGCCAGTGCCGAGGGCGCCAGGATCGGCACACCACCCGCACCGGAGGTTGCTTTGGCACTGATCGCACGTTTGGAAGACGCTGCAGTCTGGCGCGCACCGGTCGGGGACCTGACTCCACTCGAAACACTGGCCAAAGTCAAACACGCCCGTGTATGCATTAAAGTCCAGACAGGTGGAGGTCGATTCACACCACAGACAGGGAATGTTGCCGGTATTGTCTGCAAGAAGACACGTGGAGCAGTTCGTGTTGCTACTGCACGGTGCACGGCAATTGGCAATGTTGGTAATGGCGTTGGGAGGCGACGCGGTGGTGCAAGCGGAGCCAGTCCAGCTGCACTGGCCAGAAACGGTGCACTCACGGCAGCTTTGCTTGGCGGCACACGGATACAGGGGGCAAATGCCATTATAAGGGATGGACTGGCCCGAGGTGCACGTGGCATTCGCGGCCTGGCATTGTCGCGTGCCAGTGCACCAGGAGCAACCGGATCGCAGCGACGAGCAGGCCTCACACGAGATCGAGGCTGACGAGCAATCGATGGAGCAATCGCCATTGTTGGACGTCGTTTGGTTGCAGATGCTGGCCGTGTTGCTGCTGCTTGGGAGACACAGGGGTCCAGAGTAGTTGGCAGACAGGGGAGTGGCGCACCAAGTGCACGATGCGTCCGACAAGCATCGACCCATCGAGTACAGACTACACAGCGAGGCAGGTACCGACAAGGAGTGCACGTCTGCGCGGACGCGGCCGTCAAACCCGCCAATCAAAAGGACGCGTGCTGCAATGTCAGCGTCCCCGTCAAAGTTGGCGGGCACAAACACCAGTGCGTGGCCCAGACGGTTTGACATTGAGTTGGCAACGGTCACGGGACTGGACAGTGGCACGTTTGGCAGCGCCCAGACACGACACGACGGCGCGAACATGCTTACGGTGGCCGTCATGCACATCTCGAGCCAACCGTGGATGAAGGAACTGCCGCCGACGACAATCATGTACGAGCCGGTGGGTACAAACACGGCCGCATGGTTGGCGCTGGGCAGGACGTTCAGGCCGTCGGGAGAGACGCGGTCGGGCAAAGAGCGCCAGGCCTTCTTGCCAACAACAAACGAGTAGAGCCGTGCCGAGTTGGACGTGTAGATGAGATTGTTGTCGAGCAGCTGGATGCCTCCAAACACGATAATCTCGTCTGTTCCAGGAGAATACACGGCGGTGTGACCGTACATGCCAAGCGCGTTGACACCCACAGTATTGACGACGCGAACAGCACCCAGCGCAAAGCTGAAGGCAAAGACACGCGTGTTAAAGTTGGTCTGCGCTGTGCGGCCTCCGAGAATGTAAATGGTGCTGTCGACAAGGGTGGCGCTGTGGCCCGAAATGGCAGGAAGCAGCGTGGCGACCGGCAGATCGGTGGCCAACGACCCAGCGTGGAGCAGGTTCCAGGTGCGCGTCCCGAGATGAAACTCCCAGATATCGCCTACTGGCTGGAAGGGCTCGTAAGCCCAGCCACCAACCACAATTAGCGAGTCACGTTCGGGCGAAAGCACCATGGCGTGAGAGTGCCGGCCGCGCGGCACGGCGGCCGACGCGTCTGCGGGTTGGACTAAAGTCCACCGTCGCGAGCGCACGTCAAACTGCCACAAGTCGTTGAGAACCGTGTCGCGCTGGCCATAGCCGCCGAAAACAAAGACCGAGTTGCGAGAGGCATCGTACTGGGCAGTGTGACCGGCACGGGGCGGAAAATCAGTCGGCAGAATGATGCTCGCTTGCGCAGCGTTGGTTGCAGGGCCGACAATCACTGCCTGGTCTTGGCTGAGCGTGCTCCAAGTCAGCGCGGGGCTTGCGCTCGACACGTTCACACTGCAGTCGGTGCCACCCAGGTGGGGTGCGCAGCGACACACTCCACGCGACACATCGCACGCGTTCATGGACGAGAGCTCTGGATGACAACTGTTGGGACAAAGGGGCCGTTCACAAGCGACTCCCGCAAACCCAGGGTGGCACGTGCAGATTCCAACCGATGCCGTGCAATCGCCGTGCCCAGAGCAGTCATTCGGACATGCGGAAATGGCGTACTTGGCCTCGAAGCCACCGACAGTGTAGTTAATGTCGCTGTACATGACAACCAGCATTGTGCCAGAGCGGGCGACAATGATTGGGGGAATCACTGCCAGGCCCGAAAAGGAGCCAAGGAGCGGAGCACTTGTCGAGGATCCATCAAACACAAACAAGTAGTCAAACAGACACTCGCTGCCAAACGAGTAAAAGTCGAGTGTGATGGCCAGCGGCGTGAGGGATTGTTCAGAGACGATTTCTGCTGCTTCAGAGTCCGACCCGAGAATGCGGCGCGCAATCTCGCGCCCGTGATCGCTGTCAAGGAAGGGCGCGCGCTCCACAAACGCCTTCACTGACTGACTTTGTTGTTTGTTGATGTTTGTAGACCGCAAAGTCGTGGAGGCCGTAGCTGTATCCATGCCATCATCATCATCATCATCACCATCATCAAACCTGGCTCGCTCGGGCCGCGAAGCAACAAAATAGGATGCATTGGACACAGCCGAAGGCTCCGCCACAATGAGCCAGCTGCAGACGGAATCTGGCGGGTACACGCCGTTCGTACCGATCGCACCCTGGTCGAAGCGCAACGTTTTGCGACCGCTGCACGCCGCCAGACACAACTTGTTGGTTGCCGAGTAGTAAAATCCGGAAGCGCAGGCTGTGCAGGATGGACCCTCGTACGGAGGCAGACAGAAGCAAACACCAGTCACATTGTTGCATTCGCCAATGACAGTGTTTGCATGCCCGTTGCATGCGCAGGCCTGACATCCCGCCGGCTGAGTGGGAGTGCCGTACGAGCCTGGGATGCACTGGTTGCAGGATGGACCTGTGGTGCGGTTTTGGCACGACAAGCAAACATTTGGCGCGTCGGGGAGACAGTCGCTGTGTCCGTTGCACTGACAGGCGACTTGACACGAGGCACCAGTGTACCCGAACGGACAGTTGGTGCAATTCGACGGGGAGCTACAGACACCGCCGTTGCAGCCGCCAGGGCAGACGGGCTCGCAAAAGGTGCCGTTCCCAGCGTATCCGGCCTTGCAGACGCACTCAAACGTGGAAGGGACATTGACGCAGTCGGCGTGAACATCGCAATCGTCCAGCCCTTGGGCACACTCGTCAATATCGACGCAATTGAGTGCCGCCGTGCAATTCAGGACACCATTGCAGCTGCAGCTCGTGCGGCAGTCTGTACCAGTCCACACTGGATCACATTCACACGTGTTTGGTGCAACACACACTCCCATGTCGCCACAGGAGGGGCGGAGTGTTGGGTCGGAGCTGTTGGAGGACGGGACGGCAGAGCAATCTGGCGCACAGGAGACGCCGTCGCCCAGAAAACCGGGGTTGCACGTGCATGTGAACGAGTCCGGGGTGTTCTGGCAGGTCGCGTTGCTGGCGCAGTTGCTCAATCCCAGCGCGCACTCGTTAATGTCTGGGCAGGTAAACCAAGACCATTGGCGTGATGGATTGGCGGCGCATTCGGCCGTGGCACCCGACAGTGTTCCACCCATGCACACGCCGCCAAGGCCGTTGGTTGTGTTTGAGCACCAGCCGCAGGTGTCCTGGGCCAGACAGCTGCGACAATCGCCAAACCTACTACAATCCACGCACATGCTCGTGTCGGTGGCGTAGCCCGTGCCACACTGGCCAGCGGTGAACACGGCAACAAAGCTCGAAATTTCGTCGCACGTTTGGGTCGCCGGGCACCAGTTGCACGCTGCCGGATTGCCATTTCCGACACAAGTGGCGCAGGATGTAAAGTTACGACAAGGCGTGGGGCAGAAGGCAGGGGCGGTGACGGTGGCCGAGCTGTCAATTCCGTACTGCGAGGGGTAGCAGCTTCCATACGCCCACTGGCAGCTGGTGCTCGACGAAACACAGCCACGGCAAGTGAAATAGTTGCCACACAGCGGACAAGATTGGTCGTCCACTTCCAGGGCGTCTTGTGGGCACACGGACGTCGTGTTGGAGGCGGTCATTTGGAGTCCAGTCATTCGCTCTGCGCACCTACCAGTGGACTTGCACCACGCACACGAGGCGTCGGCAATGCAGCCTTTGCAGCTGGGGTGCGTGCTGCAGCTGACCGCTCCAGCAAGCGCGAGCGTCATGTTGGCACGCGTTGCGGTACTGTTCGAGGTGGACGAGTAGTATGGCACGAGGAATTGCGCAGAAACAACCGACGCTTCGGCCGACGTGGCGTTTCCGAACGCGTTTTGTGACGGCAGCAACCAAGCAACCGAAAAGTGATTGCCCCACTCTCCGCTTTGCTTGTTGATGATGGTGAAGAGGTATCGTCGGTTGGCAGCGAGGAAAACTGGCGCCGATTGCTGACTGGGTTGAGCCGTGTAATCGCGAAATGGGCTAAAGTAGTTGACACTGGCAATGTTCACAACGAGCGACATGTCGTTCGAGTCGGCAGCCGTGCTCAAGCCAAGCACAGAAGACATGGAGCTGGCAATGAAAAATGTGAAATTGCCCGTTTCCGGCGGAACAAGAAAGCCACGGACGCGCGTGCCCTGCGTGAATGCGTCGCCGTTCATATCCGCAGCAAGTTCTACGCTTCGGACGGTGACAATGTCTGGGTAGTCGGGGTAGGTGCTCAACACCGACATGTCCTGAACCGAACTGCCTCCGACATTGTACCACCGCTCTTGGGCGACAGATCCGTTCGTCACAGACGAAGAGACACAGGCCGCAAGGCCGACAACAATCGGGGCGGGTGCCTGACCAGACAGGGACGCGGGACAGCCGAGAACGGACGAGGCGTTCACGCACGTTGCGGTCGTTGCGCACCAACCGCAGTCTGAAAAGACGGTGCAGTCGCTGCAGAAACGCAGGGCCTCGCAGAACGATTGCGAGGCGTGGCCTTGGGTGAGGGTGGTCGGCAGCGCCATCGAGCAATTGTACCTCGCAATGTCCGTCAGCTGGATGCAGGCGGTCGTGACTTGGCTGGAGTTGAGCAAGCTCGAAAGAACGACATCTTGAGCAGTAATGTTGGGAAGAACAAAGCCGGATGCCAAAGTCGTGGAGCATGCAACGCAGGAAGGATTGCTCTGGCATTGCTGCATGACAGCGCCAGAGCCGACGTCTCCAGAGACCCCGGAGGCCAACGCTTGCTGCATGGCAGAGAGGCAGGGGTTTGTTTCTTCATGGTAAGCGACAGCATCCGAGAGAGCCTGGCCGTCAAACCCACCGACGAGGACTGCGTCAACGGCAGCCAAGGCGGGCGACACGGAGTCACGAACCGTCACAACACCCTGACCCATGCGTCGGCCTGGAAGGTATCGCGTGGGCGCGTCCGAGTTGTCTTCGACCGTGCGGAAGCGGTTCGAGTCAAAGTCAAAAGCAAAGAGGTCGTTGGTGAAGCATCGGTTGTCGTTTTCATTGTGCGACATGACGTAGCCACCCTGGATGTACATGCTACGTTCAGACCTTCCCAACCAAGCGCCGTGGAATGCACTGGCGCGGATGGGGTTGGACGGCAGGAGCTGAATCCATCGCATGTGGTCGACTTGAAGCACATACAGCGTGTTTAGGCGGTAGGAATACGACGAGGAGAGCGGACGGATGCCGCCGTACACGAAAATGCTGTGCAGATGCTCGACGTAGACGGACGAGTGGCCGTACACACCGGCGGCAATGAATCCTCGCGGTGTGCGTTGGTACCACCGGTTGGCAGCGATCGAGTACTCGTAAATGGACGTTGGAAAGGGATCAAACGTGGTTTTGCCACCAATGACAACCATAGAGTTGCTTGATGGAATGTAGGTGGCGCTGTGTCCCGTCAGTGGCGGCGGGGAAATCCCTCCCACGGCAGGAATGCGCTGCTCCCACACGCTGCGATTGAGACTGAGCACCCACACTTCGTCCGAGATGTGCTGGTCGAGCGTAATGCCGCCGTAAACAACCATCAGGTTGTCGGGCGTGAGGATGGCCGAGTGAGAATAGCGCGGCGACGGAACGTGGGCGGTAAAAGTGAGTTCTCGCGGCCGCGCGCGTGTGACCAAGTTGTACGCAACGACATTGCCGAGCAGCTGGTCTTCCTGAGAGTAACCGCCATAGACGAAAATCGTGTGGTTGAGTGGAGAGTACACGGTAGTGTGGAAGCCGCGCTCTGTTCCAGTGTTGCCCGACGAGGCGCCACCGACCAGCAGTGTCCACCCGTCGTTGAGGTCATCCACTGGCTGAGAGCAGTCCAGTCCGCCATACCCTGCGTTACACACACAGCCGTGGACAGTTGCCAGGTCGCACTGCCCTTGCCCGAGCGCAGCGGCGCAATTGTTGGGGCAGAGCTCGGTTTGGCAGCCTTGGTCGGCAAAGCCGGGATTGCATGCGCAGTGCCCGTTGGCCTGGCAGATGCCGCGGTCGCTGCAGTTTGCAGGACATGGGTTGATCGAGTAGCGAGCAGTAAAGCCCGCCGTCACGTAGTTAATGTCTGAAATGAGCACAACAAGCATGTGCCCCGACCGTGCGACCAAGGGTGCAACCGCAATCTGCCCGTTTAATGCGCCGAGTTTGGGCGACGTACTGTTGACTCCATCGTAAACGTCGACAAAGTCATACGCGCATTCCGTGTCGAACGTCAAGAATTCGAGCAAGATGGGCAGCGGCGTGCCGCCGTTGGCCAGTGCTGGCGCCTCAATGAGCCACTGGCATGTTGTGAATGCTGGGTATCCGCTGTCGCTGGGTGTGAACGTGCCAGACGTGGAATTTGCAATCAGGACACGCTGGCCGCTACAGTCAGCTGCAGCGCTTGGCGAGATAAGGGCGAGGAGGAGGAGCAGAGCCAAAGCAAGCATTGCCGAGCAGCTTCGAAAGAGGTGCTGCGGAGGTGCCAAGCGTTTTTGTCTTCGACTTGTCCCAGCTGTGTTTGCTGCTGGCATGTTCCGCGACGTTGTGGAGGAGGGACGGGCACCGGTGCACGGTGGCAGAGACCGCGACATGGTTGTGCGGTATAAACGTAGTAGATTCATGCACCACCGATTCCTCACGACAACAAACAAAAAAAACCCGAATCGGGTATAATAGAGCCGCCCCTTCTTGTGTCTTGACTCCTCTTGCTTGGCGGCGCAAACTCTAGAAAGGAGGGAGAGATGGAAGAGATGCAGACATTCAAGTGAGCGAAATTGCAAAGCAACGAGAGCTTGAAGCCCATCACCGCGCCACCCAAACGCAAAATCATGCCGCACAATCGACGAGTTGAACAATGATGAGTGCGTTTTTGGAACCGAGAGCGGGTTTTCGCTAACAGATCACTGTTTGGGGCAAGGCGAGCGCTGGGACAGCCCAAATCCGCCAATCGAAAGCGTAACGCTTGCTCCCACCCCCCTCGCTCTCTCTCTCTCTCTCTCTTCCATCTTGCCACTTCTTCCCTCTTCTCCCCTTGTCGCTTGCCGTGGGAAGGCGAGCCCAGTCGGGGAACACGTCTTCAAAAGGTAAAAGAATAAAAGGAAACAAAAAAAAAAAGGATCGGCGACCGCAGCCGACGACAAAGGACGAAGCGGCGGGGAGGGGGGAGGGACAAACGAGGGCGAGCGAAGAGACAGACAGAGAATGACAGACAGAGTGGCGTGGTCCACCATGCTGGAGAAAGGGGCCGAAAGGGGCAGCTCGCACAAACACTTTTCATGTGAAAAAGCAGCACAGCGGACGAAAGGGGGCCCAAAAGGCGAGAACGAGGGGGAACTGGTAGAGCACATGCAAACATGCCCGTGTGCATTGGAACATGGCTGGGAGAGCAGCCGCAATGCAATGGAGCAGCGAGCGAACGGACTGCGATTATTCAACAAAAAAAAAAAAAAATCCTTACTCGAAAAAAAAAAAAAAAATTTACAAGATTAAAAAAAAAAAAAAAAAAAGAAAAAAAAAAAAAAAAAGAATGATGATCACCACACAGTCCCGAGCATGAGAAAAAGATCGGCAGATGATGGAACAAATCTGGACCAACGTGCACACGGATGGACTGATCAAACCAGGCTTCAAACAATTCCGAAAACTCATGCTCATCGAATGCAGTGCAGTGCAAAATAGACGTGGAAATGACACGCACAGTGCTAGTAACAAAATCTCAATCCGAGTTCGAGCAGCCGCTCCCCCCCCCCGCTGTCCCTATGTATATTTGGGGCCACGCCGAAAGCAGGGGTTGCTCAAAGTTTGAGAGGTCGTGTTGAGGATCGACCGATCTAACTTTGAGTGTTCGTCGAGATGTTGCTGCGAAACCTCAAACCTAACAAATGGACTGCTCTCAGGCGTTGAAACCTCGCCACTCCAGATTCGAGCTCTTTGTACTTCCACTTTCGAGCACACGGGGTTGGAGAAGATGGCTGAGAGTGACCTCAACCCGAAAAAGTTTCCTCGTTCCATCAGTCTTTGTTTTCGTTCACTCTAATGGCGTTGAATGCAGCCTTCCTTCAAAATGGAGGCATCGTCACGCTTCCAGGCGAGCAGTATGTGGGATTTGCTGTTGTTTTGCTGCAGCGACTCTCCCAAATGCCACTTGATGGTGGCCTGCAGAGCTGGCGGCGACCAGCATCGAGCGTTGATGACGTGCATCGGGCCGTCTCCCCCCCCCCTCCTTACTCCCCACGTTTCCGAGTTCCAAAAGGAAGGCCTCCGTGGTAGTTGCTTTGTTACTCACTTGCCATCCTGCTTTGGCTTGGCTGCGATGGCCGCTGTAGATTCGCGTTTGATCGCGGCGGAATCGAGTTCTCCGTCACTGGAAGTCCGGGCGGCTCAAGCCAAGGGGCACCCGCAGGCTCCAATACGACCGTAGGGTACAATGGCAAGGGTCACATCTTCTTGTCAAACTTCCGGGTGAGAGACAGAGAGTCTTGCTTTTTGTTTCATGGCCAGTCACATTTTTGCCACCGAATCCGTCCCTGCACTCACCCCCGCTTCTCCCTTGAATCTTGAACCTCTAGATTGTCTTTTTGAATCAACCAGTCGTGCACAACTTTGAGTCGTTCGTGCTGCCTCTGCCGCACATCTATGACGCGACGCTAAAGCAGCCAATCTTTGGTGCCAATTTCTTTGCCGGGTTTGTCAACCCGCTTCCCGAAGGTACAGTGCTGTTCCCAATTCTGCAATGCTGCAGTGTCTAAGACCATCTTTGTGCATGAATTGTGCACACCCCGGAGCCCTTGGAGCGTCGGTTTAGAGCCAACGAATGGATTGCGACAACAATGAATGCGTCTGACTTACGGTTTTTTTTTTCGTTTCCATCTCAAACAGGTGGTCTGTCCGGAAAGGTCGAGTTCAAAATTTACTTCAAGGAGGGCGGAGCGACTGATTTTGCGACCCGTTTCCTGGCTGTGGCCAGAACCACCACTCGCGAGCGAGCACCAGGTCCGGGTGGCCCGCCATCGTACTATGCGGCCGCATCTCTTCATGGCGGTGGTATTGGCCCCGGTCTGCGCGCTGCCGGTGCGCCCGTGGGAGCCGCTGGCATGGGCATGGGTTTGGGCCCTGGCATAGGGTTGGGGATGCGCATGGGAATGAACACTCGTCCGGTGCAAGCCACTTCCCGACCGCCTCCCTCCTCCTCCTCCTCATCTCAAAGTGGAGTGCACCAGCCAGCGGGTGGGCCATCTGCACCGCCTCCGACTCCAAACCAGAAGGCTGTCGAGGCCGGCGTTCCGCAGTATCAAACCGAGCAACAACGAGTGTACGGCGCACACCCTCACCCGTATCAGTCCCAACCACAACCGTACCAACCCTATCCACCCTATCCTGCGTCCTACCCGCAGCAACAGCATCCACAGCAACCACCTCTGCCATACCCTGCACAGCATCTACCCTACCCTACCACCAACCAACAGCCGCAGCAGCAGCCCGTCCCGCCTGCGCCAGCGCATGCCGCACCCACGCCTTCTGCTGCGTCGCAAATACGACCCGACGACTTGCCTCCTCCGTACCAAGCTTGATCTGGGGGGGGGGTTTGGAAGACGCTCGATCTTGAATGCAATAATAACAGGCGATTGTTTCGTGTTCAAACACATGTCGTGTTCCAGACACTACTGTAAAATCCAGCTGCCAAATAAATGCAAAAGTCAAAAGAACCATTTAAAAAATTAAAACGCACACAATAAACAAACAAACAAACAAACAACCAAAAAAAGGCAAACCAACAACAAGACCAAAACCCCAAGGAAACAAGGAAAACAAAAAAACCAAAACAAACAAAATGGGTGTCAATTGCCAACAACTGCTAACGCGGGTTTGATTGGCGTTTAACTGTCGCTGTTATAGAAGAACTTGAAGAACAAGGCCAAAAAGATGATGCCAATCAGGACAAAAATGATGCCAAACAGGAGGACCTTGTTTTGCACCAACCTGCCAACGTGAAACGTGTACACGAGACAACAGCAAGTCGTGCAAAAGGTCAATCATCTCGAATCGCAAAGAGACAGAGAGCTGCTGGCCTGCACCAAACCACAGACGCAATCCAGAAAAAAAAAGCAAATCACATCCTTCATGAATTTCCTCCTGTACCTTCTTGACATTGACTTGAGCAGCCGCATGCTGCGGGCAAGCGAGCTATCGACATCGTGCACCTTGTTGGAAGCACCCTCAATGACCTTGCCTTGGCGATCGAGTTCGACCATGACGTTGGCGCCCATTTCTGTCGTTTCCTGAAGCATGCGCTGGCCTTCCACAAGCTTCTCGCTCGTTCGGGAGATGCGCTGTGTGGAGCTGGCGTACGCCTGGCGCTGATCGAGCGAGGTTGTGAGTTCGTCGTGTCGGAGCAGCTCGTCGCGCGCAGCCATGCCGCCGTCGACCGAGATTTCTGCCTTGCGCAAATCGCGTTCGATGCGCTCTGCCTCAGCCTTGTAGCTCGTCACGCGATTCTTGTACTTTGTGCGCTCTGAAGCGACAATCTCGCGCAACTCGAGGTCCATCGACGTGACCTGGCGAACGACGAACAAGTTGGAAACACAAGATCAGTCAAAGTGATTTGCAAATAATGGGAGCTGCCAATCCCGTCCAGGATTTGAAGGCCCAAAAACAAGCGCTTGGGCTCGATCAGCGGCTTCAGACCTGGACTTTAGTAATGGACGCTCAAAAGAAAGCAGGTTTTTTTTTTTTTTTTTTTTTTTTTGTGATTCCTTTACCAATTCTTGGACTTCGCGGAGCTCTTGTTGGGCGCGGCGGATGAGTCCACGCCGAACATCGCCTGTGGCGTTGGGGATCTCTGATGAGATGCGTCGGATGAGGTCGGCAGTGAGGGTGCCGAACTCGCGCTCGAACTGCGTGAACGAGTCCGTCATGTGGCAGCGAACTGAATGGAACAAAGAGAGAAAAAAAAAAAAAAAAAAAAAAAAAGAACAAAGGGACATGAAGGTCAGTGAGAAGGCCGGGGGGGGGGGTGAACAGCACAGAGCATCCAAGGTAATCAGCAGAGCAAAGTGGCGGTAGTTGATGAGATGCGGCTGCGCGGTGGCGGAGGGCGAGAGGCCGAAGCGAAACGATGACAAGGGCTTCGGTTTGTTCGGCCGTGGCTGAGCCGTGGTGTGCCCCTCAGTATTCGGGGACAGGGAGGCTTGAATTCAAAGGTGTCAAGATGATTCTGGCGCGCCGACAGAACCAGCGCCAGCAACACAGACGCGAAGGCCGAAACGAACGACGATTCAAAAAAAAAAAAAAATAAAAAAAAATAAAAGCAGGCTCTGCGTTCGGTCGCTTTCTTACCTCTGCTCAAAAACAAAAAGCACGAATGAGCCGAGACTGTGTGCGAATAATCGAGGTCTGGATTTATTGGACTACAAGAGAATGGGAACAGTGGTGAGTGGCATTCGCGTGCAACGGCGGCTCGAGGAGGCATGGGAACAATAAAAACAGACAAAAACAGACAAACAAAGCAAACGGCCGTTCTGAGCGACGTAGACTCAATCAAGCTCTAGGAATCTCAATAGCATGTAGCATGCATTCTCGAGTTCAAGTTAAGCGCGACAATTGTCGACTCAGTCCAAAGTTCCCAAACAAAAAAGCAGTGGGAATACAAAAATACAATAAAAATACAAAAAAAAAAAAAAGGCCGCCAATGGATCTACCATTGACAATGGCGACAGGCCCGCCACCTGGCGCTGCTGCGGCAGGCTCGCCAGCCAGCTTCCTCGCATCTCGAGGGGCAATTCCAATTCCACTGGCTCCGATGCCCCCTCCTCCGCCTGCTGCTGCTGCTGCTGCTGCGGCCGGGCCCGCCGCCGCTACAAACGAGCGAGACTCGACGCAGCAGCATGACGACGCGATTCCCGCCAGCCTTCGCGCGGCCCTGCGGTTGAACCTGGTGCTGTCCAACCACGTCGCCTGGAAGCTCACGCCAGAGGTGACCATTGCGAGAACACTCAGTTCGCGTTGTTGGTTGCTGCTGGTTGGCTGGAGACGCGCGCACTGGGGTCTCAATTCGTTTCGCATTGCAAATTCGCTCTCATTGAGATTGAAATTCTTGAACTCACATTTTTTTTCGGTGGGCTTGGACAGCACGCTGCGGTGTATCTGCTGACCTATGCTCGCATGATGCATCATGCCTCCGTTGGACCTTCCGGAAGCGCTGTGCTCGAGGTGCCATTCCCCGTGCACGGAACGACCATGATTCTAAACCGCGGACTCGACAGCCAATTCCGCAAGGACGAGTATGCCTGGCAGCTGCGCAAGGGAAGCAAGCATGTCCGAGAAAACCACATGACTATCAAGATTGACGGACGTGAGGTAAGGCAGGGTGAATGAGAGTCTCGCGTTCTCGAAACAGTCGTCCGTTTTTTACTAAGCCTGGGTTTGTTGCAATCCAACTCGCCCAGTTCGTCAAGGTCTCGTACGCACGACTGGAGTCCAATCCGTACTTTTATCGGCGCGTCTTTTGGCTGGTTTCAATGCCAAAGCTCGTTCTCGTCCATTACGTTGACGATCGGTTGGCTGCCTCCACACAGCCTCCGCTTGAACTCCAGCAGGCTCTTCAACATGATTCTACGAGTACTGGTCGTTCGCACCCTCCAAGACAGCAGCAGCAGCAGCAGCAGCAGCAGCAGCATGGACCACATCAGCACACGAGCAGCGCCACCACGACCCCTTTGATGGGCTCGACGGTGCCAATCGCACCATGGCCGAGCACGCTTCCGTTTGGCTCGCCGTCTGGCGTCTCGACGGCAGCTGCATCGCCGGCTGCACTGGCCTTCTCTGCGTCGACCTTGCGGATAGCGGATTTCAGTCCGGAATGGGCGGTTTGTGGCGAGTCCACAAAGTTTCTCATTGTTGCGCCGTGGATTGTAGCATCCATACGTCGGTGGTCGTGTCGGCTGGGAAGTGCCGAGTACCCTGCCGAGATGCTCTACCCTGGCATCTTGCGAGTGTACATTCCAGCCATCACCAATCCCGGCATTTTGCCATTGAGTGTTGTTCTGGAGGGCGGCTTGGCCAGCCCGCCTGTCTTTGTCCCGTTCCGTCCTTCTTCCGGCTCGGTCAATGGCGTTGGCGCCATTGCCACCTCGACCACCGCCACGTCGCCCAACACCAGCATTCTGGAGGCAACCATCCCTGGCGAATCGTTTGTCGCAGGACAAACACCGCCTTTTGTTAACAATCTGACCAATACGCAGCCTATCTTTGTCGACGGTAGGTTATTTTCGCAGAGTTTTCGTGGAGCGGCGTGTGTCGGGGAGAGGAGGAGGAAGGAGGGAAGGTAAGGGGGGGGGGCCGAGAAGGAAAGATCTAACTGTTTTTTTTTTTTTTTGTTTTTTGTAAAAAAATATTGTCATTCTTTCGTTTATCTGCCCGCGCGTCTCCGTCGAATCGCAGAGCGCGCCACGCGGCTCAAAATCATTCGTCGATTGGATCTCTTGGCCAGCGAACTGTCGCAGCGTGCCAATCAGGCGCACGCCGAAACTGCCAACCGATCGCTTGGCGGAACTCTGCCTCTTGCTCCAATCGTGAGCACAGACCTCGAGACCATGCTAGAATGCCCATTACCACGATTTGAAGAGCGTCTGCTGGCCACCATGGCGCGCCTCTTTGCAATCGACCAGGTGTATCAAGCGGCGTCGCTGGCAGAACGCGAGTCCAACTCGCTGATGGCAGGTCTGGCCAGTGTCAGAAATGCCGAGCTTCGCGACGATGACGATGCGAGTGCACATGGCGGCGATGACGATAGTGACGATGGCGATGGCATGGATGACGAAGAAGAAGCGGATGCTGCTGCCGCTGCTGCGAGTCTACAGTTGCAACAGGATGGCTCGAGCGAGTCTGCCTCCAACTTTCTGTTTTCCTCCTTTGGTGTTCTCGAGGAAGGCCTGCAACCCTTGCTCGACACACACGGTCCAGGCCCAGCATTCGAGGGCAGCGCCCTCGCGACCGCCACGACGGCGCATAGCCATGCAAGCGACGCGCGCGCAGCGTCCGACACGCTCTTGGAAACGCCGCGCTCGCTCTCACACGCCACTTCCAACACGTCGATTTCCGAGTCGAGCGTGCCACGAACCCGCCACGACAGCTTTGTCGAAGGGTCCAGTGTGAACAACACCAGTCTGACGTACGATGACGCAGGCATGACCCTGCTGCACTATCTTGCGGCGCTCGGAACGAGCGAGATTGTCAACGTCGTCTTGTACTGGAAGTCGGCCATCCGCGACCGGGCCACAATCGAGTCGCTGCTCTGGCGCTCGCTGGACGTCATGAGCACGGACGCACGGATGCGGACACCCTTGTTCTGGGCGTGCGCACTCGGACACACGACGACCGTTCGTGCCCTCCTCGAGTACGACTCTCGCCAGCTACGCGTCTCAGACGCCTGGGGAAAGCTGCCCATCGACGTGGCCTTTGAGCACGGGCGCCAGGATGTGGTTGACGTGCTGAACGAGTACACGCGTCGCGTCGATAACGGGCAGTCACAGTTTCCGGCCGAAGTGTTCCGCGATCGGCCGGAAAACCTCCTGGCCGACCGGGTATGGGCTGACTTGCAAGCGAGTCAGTCCGAGCAGATTCTTGAGCGCGATTTTCGTGACATGACGCTGAAAGGTAAGTTGTGCAGGGGGGCGAAGAGGAATTTGCTTAAACAACACAAACAAAAATGTGTGTGCTTGTCTGGGGCTGGAGCGTCGTGGGCTGAACTCATCTCCGTTCTGCTCTTTTGATTGTCAGATCGCGATTGCCTGGACTTGTTTCGCGCAGCCACCATCATCCAAACAGCCTTCCGCGATTACCAGGTATCACGTTGCGTGCTCTTGTTTTTGTGAATCTCGCCCTCCCAGTTCCCCCAAAAAACCCCACTATCTAACTGACTTACAAACTGCCGCTTACCACACTTTTTCCCCCTGCCTGCAATACGCGTAGAACCATCAACGGGAGCAACGTATGGCTCAGGCAGCAATGCTCATTCAGAACGCCTTCCGCCGTCACAAGCACCACTCGCAGTTCCGGAACACTGTGAACGCTGCCGTTCGTATTCAAAATGTGTATCGAGCGTATCGCCAACACTCGCAGTTTAAGCAAACACGGTCGGCGGCGCTCACGATTCAGCGTCAGTTCCGCGAGCGCACCGAGCGCCGGCGCATGCGAGCCGCTGCCTCTCAAGACGTAGCGCGGCAGATGGTTCACGCGGCGCACCGCAGCGCAGCGTTGGACGGAGTCATGGCGATCAGCAATGATCCCTTCCACACGTTCGGATATGATCTGGGGAACTCTGTCACCACCCTGCCCCAAGCTGCCCTCTCCGACGAGAATATGAGCAATCCATTCGGCTTGATGCTTGGGTCACCTGCGTCATTTTCGACGCATGCTCAGCAACCGCTGACTCGCCGCCGCTCTTCGCTCCGTGGTGCAGACTTTGGCATTCCGGATTTTGCGTCTCCTGGAGTCTTGGCGTCTGCGCAGCACTCTATTTCCAATGGTTCGCATCTGAGCACGCCTGCGTTTCATGCAACACCCTCCGCCGCACCGGCAGGCTTTCCATTTTCCCTGTCCCCACCTCAAGCCAAAAGTCAACAGGCCTCGGGCGCATCACCCTCGTTTCTGCAGTCGACGACATCCCCTGCATTACAGCAACAGCATTATGCCGACGGAGCTCATGGTCTGTATTCGTCGTCTCAACCAGAGCCTGGCGCTACTGCGGCTGGAGCAGATTTTCTCGTCGCTTCTCCTGCTGCACCTCTGGCCAATACCGCGAATGCCAACGACAGCAACGCGTCCAGCAGTCTGATGGGGCTCTTGTATGATCTCGACTCGATTGTCGATGAGCAGCATCCATTCCATGGGTTGTGAAAGCGGTCAGTGCACCAGTAATACCGTGTTGCTTCGTTTTTGTTTTTGTTTTATTTTGTTTTTCCCTTTTCTTCCCATTGCGCTCTCTGTTTTTGAATTCCATTATATTATTCGATAAATACACTACGTTTTTGATGGCTGTTTATCTCAGACTTTCAACCTCTCAGTCTTGTCTCAACGCTCAGACTCTTCCCGCCAATGATAAGGCGAAACGCTGGCTTGTGGCATTCTCCAGCCTCCCCACACGGTCCAAGCCTGATGCCAACGATCCTAGCCATTGCACTTGCATTATCAGGCGCATGCGCCAACGCGGCTGCTGAGCAGTGAGTGGATCGACATTGACCGTTTTGCTGCAACCTGACACAAATTATTTGCTCAACCGCGAGCGCTTCGCCTCATCACTGTCTTTTGTGCCTGTTGGCGATCAGTGTGGCAGACGCAACGCTCGTTCCAGATGTCGAGGTGCGGGGCGTCACACTGGCACACGGCGAATCGATGCTTTTCGAGTTGAGCGCCCTTCGCTCGGGCGGCTCGTATGAAGTTCGAGTTTCGTACCCTGCTTGGGTATGAGTGTACTGGATCTTGGTTGGGTTGACTTGTTGATGCATTGGAATTGGGTGCGCTGACTTTGCACATCCAATCTTTGATTTAGTCACCGGCCCAATTTGACTTGCAGCTCCTCACAGAAACGGAGGCGCGCAACAATGAGCTTGCCCTGGAGCGTCGCAAGCTTCTGAACATTGAAAAGATTGTGTTTCAGCATCAAGCAGAGCCATCAGAGATCAAAGTACGTTGTGCCGATGCTTGAATGAGCCTTGTTGTGCGTTTCGTGCGCTCAAAGCGCTGACTTGACACGTATGACACACGCTTTCAGTCCTTGTCGCCAGGCTCGTTTGTTCGCGTCACAGCATGGTTGACTGGCATTCGCTCACCTGCGGCTCAGGCGCAACGAGCTGACATTGTTGATTCTGTCACCTTTAATATTGGTATGTCTTGGTTTTTCACTGTGATGTGGTGTTGCTACTGGTTTGTGATGGGGTGGTGTGTGATGGGCTGGAGGTATGCAGGTTTCCTTTGACATGCTTGTTGCTTTTTCTGTTGTACACGCGCTATTAGTGTTGCAATCGCTCTACCTGGGCATTCCGCTCGAGGCGTTCAAAGTTGCGCTGCTCGCGCTGCTGTTCGCCGTGATTCTTATCAAGTGGGTTGCACGGCCGCTTTCTCGGATGCTTGCTAATTTCGAGTTGTCCGCGCGTGTCGAAAACGAAGCGACCGAGCAGAAGGCTTGCTAAGCGATTCGGATTGCGAAAAATCCAAGTTTAACATTGAAGCAGTACTTCATTCAAGTCTACCAACCAATGCAGTGCTTTTGCAATCCACCGTCAGTTGGAGCGCTTGTTGTTGCCGCTCGGAGCCCGATACATTTTTTTATCTGACCATGCACATTCGTCAGTCACTCAAACCATTGCATTCCCAGTGCGCTGTATCAGCACGCTGCTATCGGCACCATAAATGCAACTGTCAAACACATTCGTTGGTCACCGGCACCATGAATTGGGGAGAAGGCGAAATTGCGCGAATCGTGCAGGCTGGTTCCAAATTTGGCAATCGGATTGAAATTTGCACGCGCTCTTTTACCGATGTCGCTTCTAGGTCACCTTGAACCGCCTCCTTGTCAATAGTGTATACAATAAACATGTAGTAAGCATGATTCGGCGCTTTATTGGAGAAATACCAAGATGGGCGGGAGCTGGACCGCACACACGTTTCCAATGTCGTTTCAGCCAAGTGCCAACCGACGCTTCTGGCAGATCTTCCACCGGACCAACCAGATAGAATAGTAGAACTTTGAGGCATTAGCGCAACCTAGTCATAGCCGGTACTTCAGGGATCGGGATCTGCCCGAAAACTCGAGCCAAGTTGGACGAAATTGTGACAGGGCGTCCTAAAAATGGAAATCGGATTGAAAATCGCAGCCTCCGCCATTTCGGTGCAGCTCGCCAGCGCCTTTGCCCCGATTGACACCGATTTTTCGCTCAATCTGCCATTTCCCAATCTCTTTGCACCATTTTGAGTGATCAGAGTTGGAGCACGCTTGATTTCCGGGGACGACCGACCAAAGTGCGCGTTTTGGCGCGAAAACTCGAAAATTTCAATTTTTGCGCCAAAACAGCCAACCAATCAAAATTCGCCAAATTATCGCCGCCAGTATTTAAGCCAGTCCGATTTGGCATTTCGAAAGTCACTCTTCTTTTGATTTCAAAAACCTCACTCATCTAACAATGACTGGTCGTGGCAAGGGCGGCAAGGGCCTGGGCAAGGGCGGCGCAAAGCGTCACCGCAAGATTCTGCGCGATAACATCCAGGGCATCACCAAGCCCGCCATCCGCCGCCTCGCACGCCGCGGTGGTGTCAAGCGCATCTCTGGCCTCATCTACGAGGAGACCCGCGGTGTTCTGAAGGTCTTCCTTGAGAACGTCATCCGTGACGCCGTCACCTACACTGAGCACGCCAAGCGCAAGACCGTCACTGCCATGGACGTCGTCTATGCCCTCAAGCGCCAGGGCCGCACCATCTACGGTTTCGGCGGGTAAACTTTTATCGGTTTGCCTTCAAGGACTTTTCTTTCTTTTCTTTATCAAAACTACAAAAAACTTCTGGTGTTCATTCAACACCACATCACTTTTCGAAAGAAATTGCGTTCGCATCATAGAGTTGTAGTCAAGAGCGTTGCACTGCTCAACTGCTGAGGTCAATTACAAGCCACAACATAGATCTACCATAAGAGTTGCCTTCGTCTAGTTGGTGAGAGCAAATCCACATACACCGGCTTCAAATAAACAAAAACTACATTCGATTCACAAAATGTATCTCAGCAACCCCGACAACCCTTCAATGAAACTGCGGCGGAGGAACGGTCAGATCGCTGTTGCTAAACGGATAGCCCAGTGACGACCCGCCGTTGCCAACCGACCCACGTCGAGCCACGGGGGCAAAGCTGCTGCTGGGAGACCCCAGAGTGGTGCCGGGCGCGCTGCGCGTTGCCGGAGTAAGAAGGCCAAATCGTTGCTGTTGCTGGAGTTGCAACTGCTGCTGTAGGTATTGTTGTTGTTGTTGTTGCTGCTGCTGCTGCTGCTGCTGTTGCTGTTGCTGCTGTTGCTGCTGTTGTTGCTGCGGGTAGAACTGGGCAAACTGCTGCTGTTGCGGGAGTTGCTGCGCCTGCGCTGCAGGTCCCGCCATTTGTGTACTGTGCAGTCCGCCACCGACAGCGCCACCTCCACCTCCATATCCAATCACGAAGCTCGAGTGAGCGCGATGGATGGTGCGCGGTGGCTGTTGTTGTTGATATGCAAATTGCTGCTGCTGCTGCTGTTGTTGCTGAAGTTGGAGCAAATGCTGCAGCTGTTGCTGTTGCTGCTGCTGTTGCAGTTGCTGCTGTTGTTGAATCATGAGCTGCTGCTGCTGCTGCTGCATTGACGCTGGGTGCACAGCGTTCACATTCACATTGACAACATTGCTGCCGCCAAGGTTGGGACTTTCGCCAATCGAGTTGAAAAAATCCTCAATCGCGACCAGAATTCTCGTCCGAGCGCCTTGGGTCGAGACGCCTGCAGCTTCCATTTCTTCTTCAGTCATGTTGCACAGCATTTCAAAGTCGATTCCAGCCCGCACCAGTTTGTCAGTGTACTTGTGAAGTCGGAGATTGCGGAGCCAGTCTCGCAGGTCTGGAATCTGACTTTGGTACGCACAGTTGACGACAGCGATGGAGTGTCGACGCCGTTGCTTGGGATACGCCTGTTGCTGCTGTTGTTGTTGCTGTTGTTGTTGCTGTTGTTGTTGGTGCTGCTGCTGCTGCTGTTGTTGCTGTTGCTGTTGTTGCAGCAGCAGCTGCGCTTGAGATGGTGGCACAAGCGTCGCTCCACCCAGCCCTGACTCTAAAATGACGCTCGAGTTTGAGCCCTGACGGGAGACACCACCCATCGGAGTGCCGCTACTGCTGACGTGGCCTCGCGTCGGCGACTGTGTCCCCGACAAGTAGCCAAGCGAGCTGCCAAAGTTGCCCGACATGCCGCCGCCATGCTGTTCCAAACCATACGTGTACAATCCTTCGACCGAATGCGATCGAGGGCCCGTCCAATGGCTGGGAGCGTTGTCCGAGTCGAGGCCTGGACCCTGGAAGTGCTGCTTCTGTGGTTGCTGCATGAACGTGCCATGCGAGAGCGAGTGGGGCAGAATCTGCGAGTGGCTACCGCGCCGAGGCGACATTTGCAGATGGGTTGGTGATGGAGAAGGATAGAGTGAATGAAACGCAGGACCACTGCCATAGGATGTTTGGGGCGACAGGAAGGCATGCTGTTGCTGTTGCTGCTGTTGTGGTGGTTGTAGTTGCTGCTGTTGTTGCTGCTGTTGTTGCTGCTGAGCAACACCAGAAACAACACCGTGCATAGACGGCGACCCGGTGCGCGGAATGTTGGGACCCAATGCATCGTGCGAATGGCGACGTCGGAAGGGCGCCGAAGCGTTGGAGGAACCGCCGGTGATAATACCGTTTGCAGCAGCAGCAGCAGCAGCAGCAGCAGACACGTTGGGGTTCATCACTGGCAAGAAACCTCCCATTGACATGGACGAAAGCGACGCAGACGAGCCATAGTGACTGCTATTCCCGCTCAGGCTGTTGTTGGCGTTGCTGCTGAGATCATCCGAAGCACCACCTGCCAGCTCGTGAGCAGCCGCTGCAGCGGCAGCAAACGTCACAGCCGATGTAAAGCGCGACACATCCAAGTCATCCTCGGAGCCGCCGAGGCCAAGAACGCGCATCAAATGCGCATCTTCTTCGGCGGTGGCGAGGCCATCTGCCACGCTTCCAGTCATGGAGCCTGCTGTCGACGAGCCTGCCAGGTGCTCGGACGAAGAATGATTCGCGCCGGCAGCGCCACGAGGCGAAGCTTGGTGATAGAGTGAGCTTCCAACCCGTGGCGAGTGTGGAGCCGACGAATGACCCGCGTCCATCGAAAACACGGCCAGTGCGGCGGTAGCTGCACTTGTTGGCTCAAGTGACGAGCGCTTGGACGTTGCAAGCGACGAAGGTCCAGACAAGTGTCCAGCAGCAGTCGTCGGGAAAGCCCACGGCCGCTCGGACACGCCGGTTTCCTCTTGCTGTTCATCGATACTCAGCATCACGAGACTACGTTTCCGTGGTGGTATTTTAGCTGTGCTGGAAACGGTGTCGTTCGCCGCGGGGGTCGCAGCAGACGTAGCGACTCCGTGTTGTTGTTGCTGGGGCATCTGTTGTTGTTGTTGTTGTTGTTGTTGTTGTTGTTGTTGTTGTTGTTGTTGTTGTTGTTGTTGTTGTTGCTGTTGCTGTTGTTGTTGTTGCTGGGGCTGGGGCGATACCTGAACTGTGGACGATAAACCAGTCTGCACAGTCGATGCAGTCGAAATGGAACCGTGATCATCGCCATCGCGCTGCACACTGCCACCAGAAGTGGTATCGACGTGCAAAGTCATCTTTGACACAAAGAGTGGGGGCGAAACGGTGGTCGAACCAGCGGATTGCGCTTGGACAGTGCTGTCCAAGCCCATGCGAGATCGCGTTGATGCCGGAGGAGGGAGCGCAGCACTGGTGCCGCCGCCGGATGAGGCAGCAGCGAGTGCTGGGGTCGTCATTGGCATGCCCGCAACTGCGACTGCCGGTGTCGGCGGTGCTGGTGCTACAGCTGGTGCAGCTGATGGTGGTGCTGGTGCGGCGGCTGGTGTAGTGCAAGTAGCGGGGCTAACACAACCATTGGCGGTTGCTGACGGAACGACAGTGGCTGCGACAGACGGCGGGACCGCATCAGCAACGTTTGTTGATTGGGACCCCAAGTGGCGGGAATCAATCGAGGTGGTTGAGCCCAGCGAAGAGCCGAGTGACTGGGTGCTGCCACCACTCGCAACGCTCCCTCGCAAGCTGCCCTGCGACAGTTGCCGAGTTAATCGGAACTCGTTGAACTTGGCAATGGCGATGAGCATCCGCTTCCGCGCACCCTGGGTGGCAATTCCCACAGCCTCCAGCTGCCCGTCGTCCATTTGGACGAGCTTTTCTAGCGTTACGCCAGCAGACACGAGCGTGTCAGTGTACTTGTGGAGTCTCAGAGCCCGCAAAAACGCACCAGCGTCCTTGATTTTCAGCGACGCAAAATTCAAGGCCTCGAGCGAATGACGCCGCCGCAATGGCAGCAGAATATCGCCCGTGGAAGCGCGGCGGCCCATGTGAATCGGGCGCTGCTGCGAGGAGGAGCGGTCAGTGTCAGACGACGAGGATGGAGGTGGCTGCGATGGCGGGGTCGCCACCACCGTGGTCGTAGAAGCGCCGCTGCTACTGCTGGGATTGTTGCTTGTGGGAGGAGCAACCGTTCGTAAACCACTGCTGTGATCTGGTTTTGGTGATTGTACTGCCGAAATCTTAGAGTACTGAAGGTGCGGGGATGGACTTTCAGGTTGGGACGGCGGAGCGAGCGGGAGCGAGTTTCCGCCAAAGAGAGAAAATGTTCCAGCGCCAGACTCGTTGCTCTCGGCTGAGCTCGCGAGTCGTGCGCTGCCGGCGCCCGATAGTAGGGTAATGCTCGGTGACCGCGACCACATCAAAGGCCAATCCTCATCATCATTGACCCGCGAGTCGTCGCCCCAAAAGTCAACGGTGCGTGGTTTTCGACTTGGCGACGTGCTGTAGAGATTGGGTTGGGAGTATCGTCGGGGCCGCGGATTGAATGCGACCTTGTCTGCAGCAGTGAGATCCGAGCCGCCAGACGCAGCCGAAGCTCTCACAAGCGGCTTGGCAACATCGACAGACCTGCTCCGGACGCGATGGTCGTCGGCCGCGATGAGCGACGCCCACGACATCATGGCAGTGTCCAAGGTTTTGCCAGTGCCCACAGCAGTGCCCGTCGTCTTGGATGGAATGCCAGCCGGTTCCGCTGTCGAGACGATCGATGTTGTCGATGCGTCGTTGTTGAGCAGGAGCGTGTCGAACGTTTGGAATTCCTCTTCTACTTTTTTTGGGGGGAGCAACAGGTGAGCCAAAGAGTTCAAGAAGTCGAGAAAACAAAAGCCACTCAAACTCAGGCACTTTCTGCTTCTGCATGTTTGTCGATCTTGTTGAGTGAACGAAAAAAAAAAAGTGTAAAATAACAAGGTGTGAAACAAGTAAAAAATACAAAAAAAAAAAAAATAACGAGTGAAAGGAAAGGTATGCGATCAAGAATGGCGCGACAACGAACAGTGGCTCCCCACAAAAGACACGAATGTGGAGATCAAGATCGAGTAGGATGGGGGAACGAGAGCTAGGGGAGGACGGGGAGGACAGGAAGGAGGAGGAGGAGGAGACGTGGGACTCACCGGGCAAGGTCGAAGCGATCTGGCGTGCTCCATCGCACGACAGCGACGCTCCCGCAGCCAGAGCAGCAACGCGATCACCGCTCGGTTGGGGCGCATCGCCTTGCTCTCTGGACGTCGGAGGGGTGAGTGGCAGGATTGGCGACGTCGGCTGCACAATACCAGGGGAAAGGACGGGTGAGAGCGAGGATTGGAATCCAAGGCCAGGCGCGGAAGAGCCAGACAGGGATCGGGGACGTGTCGCCACGCCGGGCCGAGCGCCAGCCGTTGCTGGCAGTGCAGTTCCAGACGATGACGACGTGGTGGCGGCGGCGGCAGCGGCGGCAGCGGAAGCAGCGGAAGGGCCCGACAACGACGACGCCGACAACGGAGGATCTGGCGCAGAATGCAACAGCAGCGGTGCAACAGCAGATGATGACGCCGCAGCGCCGGCTGCAGCCGGCTGTGGCCCTGCAGGCAGCGCGCCAGCGATACGCACAGTGCCAGCATTCGACACAAGCGCAGATGCAGGACGGGCCTGGTCGGACACTGTGCCGCTGCTGCTCTTTGACGCTGGTAACACGCCGACACTGCTGGAGAGCGGCTGCGGCTGCTGGTGCTTTGGCTGCTGTGAGTACTCTGCCGCATCAGCGGTGGGATGGCGGTGCGGATTCATCATGTCGGTGACAGCGGTGACCGTGGTGGTGGCGGTGCGGCTGCCCAGCGCTGGTGGCGGCGGCTCGCGGAGGGGCATGGCAGGCGGCGGTCGAGGGTGCGAATACGCGTTGTGGGAAGCAAGCAACGCCGGTCTGCCGTCTTCGGCCGCAAGGTGTGTGCTGGCAGTAGTGGCAGTCGTCGTGGTAGCAGCAGTTGTTGAAGGAGTCGCTGCTGCAGGCGCCGTGTCTGCAGCAGAGGAGGGCGCCACCATGTCGAGCAATACGAAAAAAAAAAAAAAAAAAAAAAAAAAAAAAAAGGAACAAAATCAGAAAAAAAAAAAAAAAAAAAGCACGAAAAGAAAGCAACACAAGGTGTATGAAACAATGAATGAAATGGCACGAGAATAATAACAAGGACCGACGATAGAATGGAAAACACAGACACAATAAGGGGGAAGAAAGAAATATTGACAAGGAAAAATGGGTGAAAGCAGAAAGCAAGGGAAAAAGTCAATCCCGACCCGAACGTGCGGAAAAGATCTGAGAAGAGAGGATGAGAATACAGCAAGGGGGTGGGGAGGAATGGGAAGGAAATGAAAGCACACTCGCGGGGAACTCTGTAGAGAGGAAGCAAATCTGCGTGAAGGAGCGATTTCGTTCGATAAACCCATCTTCCTTGGGTGGACGAGCGCAACCCCGTTCCCCTCCCCTCCCCCAACGCGCGCGCCTCCCAACTTGGCCCATTTTGTCGGAAAGTATCTCTTCACCTGGTTGACAGGTTTTTAGATGGCAATCAGGACATTGAGAAGAGTAGAGGACGAGCAACACTGAAGTCGCCAGAAAGAACGCAGCTCAGCGCACCCAGCAAATCCGACCGAGCAGTTGTTGTTGTTTTTTGTTGTTGTTGCCGTTTGTTGGGAAGGGGTGCAATTCGTGATATCGATTTCAGATTGGGTACAACAGAATGGAATGACTCATACCAGCGAAGAGTTTGTACGTCGGGACTCGTGGCAGACGGGCGGACAGGCGTTTGAACCGCTGCTGGGGTGATTCTGCTTTTCTTCGTCTTTGTTTCAAATGCAACTCGGGTTCCTGGGCTGCAAGGGTGCATGCAAAAAAAGGGCAGTGATGAATGAACCGCGCTCCGGATTCGTCGACCACAATCTAAGAGCACTGCTTTTTTGCGTGAAATTGGAATCGCCGTGCAAACAAAAACGCTCGATTTGGTGTTTCCCGTTCCGCCCCTAAGAAATCAACGCTGCTCAGATCGGAGCATGCCCGAGCTGTTTTCTTCCTTCTGCAAGCAAAGATGTTCACTTTTTCCAAACCTACGAGCAGCTGGATCAGCACGCATGCCACGGCTTTTGTGGTGGCAGCGTCGGTGTGCAAAAAAAACTGTCGAGGTTTTTGCTCCGTGGTGTACAGCTTTCGGATGTTGAGATGGCTGTGAACGATGCTCGCTTCGACTATCTATTGTGATTGGTGCGGAAGCTCAGTATGCGATGGAAGGCGCGGGGAGCGGAGGGGGGAGGAGAAATCGCGATCATTGAAGGAATTGTGAGTGCAAATCTTGGACACCCCCACCTCGTTGCTCAGCATCGGCCATTGTCCGGTCGGTTTGACGTGTGTATGAATCTATTGTCGTTTTCTTTTCGCAATAACAAATCGAAACACCTGAAATCATCCATCTAAACGCGACCGTCATACAATCTTCGGATGAGCATCTCGACCCAGACACGAACGGGCCCAGCACCGGGCAAACAAAAGTGCACACAATCGTTTCCACCACGGTGCGCGTCGACACGCTCGACCGTGCAAGGAACGACGTCCAGGATTTCTAGCCGAGGGTCGCGAGCAACCTCTTCGCTGACGATTCGGTTTTGAAGCAACTGGTCCTCCCCAAGGTTGAAGTCCGAGTAAGTGGCGCCCCACTTTGGTTCGCGGTCGTTGCACAAGCCACCGCTGTCGTAGTCGCCGCCCTGGAAGTGCCTTGGAGGAGTCAGGCGAAAGAAGGTGCGAGCTGCAGGATTTCGATCCTGGCGGGCAGACGCGGCGTCTCGAGTCACGCGAATGATGTGAGTGTACGCATCCACCCACGAGGAGTTCTCAAATTTGTAGTTGTTAGACATGAGGTGCAGACCTATGTTGATCACCATGTACTGTAGTCAGCAGCATCGGCCATGATGGTGAACGCTTGGGAGAGGCGATCCAAACTCAGCTGAGGGTACGGCTTTTCGCCCAACATGTCGACAATGTAGGGGACGTAGTTGGCGATGAGGGTGAAGTTGAGAGCGGGAAAGTAGCCGGTAACGCGATTGATTCGCTTCACTTTGACCAACTCGAAGCCGGCCGACTCCACCAGGTTCAGGAACACTGAGACTGTTTGCAGGGTGAGTGAGTCGCCATGGATGCCGACCGTCTTGTTGGTGAGCGCAACAGTCAACGCTGTCTTCCAGTCGACCCCAATTTCGGCAACCGTATCCGTGTCCCAGAACCAACGAGCCTCGTCCTCATACGGGCACTGCCAGATAGAAGGGGGCGGGTAGATATCAAATGTCTTGTTCCAGTCGGCGTACGCCACAAGTCTGGCGAGCACTCGTGGATGATCTGCAGGGAGCTGGTACCATCCTCGTGGAGATGCCGAAGAGGCTTGGGAAGTTGGCAGTGCAGGCTCTGCTGGCGACGGCGCCTGGGTTGTCGATTGCGCTTGTGTTGTCGGCGATGGAGTTTGTGCTGCGGGCGCAGCCGATGGGAGGCTGGTGGCGGTCGGGCTTGTGGGAGGTGATGGTGTGAGATCTAAAGGCGTGGGAGTTGGCTGATCGGACTCGGAATGGCTTGGCTCTGCTGCCAGCGAATCTGCCAGCGAATCTGTAGCCGACGCAATGCAAGAGGCGAAAGCTGCTCCTGTTGTACTCGGGTCTGACAAGACGACAGCAGCATGGTCCACGACCTGAGGGAGCACGTTGTTAGGCAAAAGAGAAGGGCTCGCATCTGCCGCGTGATCAGCTTCCGGAGTGTCGGGAGGAATGGCCGACTCTGACCACACCAAAGCCCATGTGATGATCAACACTAGGCAGGCAAACACCGCCAGGATCTTGAACCTTGGCGCCTCCAGGGGCATGGGTGGTTAGAAGATGGGCAACCGAAAAAAAAAATTAATAATAAAAACAAAAAAAAATGTGTTTGTAAAAAAACCACACACAAACCAAAAGAGAAGAGAATGAGCCGTGCAAATATTCTTCATGCTGGAGGAAGGTTCACAAGGCGCTTCTTGTTGGCGGTTACTGCCGTTGGTATAGAAAAAAGCAGGAGAGGTACAGACGAGCAGGAGTGTGGACAAGTGGGAGACCCACAGGCGTGGCGTTACTCCCCCCCCAAAGCAAAGCATTCGATACGTCCGAGGTACACTCGTCCTCTGGGGCTGACTTTTGCTCGTATAGTGAATAAATGTCCATTCTACGATATCTAAGCAAATGATGTCAGGATGCGGCTTGTGTGGCGAACGGAGGGGTGATTGGCAACTTCAGGTTTGCTGAGAGCATGGCGAAAATTCTCCGACGAACGATTGGGGCCCTGCTGCTACCGGATCAGCCGGGCCAGCACCACCACCACCACCACCCTCGCTTCTCCCACATGAGCTTTTGGTGCATAAGCACGCTCTATGGCTAGGAAGGGTCCGAAGGCAACACAGCCACGCCTGCAAGAACAGTCGGATTTTTGTTGTTGGTTTTTGTTGGTTGTTTTTCCTCTTTTGTCACTCCGTGAACAGGACTAGGGTACCCCGATTCCCTGGTTTTTTTCTTATTACCACCATCATACAAATTGAATATTCAGAGGCGTTGGACGAAGGACGGACGCGTTTCGACTCGAGCGGACTGACCCCCTCCAACATGAAACAAAACAAGCTAAAACTGGTCCTGGTCTACTTGCTGCTCTGCAAAATGTCAGGACACGAACTCGCTCGATCGAGCCCTTGCACAATCGGTCGAGAATGTCCGGAGGCAATGGAGGGGACGAGGTCAGTGTGAAATCTGTGTAAATCAATGCGATTCGCACAACCCTCAGTTTACGTCGGGCTAGACACAAGATACGAATGGAAATCCCAATTTTGATGTTCAAACTGAGATCTGAGATGAGGAATGGACGCAACAAAGCCTGTCTCTGCTCTGCTCAGAATCGTCCTTGGAAACAGGCGCACTCTTTTTTCTTCTTCTGTTGCTTCCTTTTTTTTTTTTTTCTGTTTCCTCGATTTTCTCATCCAGTCCTTCAACATCCACCATGGCTGGCATCACCGACTCTGCGCTGCTCGCTTGGCTCGAAGTGTGCGATGTCGAAATGTACACTCCCGACGGGCGTGAGATTGCGAGTGTGCCTCTGCCCGATCTCTTGCGCAACGGCGTCATTCTGTGTCGCCTCATCAACCGCATGATCCCTGTACGTGCGCCCACTCGTCCCCTGAATCACCTGCTCTGCATTCGAATCGACGCCACCAGAGCAGCGATGAATCGTGCACGGAAAGCGCGCAAAGTGAAGCAGGGGGAAAAAAGTCAAAACGGCAGAAAAAAAATCAATGGCGCCAAATTGAAGCACGCTTGGAACGGCTCCTCCTGCTGCTCCGAGACAGGCGGATGCTTCCCAACCACGACAAATACATTGATGGTGAATCAGATGAAAGGGGGGACGAATCACAAGAACGGCGGGCACTTGAGCTGTCGACCAGCGAGGGCAAAGTGGTGAAAGCGAAAAAAAAAAAAAAAAATTCGTCTGAGACGAGCGAAAACTCGGGGGGCAGCCAGCGTTCACTGGTTGCGCCTCTGCTGAAGATCGACAAGGGATCGTGTTGGGATTGGCTTTGGTGACCACTTGCTGCATTCGTGCGGCCCAGTGTACAATCATGAAGCCAAAAAAAAAAAAAAAAAAATCCGCCTGCCGTAGTCATTGCTTGTTCAGTTGTCGCCGCCCCTCCCCCCTCCCGCCCCCCTCCCCTCCTGCGCCCCGCGTGGTCGTGCCTTGGACCCGGGTTTGAGCGTCTCATGAGCACAACAGCACAAAGAGACGATGATCTTCAACGCAACACCAAAGCAGACCATTCGCAAAACCACTAAAACAAACAAAAAAAAAAAGTCATAATAAAATCAATAAATAATCGAACAAAACGCCTTCTTTGGTTGATGGCTTGTTTGTTGTTTGGTTTTCGTGCTTTTTTTTTTTTTTTTTTTTTTTTTTCCTTCGACTGCTTTGCAATCTGGCGTTGACAACTCTTTAAATCCCTTTTGCACCTTTCGTCCCATTCTTGTCTCTCCGCCTCTCTCTCTCTCTCGCTCGCTCTCCCATGGCGACACAACGCGCGTTGCGTTCATGAATGGATTGTGAAACCGCGCTGTTTTTTTTTTTCTTTTTTTTTTTTGGTTTTGTTTGTTCTCAATCACGGCCCAAATGAGCCTCCTTCCCTCCTCTTCCTGCTCCAACACGCATTGCCGACCCCACAACAAGATTCGCCTCATGCCAAACAACAAAAAAACAGCAATCTGCTGCAGTTGGTCGTGCTGCCCAAAGTTGAACTTTGTGTTGAAAACCGATGACCGACTGTTCACTTTTGTTTGCCGCTCACTCACACCGTGTGTGCCATTCATTGTGTGCCCTTCGTTGCTTGACAGAACTTGATCGGCAAGATCCACACCTCGTCGCTGTTGCACTTCCCATCGCGCCAGTTCCTGTGCGTCGAGAACATTCACCGCTTCTGCGCCGCGTGCAAGTCAGAGTTTGGCATGACTGAGGCAGAGCTCGCCAACGAAGAAGACATCTACAACATGACCAGCTTTGACATGGTACGCAGGGCTTCCGACATTTGACTCTGGTCACATTCATCATCGAGCAATGAGGCGGCTGACTATGCATGGTGGTGGCGAAACTGTCTGTCTGGGGGAGGAACACATTTCTAAAATTCACACCAACCGACAAGCTGTTTCCAAAACAAACATCTCCCAGAGCCGTTCCGCCCCTCCACAATCTTCCTACTGAGATTCGAATGGCTGTGCTCACTCTTTAATTTGATTGTGTCTTGTCCACGCTTGTCTGCCGTCTTCTTGCTTTGCGTTGTTTTTCGTTCTATCTATCGCCCCTATCTATCACCCCTATTTTATCCCCTATTTATCCCCTATTTATCTCCATTCCAGACCGTTCGCATGGTTGCCACGCTGTCAAAGAAGGCCGTTGAAAAAAAGTGCCCCGTGCCGCCACTGGAGGCCGCAAAGGTTGCCGCGCCCCCGCCCAAGAAGATGACGCCAGAGGAGTTCCGATCAAAGATTGTGGACGAGATTCGCTTGACCGAGCAGGCGTACGTCAAAGACCTCATGTCGCTCAACCACAGCTACATTCGCCCGCTCCGCCAGGTTGAGTTCATCCATCCCTCGGACTTCAAGAAGCTCTTTGGCAACGTCATTGACATTTTCGAGTTCCAAAAGCGCTTTTTCAAAAAGCTCGCGCAGACCTCGAGCCTGCCGCCAGACCAGCAGCGGATTGGCGCCTGCTTCCTCGACCACAAGGAGGCTTTCAAGGTGTACACCATGTACTGTGCCAACCACCCGAACGCCGTCGCCACGCTGCTCAAGTACGAGACGTTGCCCAAGTGGAAGGCATTTGCTGCCAACTGGACCAAGACCACTGGCAAGCTCTTTGACATTGGCTCGAGCCTCATCAAGCCCATCCAACGCATCTGCAAGTACCCCCTCCTGTTGCGCGAGCTCATCAAGCACACGCCCGAGACCCACCCCGACTTTGCCGACATCACCGAGGCCATGGATGCCATGAACAGCGTCACCATTTACATTAACGAGATGAAGCGCAAGCTTGAGAATCTTCAAGTCATGGCGCAGCTGCACACAAAGATCCACAACTGGAGCGTGAGTTTTTTTTTTTTTTCTTTGAACTTGTTGCTTTTGTTTATTGTTCGGTTTTTGCTTGTACGTGTGCGTGCTCTTACACCCCAATTGTGTTGATTCGCAGGGCCCTTCGCTCGTCAGCTCGGGTGAGCTCATTCAAGACGGCATGGTTACCCAAATCGATGGGACCAACAAGGAGACCGTCTACCTCCTGCTGCTGGGCAAGCAAACAGCCATTTGCCGCAAGCGCAAGAAGGATGAGTATGACTACAAGCGATCTGCACCCAACGACTACCTTGTTCTGAAGAACCTCAGTGACGAGCAGCGTAAGCAGCATGTTGTTTGTCGTTGCGCAAGTCGATCGATCTCTCTCTCCCTCTCTCTCTTGTTCATCCTTTCTTGTCTGCACTGTACTCACTCAAAACGCACAACGAAAACCCTGCGAGCAGTTCCATTCGGGTTTACCATTTCTTCGACTGTCCCGACCATGCTCGAGACTTGGTCGTTCCAGTGCAAGAATGCTGGTGAAAAGAACCAGTGGCTCGCCGCGCTGTCCAAGACCATCAAGGTGGATCCATCTGGATTCAAGTCGACGAGCATTGTTGCTGGAGCCGTCACGCAGACCGATCAGTCAGCCAAGTTCACGGCCGAGAGCAACGAGAACAAGGTTCGCTTTGCCTTTGGCTACCTCAAAGCTCTCTCGGACAGCCAGCTGCAGCCTGAGCTTGCAAAGCAGCAGCAAGAGTTTGCGTCCGCAGAGCAGCGGACTGAGGCCATGTTCGAGCCTTCTAAAAGCCTCGAGCGCGAGCTGCGTGAGCGAGCCGCCAACGTCGAAGAGCTCAAGGCTGAGATTGCCCGTCGCGCCGAGCTTGCCGCCGCGGCCAAGCCGGCTGTCGCTCCCAAGCCTGCAGCGCGCCCACCAGCGCCCTTGCCTTCTAAGGAGGCACCCAAGCCTGCTCCAGCACCCGTTACAAGCGCGCCCACGTCGTCCGAGCGTGACTCATTCTCGGACATGAGCCGTGCCTCGATCAACAGTCACTCTGGCGTGTTGTCAGCTCTTGGTCCCAACGATACTCTCGGCTTGCGCATCAACAGTCGCCCCACTTTGACCGCCATGGACGAGACGCTGTCTGATTTCGAGAGCATGAGCGTGATTGATGGTCAGTGTGTTTGCTGTTGTTGTTGGTGGTGGTCTTTTTGGTTTGATTTCTTTTGACTTGTTGCCAGTATGCTCACCTTTTCGCACTTTGACCGATTGTAGTCGCTCTGCCCACTATCTCTGAGGAGGAACACGCACCCTTGCCGGATTTGCCCACGACGGTAGGTGTTTTTGTTTGTTGCTTTGGCTTGTTTTTGGTTTTTCGTTTCTTTCTGTGGTCGTTGCACGCTTGTTTCTGAAATCCGAAGACTCCTGCTGACATTCGCTTTCCCTCCCCCCCCCACCCCTGTTACTGTTTTTTTTTTTTTTTGTTCTCTAGGAGGAAAATTCTGCAGCTGTTGCGGCCATGGAGCTGTTGGCAACCGAGCTGGAAGATCAGCGAACCAAGTGCGCGCACTGCAACGAGGTCATCACCGATCCGACTACCAGCACGTTGGCCTTGGGCAAGACGTGGCACCAAGACCATTTCTGCTGCCAGGCGTGCAAGACGCCTCTCTCTGGCTGCACCTACCACGAGAAGGATGGCAACGCGTACTGCAATGACGACTACCAGCGCCTGTTCAACTCTTGCGAGGCCTGCCGGCAGCCCATCAACGACGGCGAGTTTGTCACCATCGGTGACAACAGCAACATGCGCTGGCACAAGCACCACTTTGAGTGCGAGCATTGCAAGGAGAATCTGCTGTCGTCCAAGATTTACGAGCGCCTCGGCAAGATTTACTGCGAAAAGGACTTCAAGGCGCAGTTTGGCGTCGATTGTGGGCTCTGCGGCCAGCTCATCGAGGGCAAGTACATGGTCGCGCTCGAGCACCATTGGCACGAAAATTGCTTCGTTTGCAACTACGAGGGCTGCCGCGCGCCCTTCCCCGACGGCAGATTCTACAACCACAACAATGCCCCGTATTGCGAGCTTCATTTCCACACCATCACTGGCTCGCTCTGCAACGAATGTCAAAAACCCGTGCTGGGTCGTCACATCACTTCGGCCACCGGCAAGGTTCATCCTGAATGTCTGATCTGTACCATCTGTCGCCGTCAGCTGAGTCTATCCGAGCCGGTACAGGAAGTGGTCAGCGGCGGCAAGGCCCGATTCCTCTGTGGCAATTGCGTTGCCTAGTAAGGTTTCGGGGGTTTTGTGCTGCTTCTGCGCTGAGAGGTTTTTTTTTTTCTGTTTGTTGGTTTCTTTCTTTTCGCTTCGTTGTCTTTTCTGCTTCTCTTTGACTTTTCTTTTACTTTTCGTGTTCTACCGTGCTTGTTTGGATGACTCGCCACACCATCATTTAGTTGTTGTCCTTGTCTACTTTTAACTGGTATGTTTTTACCCGCATCTGTACCTCCAACAATGAATTTCAAGTCACTGCTTGTTGTCACCGCTTGTTGCAATTACAATGAACGAACGATTGTTATATTAGTCGAGTCAAACCATGTCATGGCGCAAACACGGAAAAATCAAACCGAAGGGGGAAAGAATCAGCCAATGTGTGCATGATAGGATGCACACAGAACTTGTGCAACCGGCCAACAGATATTGCCACATAAATACGGGGTAGAAGCGTGGGGGGGGGGGGGAAGAAATATGAACGAAGGGTTTTCCAAAAAAAAAAAGTGGAACATTTTTTGCTTCAAAACAGAACTTCCTGTGATAGGCTCTTGCCAGATCCGAGTTGATTCGAAGAATAGGCTGCAATGGAAGAGCAGAATGAGAATCAGTGCACTCAGGTGAGAGAGTTGCAACAATCGCCAAAATAACAAGAAGCAAAGCAAAAACACGAAACCGAGAAAGACGAAAGGACAAGAACAACCTCATACCTCGGAACTGCTTGGAAAGCATCACGGGAGACTGATTGCCGCTTGAGGATTGCTGGGCTTCGACAGTGCCAGAGGGAAGAGGAGCCGCTGGCGCGGACTGTGTTGCAAGAGAGCTCAAATTTTGCTGACTAGCGCTGCGAGTGGTCGCCAGACGCGATTGGGTGTTTTCTGTACTGGACGAGCTGGAAACCTGGCCGATCTGGCCGACCTGGCCGACACCCTCCACGGAGTTGGAGCGGGACCGGGACTTTTTGACTTTCCGCAGCATGGAGGACTGGTTGCGATAATTAACACGAATAATGGAGGGTCCGAGCAGACACGGTTCGCCGTCAACTTGCACCGGAAGCTCCTTTAACGTGGTGACAGTCACCTGACGGCATTGGCAGATGCGCAGGCCCGACCCGAGACGCGCCTGCTGGATGGCCAAGTCGAGTGCGTTCTCAATGCCAATGACTTCGATCAGCCCGTCGTCGAATTGTTGAGGTTTAAATTCCTGTGTGGAGAAGGAAAACAAAAGACAATGAAGGAACGTTGTGATATCAGAATCAGGCGATAATACTCGCGCCAAATAAACCAGAAACAACAACCGCAAAAAAGAGGTACACACCTCTGACACGCGAGTGCCCCAAGGATTGGTGCCACCAGCGTAGCTTGTAATGTTCAGGAGGCAAATTCCTTCCAGTTTGTGCATGCGCAGCAATGGCGTGTAGTCCACACCATCGCACTTTCATTCCCCAACAAAATAAAATAAAATAAAAAAGGTAAGAGTGAAATAACCAGCCAGTCAGTCGGTAAGCGCGGATGAAAGTGGCGGAAAACAGACTCCTCAAGCAAAAAAAAAAAAAAAGCAAATCACATACCTGCAATTGAACCACTTTGGAAAGATCCTTCATCGAGTGCTTGAAAATGTCAACGCCACCAACCATGCCGTAGAACATTTTGTTTCCGATGCGGCTCTTAAACCTGACACCGACGAGTCGTCAATTGTTGTCCAACAAAAGAAATAAAAAAATCGCGCACAACTTACCGATCAGGATTTTTCTCGCGCGCTTGATGGAAGGCCAGTGCAGTTTTGGCATCAGCGCCGAATGAAAAGTAGTTGTTGATGACGTCAAGAGGTGCAGTGAGTGCGGCACCCTCGACTCGTTCACCGTGGGGCGTGACTTCGAGATTCCAACGGTCCAGCTTTACAATCTCTGCGTGCTGTTGGACAATCGCGAAACAGTACACACAACGACGACGACAACGACAACAACAAAAACACAGATCAGAATCTTCGCAAAGCCGACAAAACACCAAGAACCGCACAAAAAAAATCATCTTCTCGGCTCGTACCTCAACACGCTCCAGAATCGGCGAAATCAGCTCATCGCTGTAGCCACCACCCCAGCGCAATGCACGAGCCAGATCATTGCCAGTGCCGAGAGGTAGGACTGCAACCGGCGGTCGCGGGTTGAGCTGAAGATTGTCGATGGCGGACAACACCCAGCCAACCGTGCCGTCGCCACCGCACACAAGAATTCGGTAATTTGCAACATTCGCAAAGAGCTTCAGTCCGGCAGCAGGGCCACCTTGAGTGAGATCGAACACTTGCATTGGATTGAGAAGCCACTGGAATATTTGCATGAGCTTGACGCCTTGTTTGCCGCCACTCTTTGGATTGATGAATACGAGCAAAGGCACAATGTTGGACGGGATTTCAAGGTGGAAACGCTTGGAGATTTCGGCAATGCTCTTTCTTCGCAAGTCCTTCTTGAGCGACTTTTTCTCGGCTCGAGTTTGAGGAACAGTGCTGTGAGCCGGAGGTGAGGCAAAGGGGTTGCGGAGGAGGGGGGGAGAGAAAGAGAAAGAAAGAGAGAACAGTAAGCATGGGAGTGTGTGCGCGTGCATGCATGTGTGGATCAACAACGCATCGACTTACATCGACTCTGGATTATCTTCAGGTCGCAAGCGGATGGCAGAGGGGGGTAGAATAATGTTGGCATGCTCTCCAAAGTTGCAATCCGACGGAAGCCTAGAACAAGGTGTGCGCCACATAGCAGGGACGACGCAAATCAGAATCATGCACACCACACATAGCCCAACATGTCTCCGCTCACGGAATCACCAACCACTTACTTTTCGGTGCAGGACATGTGCGCGACAGTTTTGCACCATGAGCACCGCACGGCAGCCGACGACGGCTTGGCCAAGGACATGGCAATTGCCGCTCCACAAGCGCGCTTGCAAACCGTGCAACGACTGTGACCAAAGTTGCCCTCGACGAAGTGGTGGGCGGTTGTGCACGGCGGGTTGCTTTCACGGGTGAACTTGGCGCGACACGGGATGGCGCGGTTGACCATCTTGCGGCAGCCGTGGTCGACAACAATGCGGCAAGCCGAGCACTTGAAGCCCTTCTTGAAGCCCACCATCTTGCGGCAGACGTTGCAGTAGGCCACCTTTCCAAATTCCTTGGGGTACCAAATGTGCTGCTGCTGGTCATTGTGCTCAGCCTCGTTGATGGCCTCGCGGAGGGACAGAGAAGGTCCCAGCGACTTTTTCTTTTTGCGACCACCACTACCACCACCTTCGGCGGCGTTCGCCAGGGAATCAGCAGCGCCATTCGCATCCTGGCCAGCCGCTGCTTCGGGAGCCAAGACATCTTGCAGCGAGGAATTCTTTTTGCGATGGAGGCGGCGATTGCGGAGTCGTTGGAACGGCCCGCTGCTGATTGTCGGCGCAATCGTGCTGAGGTTTGCATGCATGGAGGCTACTTCAGAAGCGCTCGGGCCCGCTGCCCCTGCGCCTCCAGCGGCATCCGCCGGTGTCGAGACAAAGCCCTCTTCGTCCTCGTCAGAGTCGTTCTCGGATCCGTCGTCGCTGGTCGACCCGTCGAGCGAGTCGTCCGAATCAAGATCCGTCTCCGACGTTGACGGCTCTGACTCGTCGTTCTCGAGATCCTCGTGGTCGTCCGAGTCGTGGTTCAAGTTCGGGCTGCTTTCGGAAACTATCGGCGCAGCGGTATGAAGAATGGGCATGCTCGCGAGTCGAACGTTGGGGTGATCGGGATTCCGGCCTTTCGAGGGCGCGCTTGTCGTTGGAACTGTGGATGTAGCTGTAGCTGCTGCTGCAGCAGCTGAAGCTTGCGATGAGGCAAGCGAGGCCTTGAATGTGGCCGCAGCAGGAGTCAGCGGCTTTACGCTGCTACCGCCAGACAAGAGCGATCCGATGCCAGGGTTGAGCAGACCGTTGGAGCTGGCGGCAGTGGTGATGAGGAGTGGCGATCCTTTGCTGGCATTGGGCGAAGGACTGCGGCGCATCGTTTTCGAGTTTAATGGCGGAGTTCGGCTGCGGTTGATGCCCGTCAGATTTGTATTCGTGTTGCCTGGCTGTTCTGGCTCGCTCGTTTCCAGCGCAGGCAGCGACTGAGTTGAGCAATCCTGCGCCAGCACGGGCTCGCCCCCAAGGAGAGAGCGCCGGGCACGGGCTCGAGAGTGGTTTGTGGGTTGGATGAATCTCAGATTGGAAGAAGGGTCTCTGAGCAGTCAAAGCAATGGTTAGGGTGAGTTGCTGTCGACGCCATCTAATGGTTAGGGTGAGTTGCTGTCGACGCCCATCTCGACTGTGTGTGTATGTGTGTGTATGTATGTGTGTGAGTGTGTGTGAGTGTGTGTGTGTGTGTGTGTGTGTGTGTGTGTGTGTGTGTGTGTGTGTGTGTGTGTGTGTGTGTGTGTGTGTGTGTGTGTGTGTGTGTGTGTGTGTGTGTGTGTATGCGGAGTTGTTGCTCGTTGTACACTTTGAACTTTTCGAATTGGCTGAATGAGAGTGAGCAAAAAGTGAAGGGTTGGTCGGAATTTCAACCGTTCCCCGCCCCTCCCCCTCGCCGCCTTGCAAGCAATTCAAAACCACGTCGGTAAGCGACCACTAAGGCTCGGATTGGGCACACTTTCGCAGCAGTCAGCAAGCCAGCAGCAGCAGCAGAGCAATCGAAACCGCTTTGTGCTTTTTTTTTTTTTCATTTCCTTGCTGGTTTTGTTTCGCCATTGTCGTTCGCACTGACGCGGCACACGACCGACCGGGCATCGACATGCAACGTGACATGTCAGGTCAGGCCGTGGCGTCCAAGTGCCAGAATGGCTCTCTTCCTTCTGACACAGGGTCGTGCCTAAAAAAACCCAAAAACCAAAATCCAAACCAAAAAAAAAAAAAAAAAAAAAAAAAAAATCGAAATTCACCAGAGCAAGTTGAGGCATAGACCTCGCTCATTGAACCGTGGTTTGCAGAGCAGTCTCGGCATTGTCTGGGCTTTTTGCTACGCGAATTCACTGCGCTAATGTCGGCGGCATCTGGCGGCGTTGGTTTTCACCAGCACAAAGAAGAGGCATTCAGCGAAATCCGACGCTCCATTTTTGGTGGCCGCTTTTTCCCCTTTTTTTTTTTTTTTTTTTTTTTTTTTTTTTTTTTTTTTTTTTTTTTTTGGTGAAAATCGCTTCGGTTTTTGCTGCTGCGGTCCTCCAAACGGCAAGTTTCGCTTCCAACCGCTTTGTCCGGTCCCGCACCCCGAGAACGATGCTCTCACCACTCCCACTTGTCCATGGGTGTGTGGAGGACATCCCCCCACCCTCAAGGCCGCGTCGTAGAAACACAGCCTCGTCACCCCGCCAAATTCGGTTTTCTCTCAATCGAGTTTTTGCTGCAGCGCTTCCGTCACTGCACACCACAAACTGCGTCCCTTCCCTACCTCCGCACCCCGTCAAGCAGCACTTGGGCATCCACAATGTCAGCAGACAACCACCACGCTCATCCATTTCCCCGTCCATCCGTTGAAAACAAACAAGACCACAAAAAACAAAATTGACGGAAACTGTGTTGGTCTTTGACCGTCTTTGGCGGATGTCGAAGGGAAGTGACTCACTCGGCTTGCAACAGGGCTGCAACTACCAACCGACACTGAAAAGATGGGTGTTGTTGTTGTTGTTGTTGTTCCAGCGACTGAATGGCAAGAAGAAGAAGAAGAATTAAGAAAAAAGCCAATCAAGAATCAAAAAAATCACCAAAAACGGTTAAAAAAGACTGAAAAAAAAAAAGAAACTGAGCCTGTTTGTCTGAGCATCCAAAACAAGGAAGAGAAAGACTTTGCCAAAGTGTGTGGCACACAGCCAAAGCACAGAGGAAGCTTTGAGGAATTGAATGAGGTTCAAGTGTGGACAGCGAAAAGGTTCGATTGACAACCCAATCCATCACACACTTATTCACAATAAAGGAGTTCATGATGAAGCCTATTCACACCGCACTCACCGCCTTCTCCACAAGCTCACCAATCCAACAACAACAGCAATGAAGTGAGGGACAAACAAAACTCAGTCTTTCAATCCCCTCTCTTCTTTCCCATCCACTTCGAAGTCCATCCAACATCGACAACATGCTTTCTGCGGCTGCTGCGGTTCGGACCTCGTGTCGCTCCGAGCGCGTCGCGGCGGCTGTCGCGCAGACCGTGCTTGCTGCGCGTGGAGTTGCTTCGATGCCCCTTGCGACGACGCGTGCGGGCCGTGCGGTTGGACTGGCGCCGGCTTGGGTTGCGATGGCTGGAAACGCGAGATCGCAGACGCGTGCCGTCTCGACGTCCGCCAGCAGCAGCACTGCGCGTGTGTCTGCCGCCCACCTCGCGCAGGCATACCGTGGCAAGCACACCACCACAGGCCTGTCGCTCTCGTCAGGAGCCGGTGGTGCAGCCGGCGGTGCGAGCACATCGTGGCCGTCCGTCGGTCGTGCCATCCACAGCAGCTGCGCCAGCGGTGCCTCCAGGCACAACAAAGGCCCTCTGTCTGCAGCCGGATCTCAAGAGCCCATCCTCAGCCAAGCAGACGTCGACGCGCTCGCGTTGCAGATCGCGTCGCTGCCGACCGAGGAGCGTGCCGCCAAGCTTGGCGCTTTGCTGCCCACTCTCCCGCCTGCGACTGCTACCCGTCTTGCGGCGGCTGCCGGTGTCTCCGTGTCGGCCGTCGATGCAGCGTACCGTGATGGTCTCGCCAAGACCCAGGGGTCTGCCGTCTCCTCCGCTGTCAGCGCGGAAGAGGTGGAATCTGACGAGGTGCTCAAGGAGGAGGACGAGAGTCCGCTGTCTGCCCGCCACCAACACACGCGCTTTGGCTACCAGGATGATGCGCCGAGCAATCCTCTGGCAGCACTCAAGAAGGTGGCCGCCAGCAACAGCGCCAGCACGCGGCAGCAAGCCGCCACTCCCGACTCCATCCGTCTGCAATACGACGCACACAAGCGTGCCACAGACGCGCACTCTCGTGCCAAACGCGCATGGGAAGCAGCGTCGCAGGAGGCTGCCAAGCAGCCCGACGTGTCGACCGCCGGGCTCATTGAGCGGCTGCGTGCGCAGTCGTTCACCGTCAAGTCTAAAGGCGTCGAGGCATTGCATGGCGGTGGCACGCACGTCACGGCATCGGCATTGTTCAACAGCGGCCATCGCCAAATCCGACTCCACGCTCCCGCTGCTCGACAGGACGAGCTCGAAGAGTTGCTCGAAAAGTGGATTGCGCTCACCTGGGCCACAGTCAACTCGGAGATGACCCGCGACTTTGCCAAGACCCTTGTGGACAGGGAGGCCACCCCAGTTGCATCCACGCCCGCAACCAGCGGCTCGCAGGACTTTGCCCTGCTGCAAATGTCGGATCTTATGCCGCTGGACGCCACCTTCCTCCGCGTCGCCCAACGCGAGTTTTTGGCCAGCCACAAAGACGTTGGCTTTGAGCTCATTCGCTTTATGCCCGAGCCCCGCACCTCCGGCGTGACCATGTGTGTCGCTGCTCCCGCCGTGTCAGAGTTTGATCGTCTGTCCGCTGTCGACGCGCCAGACGCGCAAGCTGATTCTACCGGCAAGTCCTGGCGGATGCTTTCCTTGCTTGCTGGTCTTGAGCTCACGACTCTGGGCCCCTTGAGCGCTGGCGGCGAGCTAGTCTCCGACATGGGTGACTTTCCCCTCCTTCCTGCAACAGAGCCGAACGCCCAAGAGCTCAGCAAGGTGCGTGATAATCCCAGCCCGCCGTTGGACAGACGCGTCGCGCACCGCGATACGGCCATTGTTGCCACCTTCCGCAGCGCCGATCCTACTCAAGCCGAGCTGTTGAGCATCCACGGTGTCCAGTTTGAAAACGACTCTGATTTGGAGGAGCGTGCTCCCAATCAAGCCCCCAAGTATGACGAGCAAGATGCCGACAACCAGTTTTTGGACAACCTTTCACGGTACGTCTTCTTTGGTTTGTGTTTTGCTTTTTTTTGTTTTGTTTCTTTCCACCTCTCGACAACGTTGTTTGACTGACGTCCCTTTTTTTCGCTGGTTTTTTTTTTGTGTGTGTATGTGTGTTCACGCTTGTTCGGAAATGTTCTCTCACAAACAGGCGTAAGGCTGCTGGTCACTCCATTACCGAGATCACACCGTCCAACTTTGCGACGACCATGAACACTGAGCGTCAACTGGTCAGAATCGAAACTCGCTGCCGTTGCAGTTCGTCCGGCTCTCGTGCTTGTCTCACCTTCACACCTTTTTGCTTCTTTTATTGCTGACAGGTGCAAGATTTCCTCGATATGCCCCCGACTCGTATTCGTCAGATGGCAGAGGATTTTGCCGCCCGAACCGCACCATTTGTGAGTTGCTGTTGTTGTAGTTGTTGTAGTTGTTGCAGCTGTTGCAGTTGTTGTAGTTGCAGTAGTTGTTGTTGTCGTGTATTGTTTCGGCAGAAGCCATTTTGGTTGGTTGAAGCAAAACCACTCATTTTTGTTCTCTATCGTCCTTTTGAAACCCCAGAGCCACAGCGATCGTCGACCAGTGCAATTTGTCACACGCCACTACATCACCGTGACGAGCGATTTGCCTCCCGGCGGCTCGCGAAAAGTCGTGTTGCAGATTCCCCTGAGCGAGCTAGAACTACCTTCGGTTGTGGAGGAGATTTTCGTGGCCATGCTCGAGACCCGCATCATTGCTGGCAAGACTGTTCGATTGGTCAGCGACCGGTACGTGTTGTTGAAAGAACTGTTTGTTGTTGTTGCTGCTGTTGTTGTATGTGAGTTTCGTGTCGCTCACCTTCTCTCTCCCGTCGTGTGAATTCTCGATAGCTTCCCGCTGCGCGAGCAAAACCAAGATTATCTGCGAGATTTGCTGCTTGTGCTCGTTCAACGAGCGTACGAGCTTGCTCTCCAGCAGCCCAGCCTCCCTCTCACAGCCCATGAGCAAAAGGAACGCGACCTGCACAAGTACCTCGTGTCTTCTCCGATGGCTGGCACCGCTGCAGCATCTCGAGTATAATTTTGAATTGTAATAATGACAAACCCCATTCCAAATTGGCTCATTCTCGTTTTCGATTTTTTTTTTCGGTTTTTTCACACGATATGCTACAAAGCAACAAAGCAAAGCACTCGATAGAATTGCAACAGTCTCAGTTTGTGCTCAGGCGAGCAGGTGTGGGTTCTTGAAGCGTGGCATCAAGTCTAGCCACGGCAATATTGAGACGTCGTTGCAGGCTGTCATTGGTCGAAAAAACCAAAAAACCCGCTGCCAGAGAAAGCGATGGGAACGGGAGGTGGGGATGCAGTTGAGTAACAGTTCGTAATCCTGCCCCCGAAAACAAAACAAAAAAAAAACGCCATCACCAGCGCGCTTTCGATGCATACCTTGCCAAATACATCAACAAGGGCCCAAATCTCATCCAGTATCACCAAGAGCCTCAATTCTTGCGGTGATACAACGTCGTCGGCGTCTGACACCCGGCGGTCCAAGTCTGTGGGCTCGTCGTCGTCGGCAGCGGTGGCCACCTCGGATGCTGGCAATCGCTGCCGAAGCGCGGCGCCCAGACCATCGCCCGGCGCAAGAATGTCAACCTCACCAAACTGCTCTCGCAAGAACGCCTCAAGACAGATTGCCCATTCGACGCGTGGCTCGTCCTCGCCCGCCAAGGCTGCCAAAAGTGCTGCTCGTTGCTCCTCATCTTGGTCAGGATTGCGACCGAAAACATCTTGCACCACTTCGTTCAGCTTTGACGCCTCCGTGGACATGTCCGAGTCGGAGTCATCGTGCATTGCATGATTGTGCGAATCACCGTGACTGTGAGATGATTGCGACACTGCAAGTGAAAACAAAACGAGACAAACAAAAAAAGTGAACAGGACGTGATCTCAAATCGTGATTTGTCCACTATCAAAAATTGAGAGGGAGAAGGGAGAGGGACGACTTACGCTTGACCGACTGAGGATTGGACTCGATCTGCAGCAACACTGCGAGAACTGAATCTGCAATCATATCATTCACTGCGGAAGCCACCCATTCGAGCACCACAGAGGTAGAATCCCGCTGAATCACAGTGACAGTTTCAAAGACCTGCCAAAAGTAATGGAGGAAAACAAAATAAAACAAAAAAAATCAGTCAGCGAAACGGAAAAAAAAATAACTGGACACCCAAAAGCACGCAAAGAATACAGATTTGGCTTTTTGTGTGGCGGGGAGAGAGAGTTACCAGCAACGACGGACTGTTATCTTGGTCGAAAGGCTTGACATTGCCGTACATTTGCTCGAGATAAAACTGCAAGAGCGAGAACGGAAGGCGATAGGCCACACAGAGCCGTTGCCGAACGACGCTCGTCTTGAGTTCGGTGAACTCGGTAATATCTCCTGGAGCCATCAACTGGTGGGTAAAGCCTCGTTTGACAAGCACGCCAGAGACGGCTTGCAAATCTTCGGGCTGGGTGGCCGCAAGGCTGCCGATCGCCTTGGCCATCCGCTCGCCTCGGAAGTACAGCTGAACAGACTGCGCGTTGGCAGGTGTGTGCACTTCAATTTTGATTTCGGCGTGGTCTTCGTACCTGCACCGCACCGCACAGACGACGTTGACGGGAACAGTGAGTGCGAGCGACACGTTATCACGAACAAGAAAAGAGCACAGAAACGTACTTTCGGGTCAGTGCGGCCTTCAAACGACCCATTTCGGTGGCCTCGCCGTGCACCAAGACAATGTGCGGTGGCTTGAGAGCGTCGATAAACTCGGAAGTTTGAGCGAAATCAGCGTGCGCCGAGAACGACACGTAGGTGACTGACATGCGAAGAGGGAGCTTTTGGCCGGTCAGCGAGGGCACCTCTTTCGGGGCTGAGAGAATGGACTGGACACACGCACAGACAACAATGAGAGGAGAAAAACAACAGAGAGTTGGAAACAAAGCTGGTGGCCAACACCAAGACCAACAAAAACCTGCGGGGCACATACCTTGGCAAGAGTACCTTCAACCGAGTAACCAGTGACAATCACTCCGTTGCGCGAGTCTGGGCACCACTGCTCAAAGAGATCGCGAGAAAGCCCATTCTGCAGCATACCGGGACTTGCCATCATGACCATCGGGCCGGACTGGTCGATTTCGCTCGCAGATTTGATCGAGGCGATGTGTTTAAACATGAACGGGTTGGAGATGGCAAACTGGCGGCGAATTCGCTCGTTCATTTGATTGATGTAGGTTTGGTAGATGGCCATGCATTTCCTTGCCAGCGATGATGCATAATAAATGGGAATGTTGTGCAGCTACCGTTGTCGATGTGTCGAGCATTGTCGAAATCCAAGGCCAAAGAGCGCAGCAGGATTGGTGTTCAAATCCAAACAAGAAAAGTAGCACAGAGTGTGAAATGAGGAGACGATAAAGCAGAGCAGATCGCAGACAAGCAGGCGCCGCAACTTACGGCAGGCTTGGACTCCCAAAATTCATCCAGAATGAGCAGCAGCTCTTGGGCGCGCCCAAGCGCAAACACTGGGAGGAGGCACTTGCCACCACGCATCACAATGTCATGCACGTCCTTTGTGAAGCGACCCTCGCGCTCCACGCGAGGCTCGTGAACACGCACGCCGTACGTCGACTCGACGCAAAGCACGTCTGGCGCAATCGTCGGGATTTCAGCAGGCATCAAATGTCGGTCTTCATGCCGACTGTAATCACCAGTGTACAGCAGCTGTGGTTGAGTTTCCACACACGCACACACACACACACACACACACACACACACACACACACACACACACACACACACACACACACACACACACACAGGCACACGTGTCAGTATACCACCACCAAAAATCAGAAAAAGAGGCGAAAAACATCGAACTGCTCCTGTTACCTTCACACCAGCAATCTCAACCATAAACATGCATGCACCAAGCACGTGCCCAGCATTGTAGCACCAGAACTTGATGCCATTGACCTCCTTTTCCTGGTGGTAGTCGATGGTTTCGATGCGCGCCATGGTGTTGTCAATGTCGCGCTCGTTAAACAGCATTTCGTCCGCAGAGACGTTCGAAACTCGGATGAAATCAGCCACCATCCATTTGTAAATCGCCTGAGCAAGTGGTACGAGTGTGGATTTGGGGTGAGCGTCGTGTCAAAACGAATGAGAAGTGCAAAATGAAATCGGCGCAATCACACCGACCTTGGTTGGATGCGTCATGAATACACGTCCTTTAAAGTTGGTTTTGGTCATGATGTACGGTACGCCAGCACTATGATCAAGGTGAAAGCTGCCAACAACCAAGGGTTTTTGAGCCAAGTCTTGCAAAGGGTGAGAGCTCGTGCTGCTGGCGGTGCTTACTGTGTGACGAGCAGAACGTCGATCGAGTCGAGCCCTGGGTCGAACGAGTCAAAGAATGGCAATGCAGCCTGGCCCGAGTATGCAGGGTGCAGACCGCAGTCGAACTGCTCAGAACAAGGGCAACACAGCGAGCGTGAACCAACAAGTTGAGCACAAATGGACGATCAGACATCAGACACTCTGCCGCCAACGCCCGTCGACATAGAGCATAATTATGCAAGGGAGGATGAATATCAACCCCCCCCCCCAGAACTCTCTCGCAAAAGTTTCATGGTCGAGCGATGGTCGAAAGGGGAAAGGTCGAGAAAACGCACCATGATCGTCTTGCCCTTGAACTGGAGCACAAAGCACGAGCGGCCGACCTCCTGGCCTGCACCGAGGGGCGTCAGGATCATGAGGTCGCTTTCGAGGGGCGGGTCGCCGTCTGCCTTGCGCTTGGACGGCAGAATCGACAGACCAGGCACTGCAGTCGGAATCGCACCAGCAATGAGCGACGCCGGTGGTGCTGCACTACTCATTTTTGCTTCTCTCCCAAAAAACGACTGCGCCTCTGAGCTTTTTGTGCTTTTTGTGTTTCGGGGGGATGATTGGATTATTTGAACAAGACGACAGGGTTGAGGAGGCAAGGGGCGACGCGTTGGCTGAATGCGTTGATCCTTTCCGGCTTTCGAGCATCAGTGAAAATTACCACCCGTGTGCGGCATACATCGCTCTCGTTCTTTTTCACTCATGTGTTGACGATGATGATGAACATGATGATGATGGTGGTGGTGATGGCGAACGGTCTTTTGCACCTCTGCTGGTTTTCCTTCCTGTCCATCCTACTCTATCTCATTTTCTTTTTTCAATCTCACCTTTTTTAGTTTGCCCTTTTGTTCCTTGATCGCTCAGACACTCATTAATGGGGGTCAGTCCTTCAATTTCTTAACTTCTCCCCAAAACTAACTCACAATCCCAGCATCAATGAAGCTGTTTGAAGCCACGCACATTTTCGGCCACTCGTGGGACAAGCTCACGCTCGCCTCCTTCCGCAAGTACCCAAACCCCTTCTCCCCACACGTCGTCTCTGTCGACGTCGTCAACCGCTACGTGGACCCTGCCTCCGGTGAGTCTCCCGTTTGCCCCCCGCTTGCCGCTATTCAATGACGAAGGGTGGTCAAGACAGAAAAAAAAAAAAAAAAAAAATGGCGCCAATGCCAATTCAAAGACAAAAAAAACGAAGCTCATGGAACTGTTTTCCGCTTTTTCGCGCGGTTTCCTTGTCGCGGTTCGCGTGTCCGTCGAAGGGAAGATCGCGTCTGACCGTGGGGAGCGTTTCATTGTCACGATGCCGTCGTGCTTGCTTTGGGAAGAGCAGAAGCCGAGGCCGTCCTCGCTTGGGCGGGAAAGAGCGTTTGGAGACGGATGGGGGGAAAACGCCGAGATCGCGCGGAAAAAAAAAAAAAAAAAAAAAAAAAAAAAACGTGTCTTGGCTTTTTGTCCCTTTCTCTTCCTTCCTCTGTGTCGTGTGCACACCATGCAAGCATACTTGGTGGCACTCCTTGGCAAGCAACAAGAGTGTGTCTTCCCTGCATTGACAAGACGCGCTGTGCTGTGCGAGTGTGGGGTCGAGAGTCACGCCCGAGACTGCAGCCTCTTCCTCCCCACGATCACTTCACTCCACTCACGCTCGCTGGGTCCTACCTCCATCCAAACCATCACCACCACCACCCCCTCACTTGCACACAAGCCAATCCTCAGCACCACCCTGATCAGCGATCGCTTTTCTTCTTCTGTTGTATTCAGTTTGGGTTGTTTTGCCCGACACATCATCATCCAAGTGCGAACATTCAACTCACGTTCACGTTCAACCCCCCCTTGCCCTTTGCTAGGAAAACTCATCACACACCGACTCGTCACGATGGAATCGGGATTGCCTGGATGGCTGTCCCGCGTTATGGGCTTCACCGCAGCCCACTGCCATGTCCACGAGACGTCCGAGGTCGACCCGACCACGCAAACGATGACTCTGCGCACGAAAAACCTCAGCTGGAGCGATCTGTTCACTGTCGAGGAGATGTGCCAGTACGCACAAGACCGCAACGACGCCTCTCGCACCGTCTTCACCCAGGAGGCGCGCATTCACGCGTTTGGCTCGCTCGCAACACTCCGCTCCCGCATCGAGGGCGCCATGCTCGACCGCTTCCGATCCACTGCCGCCAAGGGCAAGGAAGCCATCGAGTTTGTTTGCGAGTCCTTGAGTCTCGAGCAACAAGAGGCCACGATCTCGTCTGCCTAAGCACGCACGCACGCAAAGCAATGCCAAAAAATTCCGTTAACGCCCGCTGTATCTCTATTCTTTCTTCGCCCCCCCCCCTTCTTTCTACACCGCGATCTCGCTGTTTGGTTGTCGCAAGGACGCGCTGCTGCTCCATCTCTGGTATGAGGAGCCAGCTCGTGGTGGTAGATGCCATTTGTTGATTTTTTGTTTGTTTGTTTGTTGTTGTTGTTTTGTTTGTTTCCGTGATTTTTGTGTGTGCCGTGTCTTCTTGTTAACGCGCTGCCAATGTTGGGTTGCAACCCAACATTGTGCGGCATTCTTCACCCCCTCATTATATCAATTTGATCCTTTTTCCAATCTTGGTGCACTCATTTTTCCCAGAGTACTCAAAATGTCGACCGCGTACCAACGGGTGGCCGATCCCTCGCAAGGGTTGAGCAAATCGGAGCCTGTTGCGATTGTGGACGAGCAGGACAATGTCGTCGACGTCGTGCCGCGCTGGCGTGTGCGGAAGGACAATCTCCGACACCGCGCAACCTTCATTTTCGTGCGGCATCGCGAGGCCGGGAAACCCGTCCCAGCCAGCTGGCAAGATGAGCTGTTTGTGGTGCAGAAGCGTGCCTTGATCAAGGACTACTGCCCAGGGTATCTGGACGCGTGCACTGGCGGCGTGATGCAGGACGGCGAAGAGTACGAGCCGGTAAAGAACAGAGCACTTACGGATTGCTGCTCAAAGTAACACGTGAGCTCGCTTGCTGACTTTTGTGTTGTGCCAATGATGATGACGATGATGATGATGATGATGCTGATGACAGAGTGCTCGGCGCGAGCTGGAAGAGGAACTCGGCATCAGCGCCGCCTCGCTGACCCCGCTCTTCCACTTCCTCCACGAAGACAGCGTGACCAAAGTGTGGGGCGGTGCATTCCTGTGCGACTACACTGGCCGACTGGCAGACCTGGTGCTGCAGCCCGAAGAAGTCCTCAGCGTTGAGACGCTCACGTTGGGCGACATGGTCGCGCGCAGCAGCGCCGGTGAGCCGTTCACGCCAGACTCGATGTCCGCCGTCAAGCGTTACATTGCGCAATTGGAGGCCAAGTCGAATTGAGTTTGAGCCGCTCCACTCAGTCCTCGTTTTTTTCTGACCGTTCTTCTTCACATGTAAGAAAGCGGCAAATCGTCGTTGCTCTCTCGCCCCCCCCCCCTCAAATCAACGACGTCCGCCAGCCGGTCCACCTACAAGAGAGAGTCAGACAAATCCTTTGAAGTTACCAACATGGAAGGGTCAGCTCTGGGTGTGAGCAACGGGACTGTAGGAAAAGGCGGGAAAACTTTGAGTTTCTCCGCATGTTCCAAAACGGGCACGAATTTCGCATGCGAATTGTTTGACGTGCGGATGTATGTTGTCGGATGAACATTTTTCGACACGAACTCTTGCTGTGCGCCGTATTGTGGCCCGGTGTCCTGTATTGAAATCACCGTAGCGAGAGTTTTTGGTTCAGTTCTGCGCAAACTCCTCCTCGCCTCGCATCGTCTGCCCAACTTGATTTGAGGACTTGTGGTTTCATCATGCAATGCCTGGTGTCTGTGCTAACCACTGCCCCTTTTTGTTTTGTTTTCGTCGTCAGTTTCTCCGCCGCAACCCCCCTACTTTTAGAAAACCGCACAAAGAAATGCGCCAAGCCATCCTCCTCACTGCCCTTCTTCTGGCATGCGCGACAACGACCTTCGCCGCCAACGACCCTGTGCTGTACAATGCGATTGCTGCAGCCAACAAGATTTTCATGTCCCTGTTTGCGCAAGGCAACGGTGCCGCAATCGGACAGCTGTACACTCCGGATGCACATTTGCTTCCCCCAGGCGCACCCACGATCGAGGGTCAGGCAAATATCGGCAACTTTTTTGCTGGCGCTCACGCGTCAGGCGTTGCCCAGGCCGTGTTTGACATTGTCGAGGTTGGCTACCTTCACGGCGATGCGCTGGCGTACGAGCGTTCGAACTACACATTCTACTCGTCGACCGGCTCTGTCCTTGATGTTGGTATGTGTGTTGGATTGCCAAACTGTTTTGGACTGGGGATGAAAATGCGGTGCGCGTTCGTGTGGGAGAAGAAGAGTTTGTTTGTTGGTTTGTTTGTTGTTTGTTTCTTTCTTCTCATCCTGCTTCCCTTCTCCAAAAACACCCCACACATACACACACGCACACAGGCAAGTATGTCGTCATCTGGCGCAATGTCACGGGCCACATGTATCTGTACACCGGTGAGTAGTCTCGGTCTGAGGAGGCATGGCAAAACGCGTTGATGTGCTCATTGCTGCCTTGTCTGTGCTCTGACGCGATAGACATTTTCAACTCGAACAATGCGTAATTCGTGTCCTCCCATGGTGCCAGCCATTGTCACAGCCAATGCTCCAACTCTCAGTTTCTCAATAAAATCAGTCCAAAGCCCCAATCAAGATTGCAGTCGTTTTTGCTTTTTTTTTTTTTTTTTTTTTTTTTTTTTGTGTGTGTGTGTGTTTCGCCGATGCCTCCAAAGCTCATCTCGAACGCCTGCAGCGCTTGCCAGGTGCGCAACAGCTTCTTCCTCCTGCACTTCCCACCCATTTCCCCCGACTTGTCGAGGGCTGCTCCATGTGTGTGGGGTTGGCGCTAGTGAGACGCCCCTTTTTGAGGAGCTGCTCCATAGTTGGAAGTCGCGGCGCGGTCCCACGCGCAAGATGTACTTCCATACGTCCCAAGCGCCTCCCCCCCCCCTCTCCCTGTTTTCGGCTTGGGTGTTTTTTGAATGGGGGGTTTTTTGAGTGGGTTTTGAGACGCAGTATAAAGCGTGCGAACAGCGCAACGAACAAGCGTCCAAAGTGAGTGAGCAAAATCACGGAGATTTCCTCAACACCGCTCCTCTCTCTCTCCCTCTCGCTCGCTCGCTCTTGGCCAAACCGATCTTTGCTCATGACACTCGAATGTGCGTGCATATGGCGCAAATCTTGCTCATCTCCCTCCCGCCCCTTCTCCTGTCTCTTGTGCTTTGTGCTTTGACAGACACGGCACCGACGCTGCGACGGCGTCAAACCCGTCTGCACTCCATGCCAGCTCAAAGGGTGGAGCGACCGCTGCCAGTTCGTGCCGGGCAACAAGCGCGGACCAAAGAAACAGACTGACTCTGAGCTGTCCTTTGACGGTGCTGCTGCGGCGACAGGCGGGGCTGTGGTCGACTTTGGCCACAATGGCGCCCGTCATCACGGCGGCGGGATTGAGAAGCGCCGCCCGCTCGGCTCGAGCCTGCCGCTGCCTGTCGCCACAGCTGCAGTGGCCACGGCACATCGCGGTCATGTGCAAACGAGTGTGGTCGCAGCAGCAGCGGCAGCAGATGCACCCAGTCCGCCTTCTAGTCCACTCGTGTCGACGCATCACCTCGTTTCGCAAATCCGCCAACTCCAAGACCAAATCCTGCTCATGCAGCAAACCCTGTTGAAAGCACCACCAGGCGTAGTGGATGGCACCCAACAGCTCGCATCCACGGCCCAACCGGCCTTGCTCCTTCGTCCGTCCGTCGAGTTTGCTTCTCCTTCGCCGCTTTCCGTCCAGCCATATTCCCTCCTCGATCAGAACAGCAATCTTCTTCAGCAGGCTCATGACTCGGATTCCCAAGATCTAGTTGAGCCTGCTTCGCAGCACCTGCGAGCTACGGTGGCCGTGGCGCCCATCATGCACGAACTGGAGCGGTCGTTTGCGCGCATGTACTTTTCGGACATTGCAGACGTCTACTACAACTGTGTGGCCCTCGGGACTCCTCTGATGCCGCGCCATGTGATGCAGCTCATCATCGAGCAGAGTTGCGATGATATTCAGGAGGACGATGGCAATGACGACAACCCGCTCCATCCATTGGTCCCGCACCGCGGGCGGTTTTCGCGAGAGGCGGTCGCTCTCCTGCGAGCCATTCACCTGCTCTGCTTGCAGCGCATTGGTCGCAAGGAAGCGGCATTGAAACAGCTGAAAGCGCTCGACGTGGCCATCTCAAGCATGTTTGGGCGCCTGCACCAGTCGCGAGATCTTGCCGCTGCACTCATCATCACAGCCTACTACCTGTTTGGCGAGGGAGAAATCGCCATGGCCCGCGCCTATCTGAAACACGCCAGTAGCCACTTGCAGCACTCGCCAATCGACACGAGCACCGCGCTGACCTGCCCAAGAACCGCGAGCGACAATCCCGCAGCACCAGCAGCTGCCTCATCTTCGCCTCCCGTCGTCGAGCAGTCAAAGTTTTCGAAAATCTACCACTGCGTGGCAATGGTGGTTGCAGAAAACGTCTTTGAGCAGGTCGACAAGATGCGAGACAACTTTGCTTGGTACGCTGCGAGCGCGGAGGCTGCAGCGGCGCATGCGTCCGACACCACGCATCACTGGGTCTCTCCCCACCTCGTGGCACTCACTTTGCAAAATCCAGTCCATCCCAAACAGGCCGCGACCACAGCAGCCGGGCCCGCCATGGATCTCGACTCGGTCAAACGCGTGCTCGACTCTTCGCCCTTCCCCCTGTCGTCGCACCTGACGGCGTCGGATGGCCATTCCCTGGCACCATCTTCGCTGTCGACATCTTCTTCTACTTCTTCTTCTTCTTCTTCTACTTTTTCTTCTTCTGCTGCTGCTCTTTCCTCTTCGTTGGCCACGTCGGGAGCACCGCTGGCGCCAGCTCTGGAGGTGACGGACGCCGCTATTAGTGTCACCCACAGTCTCGAAGTGATTATCGACGGACTGTTTGGCATGCGGCTCGCTCCATCCGATGCGACAAGCGACAAGCACCGTCATGTCGATTCTGCGCAGTCGAAAAACGCGCAATCCTTGCCCACTTCTTCCACTGGCTCATTACCGGCGTCCGACGAGGACGAAGCCGAGCAGCGCACGATTCTCAACACAACCTATCACATGCTTCTGAATGGCATGAAACTCCACCTGTTGTATCTTCGTTGCGGGCATAACCCCTCTCAGTTCCACGTTCATGATGCGGCCGCCAACAACTACCCACAAGGAACGACCATTTCGCCGTACTCGTCGCCAATCGGTGATGGCCACGAGCCGCTCGACACTGTGATTGGAACCGCCTCTTCCCCTGCGTCGTCCTTCCAGTCGCTTCACGCTTCAGAGTACGGTCGCGGCGCCGTGTATCCCGAACACCACCAGCCACACCAACAACGAAACCTACCAAACAACCACAGCAGCAACCTGCCCTTCTTCCTCCTTCCAACGACGGCAAGACCCAGCTATCCCGAGCTCGACGCCAGATTGCTTTCGTATGCAGTGCGATGCGCAGATGCAATCGTACAGTGCACACAGGCCAAGTGCTTTGCAAAATGCCCTGCCCCAGTCCACGAGAGCGTGGCGCTGGCTGCGCGAGTCTACTTGCAAAGCATCGACACCTTTTGGACTGGAGACGAGAGCGATTCGATTCCTTCGTCCTGGATATCGGGACTCGAGGATTGTCAGCACGCGCTGCAGCTTTTGAGTGCCCGATACTCGCTTATTCAGCTCCACCATCGCCGACTGCTCGACCTCGTTGCAGTCCGACTGCAGTCGTTCGGCCAAGCTCGCGGCGCACGTCCTGGTGTGTCCACCACGCCAGCGTCGTCGAACATGGCAGCACCAACCACTGCGCTCTCAATTTCCGAGGATGTCGCCGATGTCGTAACAACGGCTCTTACGAACGATCTGGCTGCTGATGAAGGAGTCACGCCCGATTGGCTCGGTCGGGTCGCCAATAGAGTGGATCCCGCTGCGTTGTTGCACCAACTGTCGGAAGACTCCAATGCTGCTGCGTTGGCGTCCACCAGCTTCCTGGAAGTCGACGACGTGCTGGAGCTGTTCATGAGCGACGTTGCTGGCGCGCACCCCAACCTCGGCCTTGGGTTTGCAAACAACTGGCAGTTTCACGACGCCAACCAGGAGTTGCTCTCCCACAACACTCCCGATGATGTTGCGAGCGTATTGAGTGCCGATGCTGTGCGGCATTTGTTGCTCAGTCCCGCAACAAGCTTACCGACCAGCCTGTGATTTCCTCTGCGTTTGCACATCTGAAACTGATTGAGCGAGCTTGTAAGCAAATACATTTTGAACCATCCAAAGCAATTCGTTTCTGCTTTTTGTAAGCGCACGCAGCTGCAGAGAGAGTTCAGTCACCAATTTCCAACCACACAAAAACACAATGGGTGCGGACGGCGGTAGTATTCCAACTCGCCGCGAGCTCGTCGTTGTCAAGAAGCGTGATAAAGTGGTATGTTTCTCGAGCTACCTTTTATTGCATGTAGTAATGCAAAAGAGATGTACAAGTTAGCTTGTGTGAGCTTGTGTTGTCGTGAGGAACCAACGCTTCAACCACACCCTGACTCTCACTCTCTCACTCTCTCTGCTTTTGCTTTGACAGCTGGAGCGCGATGTCGAGCTGGCACTGCGATGGACCAACTGCGCACTGAGCTCGCTCTCGCTGCGTGAGCCCATCGTTGCGTGTGCGCTGGGCCGCATGTACAACAAGGAAGCAATTCTGCAGCTGCTGCTCGACCGCGCGTCGTTCGGCGAGCAGGGCAAGGTCGCCAGCCACATCCGCGGCCTGCGCGACGTCACAGAGCTCAAGCTCACCCGCCTCGGAGGAGGAAGCGCCACAACGACGACGACGACGACGACGACCGCAGCAGACACCAAGGCGAACGAACCGAGCGCGTCATCGTCCAACCCGTTCGCGGCGACTCCGACCGCGACGCTGGCCGCGGATGGCGCAGTGGGTGCCGACGGTCGCCCCATCTACTATTGCCCAATCACACACCGCGAGATGACGGGCAGGTACAAGTTTATCTTCTTCCGTGGCTGCGGATGTGTCATTTCAGAGCAGGCGCTGCGTGAAGTCTCGTCGGATGTCTGCATGGTCTGCTCGTCGCCAATTGGCGAGTTTGACACGGTTACCATCAACCCGAGCGCGGAAGAGGAGGAAAAGCTGCGCGCAAACATGCTCTTGCGCAAGAACGCTGGCAAGGCGGGATTGTCCTCAACGAATGGAACGACTGCAGCGAATGGCAATGGGGGTGCGTCGGCCACCGCCAACCCCGTTGTGCGTGGCGAAAAGCGCACTGCAGACGAAGATGCAGTGAGCACGCACAACAAGTCTGGCAGACAAAGCGGCGTTGCTGACGTGCATGGAGCGCCTTCTGCTGTCACTGCCGCTGCCAGCTCTGGCGGCGCAAACCCCGCAGCAAGGAAACCAGTTGGTGCAGCCTTGACTGCTGCGGGTGGTGCCGCAGCGGCCGCCCCGGCAGCCAAACCTGCGACGTATGGAGGCATGTTTTCATCGCTCAGCAGCACGACAAAAGCACAGCCTGCTCGCTCTGGATCGGGTGTTGCGACAACTCTGCTAAGACGATGAAAGTGTTGCGTCTGTGATGAATTTGAAGCGTTTGTGATGAATAAGTTTTGCCCCATAAATACACCTTGGTCTCATTTAACAACATTTGGTTTTTTTTTTTTTTTGAAAAGCGCAGTCACGGGTGCTCGGCCAAGTACTGCTCGCGATCCACATGCACATAGCCGCAATGCTCACCCAGAGGACATCCATCTGGATGATACAAGTGGAGTAAACATGGGCGCCGCGCACGTTGTGGAGGGGGTGCTGGTGCTTCCGTCTCCATCTCGGAAATTTCGGACGCAACTACCACTGCTGCTTCGATGCGAGGCTTTTTCCGAGAATTGGCCTCGGCTTCTCGTCGACGCTCGAGCAGATCCTCCAGCTTTGTGCTTGGCCAATCTCGCAGTGCAACTGTTGCATTGGCTGTGAACGGCAAAACAATGTTGATTGTCAATTCAAGCTGATCACGCGTCAACCAAGAATGCGTTGCTGCGCGCTACTCTACCTTCAAACATGTAATGGTGGTTCTTGAGTAGCGTCTTGAGGCCGCCGTGATTGGACTTCATCTGAGTCAGCATGTCTTTGGAGAAGAGCTGTGCGACCTCGCCCATCGAAATCGAGCCTGAAATGGGTTGTTCCCACCACACCCCCCATGATGAGTGCAACAGAACGTTTGTTGTAAACACCAAAATCATCGACGTGACACAAAAAGCACTCGCAATGCCCGCTTTGGGATTTGTTTTCAAACTCACCGCCACGACGCCAAGGTCGACCGTCCCAAGTGGTCAAGACTGGACCAGAAGCAAGCTTGTCCTCTGTCGTTAGCGCGGCAAGCACCACTCGCACGGCTGCTTGGAGGAAATCAGGTGGCAGCTGTGTGCAATTCACAACCTCTTGAGTGGCAGATCGCGCAATGAACACGCGTTTTGCTCGTTGGACGTCAATCTCCTCGGCGCTAAGCCCAGCAGACGAAGCGCAGCTCATCCAATTGGCGTCCAGTAGCTCATCGACGCGAGCACTCACGCTCGCAGACGGAGCAGCGAGCGCTTCGCTCAGCTCCAGGGTCGGGACGCCAATGTGGCAGACTTTCTTGGTGGAAGGGATGCGGAGCACATCCGTGTACACATTGAATCCACAAACGCGTCCGAGTTGTCGCGTGTAGTGCAGATATTCCACGTACGTGGATGCCGAGCTGGATGTGATGGCGGGAGAGCCGTCGTGTCGACGCTTTCCTCGAAGGCTGCTGTCCTTGCCGCCGGAAGAGGCGCCAGCTGCTGCATCTGCCTCCAAAGCTGACACCGTCGTCGTCGGTGCTGCTGCAACGCCCAACGGTTGAAGCAGATGATCTTGCTCGCTTGCTGTGATCCGTTGCACACGCTCGTTAATCACATCATTGACAAAGCTGGTCTTTTGAAACCGACAGAACAGGTCAAAAGTGCAACAAGGAATGACAATATACTTGGTGGAAGGAGACGACCGCATGGCCATGAAGGGCATCCACGGGGTCAGCTCATCCGAGTGATTGCCGATGAGCCAATCGGCTTCTGGGAAGACGTCCACGTTCGGGTGGATGGCACGCACCTCCAGTCGTGCTTCGCCTGAAAACCGCGTCCAGATATCGCGAGCCGCGAGATCGACGCCATACCCAGTGTGGCCTTCGCGGGAAAGAATCCAAACCAGCAACCCGTTGCCGCAACCGAGATCCACAAAGCGCTGCTTCTGTGGCAGCTTGGTCGCAGGATTGCAGAACTGCGGCAGCTCCCACAGACACAACAGATACGAGGCAATCACGACGTCTTCAAATACAAACTTGGACGCGTCCGTCTTCTCAGACCAGCTGGCCGCCAGTGGCCAGCCGTACGTCGCTTTGAGCCGGTCGTACGTCGACAGGAATGTCTCAACGTCAATCATTGCTGTGAATGGCAGATTGGACGCGCTTAGGGTGGCGGGTACGTATGCCGCAGGGGTAAAGTCGGGCGTGCTTGCAAACCGATCTAGCGCAGCTGCTGCTGTTGAAGACGGTGTTGCTGCAAGAGATGAAGAAGAGGCTTCCGCGTCATCGATGAGACTTGTGGAACTGGGGTTGGTTTTTCTTGCGGTGGTGGCAGTGGGCAGCGACTGCAAGGGTATCGAAAGTCCGTAGAGCCGTTCGAGAAACTGCCCAGCCTTCCACACAAAGCCCTCCGCGAGCCGAGCCAACTGATCCTGGGTGGGTGTCCGCCAATGCACGACCTTGACAGATGTGGCCTCTGGCTCTGGAGCATTCGCGACCGATGCGAACAGTTGAATCTGCCCTTGCACGTCGAGCGCAAACCGCCAGCACACGAGCGGCAATTCGCCGACGCCCATCGGGTTTTCGACGCTGTAGACCCACGGCACCAGCGTGACGCTTGGCAGTGGCGCTCCGTGACGAACGACGGCAAATTCGACCGGATGCAGCTCGTACTCTGAAAACCACCCATGGCGGGCTCTCGGCACAATCATTCGCCGAGCAGTCATCGCAACGCCGCGTGCGCCACTGAGCGCATCATGGCTGTCGTTGCTCGCCTCGGCCTCGGCCTCGGTCTCCTGAATCGAGCCATCCTTTGCTTGCACAGTCGACCAGTCTGCGGCGGCATTGTACAGGGCGGCCAGCGCGTGTGCCGCAGCGTCGCCCTCGAGAGAGATGTTTGGCCTCGTCGCGAGCACTGCAGCGCCTTTAAACCGCTTGTTGATGAGCTGTGGCCGCTCCGTGTACAGCGCCACGGCTGTGAGAAACCGGTCTCTGTCCAGCGGCGGTGACGGCGGCGGCGCAGTGCCCTCCACATGCATCCACACGCGCGGACTCGTGCTGAGCAGCTCGCTCGCCGATGCCAAATCCATTGACTACAAAAGAACAAAAGAACAGGGACTGAGCTGAGGCTTTTGAGCTGCGGTGGATTTGGAATCATCAACGTTGATCCCATGATTTTAGATGATCATTTAGCTGAGACTTCTGAGACTTCTCAGATTTCAGCAAGCGTCAGTCAGTCAGTCCTTTTTTTTTTTTCTTTGCGTTTTCGTTCGGTTTTTGGTTTTTTTTTCTGTCAATGTCGCGTATTCCAAACCCTGCGCTTGTCGGCTCGGACGAGTTTGTCGAGGACCTTCGCACCTTTCAATCCCGGCGCAGGTAAAAGTCGACAAACAGCTCGGATTGCAATAGGAACGAGTCAAGTTGGGTTGCTTGAGTTTGTTGGTTGGTGGAGCATTGCGTTGCAGACCCGCGCCCTCCCGCCTGTTGTTTGGCTCTTTTTTTTCTTCCTTATTGCAATGGGCCGTGTTGGTCTCCTGTCTCGATCAGATGTGTGTGTGTCAGGGGGCGGAAGAAGCTGAAGAGCGATGATCGCTTTGAATCTGTCATGTTGGAGATCTGTGCCTTCTGGTGAACTGACTGCTTGCGCTCGACAACCCCCCCCCTCCCCGCCGCCATTCACCTTTTGAATGTGTGCTCAATGTCCATAGCAACCCGCCGCTCAAGGTTCCGAAGGCCGGCGGGCACGAGCTGGATCTGTACAAGCTCTACTTGGCTGTCACCGCGCACGGTGGCTTTGAATCGGTAAGCCTCAAACCCATGAACTCACCCATGAGAAACAGAAAGAGAGAGAGAGAGCAAGATCGTTGCACATGGCAACTTATGTGGCACAAGGGCCGAGCGGCGGCGAGAGTCGGGGAAGCGGGGGACAACGCAGCTGGACTTGAAGGGAGAAAATTTTGGCGGGAGATTTTGTCAATCTTGATCACAGCTCACATCTCCACCCCACCCCCACACCCCAAATTGACTGCTGGTCCATCACAGGTCACTGGCTTGAAACTATGGCGAGAGATTGGCCGCGAAATCGACCTGCCCGGGACGGTCACCAACTCGCCGTTCGTGCTCAAAATGTACTACGCCAAACTGCTGATTGAATACGAGCTCGTCAACTACTACGGACGACCCATCGACTCGATTCCATGGCAAGACTGGAACAAGCCGCTGCGAGATGTGAACGACATTTCGGTCGCCGTGGCGCACGCCACTGGTCGCATGGCGCCCGTGCCCGGTGGCGCGTACATGGTGGAGACTCCTCTCGACCCGATCTCGTTCATTGACTGGCGAAAGCTCCCGCCATTCATGCTGGCGGGCAATCCGGACGCAGTGGGCCACGCAGTCACCCCGTTGCGCGCGTTCCAGCCTCGCGCCACCATGGCGACCGCCGTCAGTCGCACCGGTGCTGGCAATCCCACCTCGGCATCTGCGGCTGCGTCCGCTGCCACCGCGTCTGCTGCATTTGTGCTGCCTTCGCCGGCCCACCACCACCACGCTTCCGCGTTGAGCGCAACGGGGTCGCATGCGGCAGACCGGACACTCTCGCCGCTCCCCGGTCGGCAAACGCCCAATTCTCACATTCAACAGCACTTGCATGGGGATACCAGCATGGCAGGCTTTGCTGCAGACGTTAATGCAGAGTCCTACCACCCGTTCATTTCCGGCTTTGACGCGCTCCAGGCGCTCGATCGCTACGCGTTCACCCCGTCGTCCCGCCTCGCCCCGCTGGTCGTGGCGGGCACCAAGGCGTCGACGTCGACTTCGTCGTCGTCGTCGTCGTCGGGCTCTTCGTTGCACAAGCCCAAGCCTCGATTGTCATTGCCCCAGCTGGCGCCGCAAGAACAGCAACACGCCCAACAGCAGCTTGTCCAAAACGATCCTTCGTTCAAGTTTCTTTCGCTCTTTCCCTCCGATACAAGTGCGCCTGTGGTTGGCTACGAGCAACTGCATCACCTCGAGAAGAGTGGATGCCGCATGCGAGTGCTGCAGGCGCTGCAATCTACCCTGCCGAACGAAATCGACTGGGCGTTCAACGTTCTCGTGGTCATGTCGCATGACGTGTGTGACGTGACGCTGGACATCTGTCCAGCGACAGTGCCCGGACTTATTGAGCTCGTGCTCCAGCAGGTTGAGTTTCTTGTGCAACAAGCGCCCTCGTATGTCGATACGAAGCTTGCCGCTCTTGACAAGCTGCGTGCCGCAGGGACTGTCAAAGACGAACCCCCTTCGACCAGCGACACTACTCTTGCTGGCGGTGGTGGTGACAATGGTGATGGAGAGAATAAGCGGCACGAAACGCGGCGGCGACGCAGAGTCCCTTCAGCGGTAGATGACATTTCCAGCAGCTTTGCTGACATTGCCCGAGCCTTTGCGCCAAGTCAAGACTGTCGGGCGGTTCCATTAACCTCTGGCAGCCGTCGGTGGCGCAGCTCGGACATGGAGCCTGCTGATGAGGAGAGTGCACGAAAACGCATCGCTCTCGCTCGAGATGACGATGCGTCGCCACCGCTGCTCACGGCCTCGAGTGTCAGTCCCGCACTGTCTCTTGCCCAGATGGAGCGGGTATCGCAGGTGTTGCTCATTGTGCACAATTGGGCGCAAGATGCGCTCAATATGACCGCGTTTGGAAACGCGGCCGCCGTAATTCAACCTTTTCTGGAGCGCTGCATTCTGTTTGAGCAGCGCCAAGAGTGGAGGCAGCAGGCCTTTGACATTCTAGTGACTGTTGCCCGCGTTTCGCAGCTGTCATCTGTCGCTGACAGTGCAACAACAACCAAAGCAAACCCTGGCGGCGACAACTTTTCCGCGTTTCTGAAACGGTATCTTGTCGACAGTATCATGTCCAGCGACCGATCCCGCGTCTTGTTTGCATTGGACTGTACTGCGAATCTTGCGGCGGCTAGCGCGGGCGCCAACACGAAATTTATTTTGAACATTTGCACGGATCACTTTTTGCGACGCGCCGTCACCCTCTTACTCGTCCCAGACGTCCAAGTGGTCCTGGCATCCCTCGAAGCTCTCTACCAACTCACGCAACTAGATCAGTCCATTAACTCGGCCCTGGCATACCATCCCGGCGCCGTGCGACTCCTTGTCACGCTTCTCTCTTTCGAACACGACATGACCCACGAAGTCTCCAAGCCGCATACCCACGCCAGCTCTTCCTCCAATCACGGACGTCTGGCAGCCGAGAAATACGCGAGCAAATGGTGAGAGATTGTGTGAAGCAACGAATTGGACGGCAAAACCCCGTAAGGCAACGAACGCACTTACCAAAAAACTGATCATCCTATTGCTATTGCTATTGTTTGTCTAGGATCAAAACCCACTTGCGACTCAGTGGGACTTCCATTTCCGAACCAACTGTCACGCCACAGCAAGTCTATGCCGAATACGCCGACCATTGTCGTCGGCACGACAAGCCGCTCGTGGATTCGTTCGAGCTTTCCCAAGCTGTTCGCGATCTTCTAAAGGCCACTGTTACCTTGGCCATTGGTCCGTCCGGCCACGTTGAGTAAGGCCTGAGCGTGCCAAGCTGTGGCTAGCAAAAAAAAATTGGAAATGTATGTTTCGCGTTGACAACTCACTTTCGCTCGTTTTCTAATCCCCCAGACCGTACTTTCTGGGAGTAAAGCGACATGCTGTACCATTGCCGATCGAGAGCATTGAGCCGCCAGCACACTCTGTGACGGCAATCGTTGCGGGAGCGGAATCCCGTGCCAACACGCGACCAGCGTTGAACGCCGTTCACATGCACATCTCCCTCGCAGCTAGTGCGCTGGAATTAGCACCGCATGCGGCGCACGACAACGCGCCGCTCGAGCCCATCGCTGCTGGCGTGCGGTTTGCTGCCGGCCTCGTTTTGAAGAATTTCGTGCTCGAGCCTGCCAACCATGCCGCGCTCTCCCCTTGCATTCCCGACATCGTTGGTCACTGTTTGAATGACCACCACGTATCAGGTGTTCTTGCCTCGCTGTTGAGCGACTTTAATGTGGCTGCGCACTGATAATTTGTTGTGTTTGGGCTTTGTTTGTTTTTTTTTTTTTGTTTTGTTTTGTTTGTTTGTTTTTTTCAGTCACCTTAACAATGCGCTTTTCGTTCAACAAACAAACGCATCAGTGTTGTCCAACGATCTCAAATGAATGGACCTTGGAACACATTGCGGTCGGCTCTGTTGGTGGAGCGATTCGGCGTGGTGCGCTGAATCTCTCGGAGGTGCCCAAGCGAGCACAGCTCCATGGAGACGGGAATATGCGAGTTGAAAGCAACGTCACAAAACTCGAGCCTAGACCACCAAAACTGGAAGAACGGTTGATTGCACCAAGAGCAAACACGGGCCTGGCCCAAATACTCGAGAACGTCCAGCGGCAAAGGGAGCTGGTGCCAGGTGGTTTCGTACTGGGAGTGCACCTTCCGAGCCGCCAGCTCAAACAGTGACGGGACGCCAACAGCAATCGCCTCAAAGTCTCGCAGGGCTGAAATACAGATGGACACATTGTCACAAACTCAAAAGTGAGACCAACATCTCCCGGCAAACGCTGTTTGTTGCACGGACTACACTTCAATCACTTACACTCGTGTTGCGGATGCGATAAAGGGTTGGAGTGCAAATTCAAGGTTGAAAGGTGCAATTGACTCAACTGGTACGGCACGTGCGCAATTTGGTTGCCGCTGACGAATAAATCGCTCAACGAGACCATGCTGATCCACCGGTTTGGTAGATCTCGCAAATTATTGTCGCTGACCCACAAGCGAACGAGCTTGGACAGATTGGAAACAGAGTCTGGCAACGTCGTGAGGGAGCATCGAGAAAAGTCGCATTCCACAAGCTCGACGAGTCTACCAAAGTCGGCCGGGAGCTCGACAAGAGGGTTTTCGCCAAAGTAAAGGGTAGACAAGTTCTTGAGGTTGGCAAATGAAGCGGGCACTGTGCGGATCCGATTGGAGCTGTAAAAGAAACACGCGCACAAAAACAAACAAAAACAAAATGGAGATTGATTTTTGCAGCTTCTGCGAAAACACTCCTCTGTGGAGACAACTTACTGCAAAGCTAGCTCTTGCAACAATTGCAACTCGCCAATCGAGTCAGGTAAAGACTCGAGTCGGTTGTTTGTCACAATGAGAATTCGGAGATTTTTCCATTGCCCCATGTCGACTGGCAATTGAGAGAGTCGGTTGTTCTTGAGGCGAAGCTCGGCCAGCTTGGTTAGCTTGGTGATGCTTGAGGGGAGTGATTCGAGAGCATTGTAGTGTAGAAAAAGCTCTTCGAGGTTGGTCAAGCGGCCAATTTCATCAGGGAGTGATTGAAGGCTGTTGTCGGAGAGATTCAGACTGAGCAAATGTTGCAGATTGCCAATTTCTACTGGAACGGCCCACAATCGGCAGTAGCTGTTTTCAAATCAAACAAAAAACGCCCAAGGTGAATCAAGGTTGCTCTGTAAACGTCAATTCTCACAGCAGCACCAACCTCAAGTCCATCTCGATTCGATCTTGTCCGTGTGCGATTTGTTCGGCCATGCGCTGCATGAGTGTGCCATGCGGCCGGCACAAGGTATCTCGTCGTCGAACGCAACAGTTTTTGCACAGACCGTAGATACACTGCCAAAGCGAGCAATGTTGCAAAGTCAGCTCGGATTTTGGTTGGTACTTCTCAGCAAACGTGCAACAACCGAATAGTCCCACTTACATGCCGTTTGCTCGCGACAATATGACACTCTTTGCAGGCAGTATGGGTGAGCTCGTTCTCGCCGAGCACAAATTTTGGCGCACTCTTCACCGTCACTGGCACTGGTTTCTCGATTTGCGCAGAATGTACCAGCCTCGGTTGACTAGGTTTGGTGCGTGATGGAGGTGTTGGATTCGCTTGGGAAACTGGGGCAGCAGCAACCGACGAAAGATGAGCTGGTTGAACTCGATCGTCAGTGCGTTCCGACGACGCGGGTTTTCGACGGGCTTTGGTGCGTAGATTTGGTGCGTAGATGATAGCACTTTCGAATGATCAGCCACGTCCACCCAAGCGCCAGCACGAGCAATCCGCAGCGCGAGTCGTGGCGGGTGGCCGCTGAGGGAGGAGGTGGTGGCTGACTCGACGCGAGCACGGCACGATCCCAATACGAGCTCAGTCCAGTCTTGAGCATGTTCAGACCCATCCCTGTTGCCTGGATGGAAGACGGTGCTTGCGAACAACTGGGACTCGGCCATCGTAGTGAAACGCAGTGCGCGCTCAACGACCGCCCAGAGGACCGCTCTCGAGCCATCCTCAACGACTGCCACGATCTGTAGTGCATGCTGCAGCAATGCGAGATCCAACGTGGCGGCAAGACTGGCTGCGCACTCGCCGTCCCGACACGCGTTCTCGTTCCGGCTCTGGGAAACGCTGCTGGCCGTCATGGCGTTGCAGATCCAGTCTGTGCTCGTCTTGACGATGTCCTCCATTGTGTGTGTGTGTGTGTATGTGTATGTGCGCAGACCAAAAAGAGTATATTCTGCTTGGTTGTGTTTGTTGGAGAATGCCGGTTTGGTTTGGTTCACGATTGGAGACGAACCAGGATCAGCTCCCTGGCCAGCCAGACTGAGCTCCTCTGAGCAGCTCCTAATCTGGATCGTGGCGTCGGTTGGTCGCTTTTTTGTTTGCATGAACCAAGATTTGTTGGGGGAGGGGGGAAGTCTCTACTACAAGTAGAATTGATGATGGCTGCCGCTTTATGGTTTCTGAGTAGCTCTGAGCATTTTGCTTTGTTTTGTTGTACAGTACTGTAGATCTACAACACTCCAGCAATCCAACCTGTCGTCGCTTCGTGTTTCCCACTTCAATTCAAAGCACACGCTCGCACTCACCAGGCTCAGTCTCTACAGTCGTTGTTGCTCCGTTATCTCGCAGCGATCGGAGGTGACTGTTGTTTGCGTATCGACAGCCTCTTATCAATACTCCCCCTAACCCTAACCCTCTCCCCAACAACCCCAAAAAACCCAAAAACACATACACCCGCCATCGAACATGTCCGCCGTCCCGAGTGCTGGAGTGCTGCTTGTGCGTGCTGCACCAGCGACTGACGCTTCGACAAGCGAGCGGGAGGACGGCACTCGGCTGCAAGTCCTGCTTCACGCAACCACGCGCGGCGATAAGCACACTCAACGCCTGCTCTCCGATCTCGGCGGCCGCGCGGAGGCCAGCGACTGGAACGCGCTGTTCTGCGCCGCCAGAGAGCTGTCTGAAGAGACGTGAGGCTCGCTTGGTGTTTGGTGACTTGGGAATTGGGAGGATTTGGACCCACAAAAGCAACTCAGATTGGTGCCAATTGTTGTCTGTGCGGAAATTGCAGATGCGGGATATTCAGTCCCCTGGAGACCCAAACCGACAGGTGAGGCCATCCAAAATGCTATAAATTGCCAGCTGCTGCTGGAAATTGACAGGGCAGAACTAGAAAAGCTAACCGGGGCATTTCTCCAGTTTGGCTGCACGGATTCTGAGCGCAACACAGCAAGCATATTGGCTCATGGCATCCATCGATGCGGAAGTGAACCTGGCATCCGTGCATCCCCAGAGCGACTACCACTGCTATTTGGCCTGGACCTCGAATAATCTGGATGTGAACGAGCTCAACGTTCTGAGCAGGTACCGATCATGCTTGCTTGATATGTCAGACTGATCCGATTTCACTCAAACGAGTGAGCGTTTGTCAATCATCATTTTTTGCCTTGTACGTGTGTAGGACGCATGAAAACGGCAAGCGCCTGTTCGTGTGGGTGGATGTCGCGGAAATTTGTGCCGCCATCACGAATCAATCCAAGATCTCGCTCGTCGTGCCTGACCACGAGGAGCCGTTGGAGCTTGGTTTGCATCCTCGAATCAGCACACCCCGGTTGGCTGCGGCTCTGCATCAACTCGGTCGAGATTCGGCCGCGCTTCGCAGCGCTGCGCTCAGTTCATCGGCTCTGCGAACACTGCAGGGTCGCGTTCAAGACGTCAGTCTTCCCCCAAGGCGCTTTGCAGTCATTGACACGGAAGACGATCCCGTGTGGAGCGGGCACGAGTGGTTGTGGAGGCTCCACTTGGAGGAATTTGCGGGCCTGCGCGGCCATGTCGCAACATCATCGTCCTCCGAGTCATCCACAGACACGCAGAGCAGTGGAGCTGCGGCGGAAGAGTGGTCCGTGTATCGCGCCTTTGCTGGAGAGCTCCCGGCGGACGATGGACGCCATCTTGCCGGAATCATCATCACGGGCAGTCACCACAGCACCAACGATACCAGCCAGGCATGGATTGCATCGCTCTCTGAATTTATTCGCCGCTGTAGCGCGCACGGTCAAACGCAAATCTTTGCCAGCTGTTTTGGATGTCAGTGCACAGCTGCCGCACTAGGCGGCGCGGTCACAACCAATCCAAGGTAAGGAAGGCAGTGAGTGTGCGAGAGAAAGAGAGGGACCTCGTGGGACAAGATTGTGATGCTGATCCTAAATGAGGTGCATGTGCTATTTATTTTCTGACTGTATGGCGTTCGGTGCAGCGGTCAGTACGTGTTCCAGACGGAGAGCGTCAAGGTCCAACCGGCCGCCAAGGACTCGGCTGTCGGTGCGCTTTTCCAGGCTGTGCAACCCGAAGGAGGGTTTCGAGTGCTTGAGAGTCATGGCGAATGTGTTGCTACCGTCCCGCCCGGCTCCGAGATCGTTTGCGCTTCTGACTCTGCCAGAGTCGAAGTGTTTGCGTTCAACGGCTGCTTGCCACAACAGTCGTCGGTCGTCTCCCGCTACGGAAATGTCCTCGGTATCCAGAGCCATCCCGAGTTTTCCGTCCAGATTATGGAGCGTTGGATTTTGCCATCCCTTGAAGCTGAAGGCGCGACGCTTTCCGTCCCGACTGCTGATGGTGCTTTTCGGCGCTCTGTGCGACAAGCCCGCGATGGCAGATCCATGTTGTCTGCAATTCGCAGCTTTCTCAAGTCTGCGCCCAAATGATTGGCGTGCGGTTGTGTGTGGACGCATCGAGTCACAAAGTTTATTCAAAGCACAGACAGTCGAAACAAACATTAAAACAAACATTAAAACAAACACGTCAACGAAACCACACACATCTATGATTCTAATCAAAAAGCGGCTCGACTGCGGTCTGAGAAAACGAGCGACCTGCTCGAGTTGTGCGTTGTGTTGCTGGGTTTTTCCCCCGCTTCAGTCGACGGCGTAAAAGTGTCCATCACAGCTGCAACTTTATGTTTTAACCTGTGTGTCTACTCAGTCTTCATTCGACACATTTACCACAGCATGTCGGCTTTGGCGATTTTGACCATCCCGCAAACGGACGAAGAGAAGCAACTCAAAGCGAAATTCGCAGAGCTCAAGCTTGCCAAGGTTTGTTCCACTGGCTTGAAGCTGTTCTATTGCTGATGGATTGCACATCTGCATTATGATTATGGTTGTATGAGCGGCTGACGGGTTTGGGATGATCCAAATGCATTACGGTTAGGAAAAGCACCAAGCCGAAGTCGCTGCAGCCGCTGCCGCTGCCGCAACTGCAGGCGTTGCAGTCGTCGACGCAATGGGCACAACAACGGAGGCTGTCGAGACGCTTCCCGCAGCGACCGAGAGTGGAGGCGCAACAGCGAGCACAGCGGCCAGCAGCAGCAGCGCTGGACCATCTGCGACCAGCGGCAAGGGCTCAAAGGCAACCGCCGGGTCCAAAGCGTCGAGTGCGTCTGGTGCAGGCCGAGGCGATCTTAGTCTTAACATCCCCTCGGCGAGGGCATCGGGCACTGCGTCGGAGACGACTCCATCCCGAGCGCCGCCTGCGCCACAGGCACTCCGAACGCCAACCACGGCATCACCGGGAATTGCCATCGCAAAAAGCGCCGAGGATCAGTTTGCTGCTGCCAAGAAGATGCTCGAGGCAGAGGTGAGGCCAGGATGGAGGGAGGGATGGAAAAATTGTGCTGTCTTGGAATTGCCGCCTCTCCTGCGATGGCTCACTTTCCCGTACCTATGCATGCCTTGTCGCAGAGATTGAGGAGAAACTCTGTCAAGGAATCGGGATTCAAGCGTTCGGCAGCCTCGCAGCGTTCAGCACAGGTCAGTCTCTTCCCCTAACCAATTGGTTCTTCTGTGCGCAGATCCGCAATTTTGGATGTGAATCTCATCTTTGCATACCAATGTACAGCTCCAAGCACAACAGCGAATGGCCGAGCAGCAACAACGAGAGCAAGAACTGCAACAGCAACAACAGTTTGGATACGGATCGGAATCAATATTCGGCAATTACCCCTCAGGCACGCCACCTCAACCAAACTACACGAGTGACCGTTTCGTCAGCGATCAAGGCGCAGCTCCGCTTGTTTCAACAGATGCAAACTCGCCCTGGTCTACGCATGACTATCCACCACCGAAACGAGCTCGTGTTGACGAAGACGCAGCAGCAGAAGACGAACCGCCACAACAACCCGACCAAATTTCGAACGCCCCTTCCACTTTAAAGCCATCTCCCAGCTCGGCAGTACAGTATCCATCATCAGCTTATCCAACACAGAGCACAGAATCCACCGACGATTTGCCAGAGGAGTTGTAATTTCAGTCCTCCCTGGTAGTCGTCCAGAGCTCTTCATCTTGTACATCAATGATCAAAAAACAACACGTTCAGATCAAGAATTTCAAATACGAGATATACTACAAACGCAGACAAACACTTGAAATATAAAAAAACCAGAGCCAATAATGCACATGGCAGAAAACTCAAATCAACAACGTTGCACTTGTGAAAATCGGTCACAAAGAAAACGGGAAAAAATAAAAAACCACCACACACGCGCTGTTGAATTAAAGCATGGTTTCGGCAGTCTCCTCATCATGCGCCTCAGGTGGAGCATAGGATGCTTGTGCCGACTCTCGGGTCGTCACACTGTTCGTATACGACTGTCGTCGCGAACGAGCACCCGGCTCGGGGTCGTTGTCAAGCTCGGGTGGGGACACGGAGGGTGGAAGATTTGAGGAAAGATTTGAGGAAAGATTTGAGGAGGGGAAGAAGCGGGGAACATTCTGGTGTTCGAGGCCATTGCGGCCGCCGCCACTATGTCCCGCGTCGCCGCTGGGTGAGTCAGGGTGGAGCCGATCGTCGCTCGCACTCTCCGACATCATGCGACGCGACGTCATCATGGGCGCGGATGCTGCACTGGCGACACTCCCAAAACTATCCTGGGCACGCAGCGACGGATGGGGCGCGTGGACGGTGGTGTTGTTGGACAACTGAGAGCCAAACTCATCGTTCGAGTTCAACGAGTTCATGGATGAGGTGACATCGCGATTCAGCATCTGAATGGATGGCCGGCGATCGAGTGGGGGCATACCAGCCAACCCGGTTGGTGTTGCTCGGCCAAAGTTGGACGACTCGAGATTCTCAATCAGCTTGAGCTTCTCGTGCAAGCTATTGCTGCGTGGCTCGCAGAGATAAGAGTACTGGTACAAGACGCGGTCTGACGCCGAGTGCACGTTTCGGCAAAACGCTTCGATTTTGGCGTCTGGCTTGAACGTGGGGTATTCCGACGCCTGGAACTTGAGAAAGTCGTTCACCGTATCGTGCACGCTCCGCAGTTTGAAAAAGTTGATAAATTGAGTGGCCATCTTCTTTGGAATTTCGTTCAAGAAGGTCAAATCCTTGAGGAACAGCCCGAGAATCGGGAGCAATGGCAGGTTGTTCTTTGCCTTGAGGAATTTTCGGTAGTTGTCAAAGTTGTGCGTTGGATCCATCACTTGCTCGAGCTCTCTCAAGGTCGCAACGGCCCGATGCGACACGAGCTCCCAAGATTTCTTCATGCGGAAGACCGCGCCATGATTCAATCCAGAGAGAATGGCGTAGAGCGTGCTAAAGTTGTGATGCTTTTTGCAAAGCTGAGGAGAGGCGTTCCACGAAGGAGACGTGACAGCACGCAAGAAGAGTGAGCATAGAAGGAAGGCATGCAGAAGCCAAAACAGAAAGCAGGAAATCACTTGGTGACGATGTACCTTGGCAATTTTGACAAACTTTTCAATAATTAGTGCGCGCGCCTTGTTATCTACGGCCAGGCAAATCTCTGTCGAAACCCATCTACTAATCTGCACGAGTTGAAAAAAAAGGAAACAATCCGGCGGGCACAGTGAGCGTTTGTGCAACAAGACAATGAATTTCAGGAAATGGCATACCTTGTTAAACCACTCGACGTATTGGGTCAGATTGTGTTTGGCTAGCCATGTGTTGGGTTCTTCGTCGTTTCCCCAGAGCTGCACGATAAACTCTTCGGCGCGGATTGCACGGAAATACCGCAAGTCCATGATGGTAAGCTGTTCAAAGAGACTTTGAACAGTAATGTTGTCGAAATCGAGCTCGCTCGGTGGCACTTGATTCAAGTATTCGACTGCAACGTCAATATCGTGCTCTGTCTCTCGGAACTGGGCAATTTGTCAAACAGAGTTGTCAAAAGCGATGGAGAAAAACGAGTGAGCGACAAAACACATCGTAATGTTCAGCGAATGATCGTAGAAAACCGCTTCCGAGCAATGCTTACCTTTCGCTCCATGGTGGAGCGGATTCGTTGCGCCAGCGCGTCGCACCGCCGCTCTTGCATTTTCTTCATGAGCTTGTCCGTCATGCGCAGCATGTGATCGACATTGTGGAAGTCGCACCAAGACTTTTCCATCCACTTGGTGACAAAGTTGCACGTACTACGAAAGATGCCAACATACCACAGAGTGGGGTTTGAGCAAAAGACCAAAACAAACCATCACACACACATATGCGCTCGCACGCAGCAGCCAGTCTTACCGAAGTTGCACCACGCCGTACGAACCCTCCAGCTTTGTGTCATCATCCATGTACTCGAAACGCGCAAGCAACATGTCCATCAGTTCGGCGGGGGAGACCACGTGTCGGAACGTTAGCAAGAAGATATTGAAGTACTCCGTGTCTGTGGAAAGCGTAATCAGTGATCCGCCAGTATCCGCCATGAGAACAACGTTTAAAACACAGGATCGCAACCGTCACGCAACCGTCAGCCGCTCCCCTTTCGCGCCTCCCTTACCTAACAACTCCTTGTCGGCCAGCTTTGCAACAAGCTTTTCTAGCAATCCGCCAGTGATGATGATGCGACCGTCTGATTTTTGAAGATAATACTCCATTCCATCCACCGACAGCTGCCGCATGTTGCGGTTTGCATCTTCAAGCGACTGGTTGCTTGTTGTTCCGCCAAGCATCGTGGCGCCAACAGGCAGCGTTTGCGCACGTTGCTCCTTGACAAGCGGGGTGGATCGCATCGGAAGGTTGTCGTCAGGCTCGCTGATGGTGCTCGGGCTTTCGGCTGGCTTTGTTGGTGTGATGAGTTGCGGCAACGAGCTCTCGCTACCGCCTGCGGCGATGGCGGGGGAGGAGTCTCCAGAGACTGGTGAAAAGAGCCCGACCAGAGCCGCCGATCCAGCCGACCGACGCTTCCCCTCGCGCGTGGTGGCAATGTGCTCGAGGTGTTCAAGGTCTTTCAGATCGACGCCGCCAGCCTCCAGGTCGTCGAGCATTTTTGACGCAGCCGTGATGGTCGCGCTCGTCGCGCTTCGACGGAACTGGAGTTTGCGCATGTTTAGCGTCTTGGTCAGTGTGTTAAACCTGGATGATTTGGTCTTGCGCATCGGGTCGCTCAGGTCTTTCGAGCCGTCGGCGCCGTTCTCGCTGCCAGACTTGTCGTACGAGCGACCAGACTTCATGTCGTCCAACGAGAGAAAGTCCATTAGTGTGCTGACTGCCGTCGAGTTCTTTTCCATGACCCCTCGGAATTGTCGTAGTACGTTGGCTGATTCCCGACCAGAGAGGCGAGTTGAAAGAGAAAAAACAAGAGTTAGATGTCGAAATTTCATCACAAGGAGGGGCGTTCGGAACATGTTAAACCATGTCGGGTCTTACCATCGACGTGCGACTGCGACTTTGCCCAGGCCTCGAAAGCCGTCTCGTACTGCGTGGAGCCGCGACGCGCCATGCTAAATCCTGCAGGACCGCCTGCGGCTGCAGAAGCCGGTCCGGACATCCCAGAGCCGGATTTGCCTGTTCATGCAAAAGCGAAATTCGACGTGCAAGTTCAAAGTCAGAGCGCGATTGAAGCGATCAAAAAAACAAAAACACAAAAAGCAGTTGCGCGAATGAATGAATGAATGAATGAATGAATGAATGAATGAATGAATGAACGAATGAATGAACGAATGAATGAATGAATGAATGAATGAATGAATGAATCGAAAATAAAATAAAATAAAATAATAAAATAAAATAGAATTGGAAAAAAATTCAAAAGTGAAAAACCGCTCAAAAAAATCCATCCAAAGCATGAGCGAAACGAGAGCGAGTGCGAAAAGCGAGTGCGAAAGAGTGACTGTGAATGTGTGAGCGATGGAGTCGACCGCACAGAGCGAAACAGAGGCGGCGATGATGCATTCCCCCAAGCGACGAATAGAGCGCCAAACAAGTGAGTATTTAGAAAAAAAAAAAAAAGGTCGCAGTTGTCGGCTGCATTCGAGCGATGTGAGCAACGCCGAACGAAGACGAGGCACCTGGGTGGGTGGTGCACAGGGCTCAAGTCAAGTAGGAGCTGGCGACAGAGCGCGTGAGAGTGATTGCCCGAGAGAGCGAAAGCGGGAGAGAGAGCGAGGGTGGGAGTGATTTCAAAAAAAAAAAAAAAAAAAAACGAGGGGAGCTGCTCTCGTGAATGGAAAGAAAGGGCCCGAGATGACGAGGGGGCACGAAAGCAGAGGAGAGGTGATGGGAGGACAAGGTTGGGGGGAAGGGGGAACGGGGAGAGATGAGGCAAGCAGCGGAGCACAGGACGGGCCCCGCGGAGTGGAGGTACTCGCGAAACGAGCGCCCAGCACAGCAACACGAGTTGGATGCGAAATTCGGGCTGGAGAGCCCGGACTAGAGCTGCTGTCGCGTGGGCAATGTAGCTCCGGTTCATTGCAGGGAGGGCAACGATGCAAGACAGCGCAGTGTGCTGCTGGGGGCGCAGCGCTTGGGTTGAGATAGAAGAAAGGGGGGGAAACCGCATCATCAAAACCAGCTGCTGCTACTTGAGCTTCCTCGTAGCCACTGCACCGCCACTCCCATCCGCTCATGCAATGTCATGCGTGTAGTTGATGATTCAGAGGAGAGGTATTGATAGCGAGAGAGCACGGCGGGAGAGAGAGAGACAAGCGGAGAGAGGTTGGTGCAGAAAACATCGGCAGACGAAACCGCCGAGCTGAGAAAGTCTGAACAACATCTGAGGCACCAAACAAAACCGACCTCGCTCTGTCATTCAATGTGGAAAAATCAGGAGTGAACAAAATTACAAAAAGCTTACTGTAAAGTGAGTGGGCGAGTCAAAGCGCACTCTCTAATTCCACCATTGTGCAATTGCAATGAAGAAGCAGCAGCAGCGCGCAGACGATCTCGACGACGACTACCTGCTCGAGCCCATCACCGACGACGTCCTCGGGCGCGACGACGACACTGCCGCGGGTAATGCGAGAGTGTTGTTGCTTGTCACTGTTGTCAGAACGTCAGATTCGTAGTGGTGCCGGTGCTTGTGCTGTGGTGAAACCTCGTGTGGCAAAATCCCATGTGGACGGAAGTTGCACCAAACACTCGCTCGTTGCCCCCCCCCCCGCTGGCCATCAAAGACGACAATCCATGATATCATGGCGGCGGGGGAAAACCGTCTGGCGTTTGGGAGCGTGGCCGACCTGGAAAGAATCACTCAAAAAGCTCACACTGCTTTTTGCCTTGGCAGAAACGCCCGTGCGAGCGTCTACGAAGCGATCTGCCAAGCAAGCTGACGACGAGGACGCCGGCGATGATCGCTCGCATCATCAGCAGAGCAAGCAAAACAAAGCACAGGCCAAGGGTAAAGGTGCGCAATCCGCTGCAGAGCAATCTCGCAAAAAACCGCGCGTGGACGATGGCGAGCAGCTGGAAGATGCCGCCGACGATCAGGCTGACGACGACGACGACGACGACGACGAGCAACGCTTGGCGACGCCAAAGCCTGCAGATGGACATAGCTACACGCCGGAAGAGCTGCTGGCACTGAAGCGTGCACGCCGAAAGCGCCAAAACCTCAAGCAAAAAGTGGGTTGTTGTCGACTCGCTGATTTTGTTCTCGGGACGAGATGGTAATCGCGCGGTCATCTCTGGGCATTGCAGCTAACCCACATGGTCGATTTTGTAGGCCAAATTGAAGATGCGCGATGCCTCCAAGGACGCAATGCTGCAGAACGAATCGAAATCGCAGGCCGCAGTGTTCATGTCCGAACTCGGCAACGCATACCAAAATAAGCTATCCGGTCTCGAACTGGAGGAAGCCCAGGTGGACTGTATGTGTGCCAGCGACGGAGACTGCTTTTTTGGATTGAGCGTTGCGACACTTTTGCTTTTTGTTTTCTTTTGTTGCTCACACAAAAGCTCTTCTCTCCCCAGCAACCCATTTCGTCGACTACGAGTCCTTCAAGGAACCGCACACGCTTGCCAACATGTGCAGCTTTGTCAAGCACAGTAAGCGCTGCTGGCACTGGAGACCTGCTGCAACTGAGGCATGGTCGAATCTCGTGCTCATTCTCGTGTTGTTCTTCCCTGCGTAGTCGTCCCGCATTGGGGTGCATTCTTTGCCGTGTCGGAAAAGCAAAAGGCCAAGGTTCCGTTTGGTGCGCCCCGAGCCCTGATTTTGGTGCCATCCGCACTGCGTGCTGCTGAAGTCATCCGGTACTACCCCGCTGCTTCTTGTTGTTTGGGGGAGAGGGTGCAGTCAACGGTCTCCGAATGCGAAGTCGGGGGGTCATAACTCATTGTACTTGGACACAATCCCCAGATCACTCGAGGAACTTGGCAAGCTGTGCAAGATTGGCAAACTGTTCGCCAAACACTTCAAGGTCGACGAGCAAATCGAGTATCTCACCAAGAACCACATGCGCCTCGCCGTCGGTACTCCAAACCGTGTTAGTAAGCTGGTTGAGCAAGGTACGTCGTACTTGAATCGAGCAGCGCGCTGTTGGCGAGCACGTTTTGGCTGATTTGTGTTTTTTTGTTTGTTTGTTTTGTTTGTTTGTTTGTTTGTTTGGCTGGTTTGTGTTTTTTGTCTGTTTGTTTTGGCCATTGCGCAGGCTCGCTGAACTTCTCCCAACTCGAATATGTTATTGTGGATTGCGAGCGCAACTCTAAAAACCAATCCATCTTCCAATTGGATGGGGTGAACAAGGACTTGTTTGACTTTATTCGAAGCGATTGCCTCTCGCGCGTCAAAAAGGGCCGTGTCAAGCTGGCCCTTTTCTAAAAGAATCATCGTGTTGTCTGCTGCCCTTCATGTCGTGCTTCAAAAAAACTCTTTTATGATCCGTTTTCAAAACTACACAAACCATTCATTGATGATTTCACGACTGACAACAGTACAAGCACTCGTGGATGGAGCAAGTAAACAAGACAGGATAACGCTGAAACCCTGTCTCGTTGTCGTTGGTAACCCTAATCCCTTCAAAAGAAATACAACCAGTTCCCGTTTACACAGGGCCTTTGCCCATGTCGGAATCTGTGCGCTTGACACCGGGGCGTCGTGGCGGAACAGCTGGAATAGGTGTGCCGTCTGGCATCACTCCGGGCGATGACGGCGTCGCTGGCGCAGCCGATACCTCGTTTACAGCAGGTACGCTTGGGCGCTGTGGGCGAGGCGGCACGGGCTTGGCTGCAGAAGCTGGAGCTGCTGTCGGTGTTACTGCTGCTGCTGTTGCTGCTGCTGCTGCAGGGGCTGGTGTCTGAACAGTGGGCGAGGTATTGCCGGACGACGAGTCCTCGCTCGTGACAGAGTACGTGGATTTGGGTCGTGGCTGTGGTTTTGGCCGTGGTGGCACCACTGCGCCAGGTGCGGCGGCGGCTGCTGCTGCTGCTGCTGGAGCTGGAGCTGCTACCGAGTCGCTTAAATTAACCAGAAGCGGAGCATCTGTGCCGTGGTCGTGTAGAGGAGTCACTGGAGTCGAGTTGCTGCTGCCAACGGGCGCAGGTGGTCGCACGGGAGGTCGCTTGAGCGCTCCAGCACCGCCAGTCGCAGCGCCGGGAATGGGCAGTTTGACGGCGCCGGCAAACGGTGTGGCGGCAGCGCCTGCCAGAGCCTTGGGCTGGGCGGTGTCCTCGGCGGGCGGCGAGTCTGTGGCACTCGCTTGCGGGGCACTCTCGGTGGCAATGTCGCCAGTCAGCAAATCCACAGCCGGGGCCGCTGCGACAGGTTTGCGCGCCGCTGTTGCTGGCCTTGCTGGAGGCACCTTGGCGGCGGCAGGCGCTGATGCAGTTGCTGATGCAGTTGCTGTCGCTGTGTGTTTGTGAGCCTCGTCGGAACCACCAGCGGGTGCCGAAGGCTGCTGCTTTTTGGCAGGAACGGGCGAGTTCGCCGCGTGTTTGACCGACGCCGCGGTTTTTGCGGCAATGTCCTCGAAAATCCAGTCCGAGTACGCAATCATGGCCTCCACACAGGCCGACTGTGGTCCCGTCTCCATGATGGAGGTGACATCGTCAGGAGTGGGCGACCACAGCAGCGTCGGGCCAAACACGATCGAAAGGTTGCTGGGGTGCATTTTGGTCGAATCGTGGTTTTCTGCGAGCTCATGCAAAAAGCTCATCAGGAAGAACAGGATGGTAGCGTTTTGCTGCGGAAGCCGTGCAACAACATCGCGAACAGCATTCAAACGGTCGTTGTGGTCCCGCAACGAGCCGGCATTAATCCAGTCTCGGTACAGCTCAAAGGTCAACAGCGGCTCGGGCAGCTCGCGGAAGTAGAGTTTGAGGACGCCGGCAACAGCGTTAATCTCCACATCCTCCCAGTCTGAATCTGACTCAAAGTTGACAACCGCCTGCTCGGCGTTGAACGCTGCTCGCAACCGCTTGACGGTGACCGAGTTGCCAGAGAGACGGAAAATACCCTCCGAGGTCATTCCGCGGCGACGAATCTCCTTCACGCAGGCGTCCACGACGTGCGGGATGTTGCGGTCGACAGCAGCCAAGTGCTCGACAAGCGGGCGGCCAAAGACGGTGGGGCTGGAGGCATTGGCCTTGCGGACGCGCAATTTGGCCACGGTGGAGGCGAGCAGCTCGCTGGCAAGACGGTGGTAGAGATCGAGCGCCTCCATGTAGTCAATCAGCGGAGCAATGTGCTCGGCGTCGCGGCTGCCAAATTCATTCAACCGATCTTCGCACACACCAAGAAGAATGTCGTACTCTTCCTTGGCAGCACCCAACTCCTCGTCTGCAAGGACGACTTTGTCTTCGGACGCCTTCAGCAGCTTGGCGCGCGCCGAGTCGACGTCGTTCCGTGAGCGTGTCAAGTTTTTTCGGGATTCAATGGCCAAGCGGATTTCCAGCTTGAGCATGCTAGTCATTGGCGCGATTGCTGCGGTTTGTTTGGGGAAAGAAGCGCAAGATGGACGAAGCTGTTAGCCCACAGTCAAACAACCACACAATTCTGCGCTGGAGAGAAAGGGGGGGGGGACACCTACTCTTCTCTTCAACAGATTCCTCAAAATCTGCCAGCACTGCACCAATCCCGTCATGAGTCGCGGCACATTCCATGAGCATGCCGCCCATCAACGACTCCTCGCCAAGCGCCGCAGCAGCCTCTCGCATCGACTGGGCCATCTTGACGGGCGCCATTTTCTTGAGGCGCTTTTCGCGCTCCAGCTTGGTCCCATGCAGCGTGTCTTCAGCGCGCTACAGGCGTGGGTACACAGACGTCCAAGAGAGTGGAAGTGAGTTACGAGATCGTCAACGCAACTCGACTCGTTTCACCCGCGGTCAGTCCATCGGCCAGCTTGCCGTTGCTGCTGCGTCTAGAGTCTGTGCATCTCCTACCTTCAGAACAAGCTCGTAGGTGGTCTTGGTCGCGTTGAGATTCGCTTCAATGTCCTGCAGCTCGTCGCTCAAATCGCTGGACTTGTCCTTGAACCGTTGACCGGGCCCAGCACTGCAAACGGTGGGGGGGGGGGTTTGACGAAGCAGCGTTTTGTTAGCACAACATCAACCAGGGCAATGGAATAGATTGGCAATGGTTTGAAGTGGGTGACGGGCAGTGCTTTGCGATGGACGTAAGAGTTGAAATTGGTCGAACATCACCGCTCACGTTCTCTCTCCCCCTCCCCCTCCATCTCTCCCACTCTCTTGTCTCTCATGAGCACCAGCAATGAAGTCTCGTAAGTGCCCAACAAGCATGAGCTCAGTGCGACCGCCGCACCTGGTCCTGAGCTTTCAATCACCCATTTGGTTCGGCAACCCCCGAACTCAACCCCATTCAATCGTCAATCCCAAATGACCAAAGTCGGTCGTTCTGCGCTCGGTTGCAAGTCCACAAGCTTGTTTCGCATCCATCCGCCAATCCGCCAATCCACCAATCCGCCAATCGCTTCCCAAATCACGAAAACAGCGGCAAAACGTGAATGCAGCCAGAAATTTAAAGATCCCACAAAAAAAAAAAAAAAAAAAAGCAAGACCAAACACACACACAAACAGCGATTTGCACACAGTTTTGCGCACCCGGCGTGGCATCGGAGCCCTGGGCAAGAACACGACTACTACTACTACTCTATAGTGAGACAGAGAGCGAGAGAGAGCCAGAGAAAGAGAGCGAGCGAGCGAGTCGTTTGGAAGCTCAAAACCGAACAGCCACCCCAGTTTCAAACCATAAAAGACAACAATCGTAAAAACAATAAAATAAAAAAAATACGAAAATATTAAAAGTCAAAGGTCGCGTTGTTTGAACGCTTTAACGCATCCACACTCCAACAGGGCCACGGGGAGGGCAACAAGGGAGGGCAACAAGGGACGGCTGGGAATGATGAGAACAAAGGGAAGGAAGCTGGCTTGCGGAGGGGGTTGGCGAACGAGAAAGAGATGTTGCATTCAAAAAAAAAAAAAAAAAACCTTGTTTTGCGCTCTTCAATGTTCTCTTTGAGCTTGTTGAGCCCTTGCTTGAGACGATTCATCGCCATTGTCTCAGTCGAGTGAAGAAGAAAGACTGGCTTGGAAAATCTGAATTGAAGATAATTCTGAGAGATGGTACAGTAATAAAGCTCAGCCTCAACGAACGCTACAGTACTGCACGACGGGGGTTGGTGGGTGGGTGGCGACCCTCACCCGTCTGCCCATCATCCGCTGCAAATCAAAGTTGTAGGTCACGCTTTCTCCAAATTCAACGATACAAACACGCACCAGACCAAAATCAAATCCATCTCTGACGCAATGAGAAGTCTCCAGTCTCGCTTTCTTCTGCTGAATCAGTCAGTGCAAAATGCCGGTAGTGCTGCTTTGTGGCTACCCATCGTCGGGCAAAACGACTCGCGCGCTTGAATTGAAAAAGTGAGGCCGCGTTTTTGGCGATTTTTCTACTGCATTTGGGATCGAGCCAAGGGGGAACAAGTTACGATTGCAGTGGAGTGCAGTGCCAACCCTGTTTGCTGTCCCCTTCCCCAACCGCCGCTCCCAACCCCCAACCCCCTTCCGAAACCAGGTATCTGGAAGAAACCAAGCGACGACGAGTACATCTGATCAACGACGAGTCGCTCCAGCTTGTGCGCTCGGAAGCCTATGCCAGTAAGGACCCATGTTCCATATGTTCCATGTGTGATTGGTCGTCAGCCAAGCGCACTTACCTCCACACGACAACAACCAAAAACCAACAAACAGACCCCACCAACGAAAAGATGGCGCGTGGCGCGCTCAAGGCGGCCCTGGAACGGCTGTGCTCGCGCGAGGATGTTGTGATTGTCGACTCGCTGAATTACATCAAGGGCTTCCGCTACGAGCTGTTCTGCATCTCACGCGCAATGCGCACGCCTCAATGCACGGTAACCGTGCCAACACGCGAGCTGCTTGGGCATGTTCGGCGGAGTTGAGGTGTTGCTTGAAATTCTCACCTTGTTTTGTTCCGTTCTTGTACAATGTATTCGCAGATTTATTGCGCAGCTCCTGCTGCTGAGGCATTGGCGGCGAACATGGCTCGCTCGGATGACCACGTCACAGAGTCGCAATTTCACGAACTAGTACAGCGCTTTGAAACACCCGAGGAACGAAATCGGTGGGAATCGCCGCTCGTCACGGTGCAGTTCACCGATCGCAGTGAGCTGCCGTTTGAACACATTGTGCAAATCCTGGACGACGTTGCGCGTTTGCCATTGCCAAATCTCGGCACCAGCAATCCACCTGTGGCGCCCGCCGACTTTTTGCACGAGCTTGACACGAAAACCCAGGAAGTTGTCACCTTCCTGCTGGGCAACGCAGCCAGCTTTGTTCCAGGCGACTCTGTTGCAGTGCCGAACAGCTCCGAGCGGTTTATCGTGCCCGCGACTCTCACCCAGGCTGCGCTGCGAAAGCATAAACGACAGTTTGTCACGCTCGCTCAAGCGCACGCGCAGGTGCACTCGCGCACAACGGGCGTGCAATCAGTGGATTCCCTTTCTTCGCAATTTGTTCGTCACTTGAATGCGTCGATGCGATGACGCCGGTTAAGGAGGCAACAAAGGACGAAGAGAATGTACAACGAAATTACAAGACGTTTTAGATTTTTATTTCTCAGATGCAATTCTTACATTCTAACACAAAATCGCGACTCAAAGCAAGACTCAAGAGAGACTCAAAGGATACGCAAACTCGAGAAAACTCGAACAACTCAAAAACTCAAAAACTCGAAAAACTCAACCGAAAAATACACGAGATTCTTATGCCTGAACACTGCTCAGAGTCAGGGATACTTGTAGAGAGCCCCGGCCAACAGGAGAGAGCTGCAGCCAAATGGTCTTTTTCAATTCGGATGGAGACGCTGCCGCGTTGGAGGCTTGGGCGCTCAGCCACTGCTGCCAGCCAGGGAAGACAGCCTCCAACGACAGGTCGTGAGCGCCAATCAGCCCGCTGTTCAGTAGAGCCTTCTTTTCCTTGATTTGGAACACGACCGGCTTGAGAGCCAGGTTGATGCTTGCGAACGAGAAGGCTTCGTCCCAGCGCACGGTCGCGTTGGACAGCAACTTGTGCTTGCTTGTCTTGTAAACAACAGAGCGGCCAGCGCGTACTTTGACGTATGCTTCTGGAGGGACGTGAGACCCAGGACCTGCAACGAGTGGGAGGGAGGTTAGGTGGAAGGAACGAAAGATTGAAGGAATTTCGAGAGTTGAGCAAAACAAAATGCCACGCAAACCGACGCAACATGCTCGACCAAATGGATGGTCGACTGTATCTTACCTTTGGAATCGGGCAGACTCAAATCCTTTGCTTGAATGATGACGGCAGAAAGCCGCGCAACACGCATCTCGCCAGCTCCGAGCGCTGCTAGAGAGTGTCGGCTGGGGGAGGCTGCGATTCCCGTGCCGCTGCGCTCGCTTTCAGCGGAAGGTCCGCGAGCGACGGGACCTCCGGGGACGAAGAGTGTCGCGTTGGTCATCCCCGCCCGAGCAGGGTCGCCAGTGGCCGACGCAACGGTTGCACCGGTGGCAGTGACCGCCATGGCGGTTGCGGCGTTGGCCGCCGCATTCACAGCGTCAGCCGCTGCCGTGGAACTCGCATTATTGGCGGCGGCAGGATTGGCGCCAGGTTGACGCGGCGTGGTCGGCGAGGACGTGCTGGCCGAGTTGGCAATGCTGGCAACGGCGCCAGTCTGCCGCGGCGTGGTCGGGGTGGACGTACTCGCCGAACTCGCATCGCTATGGTGATGCATACCGCGAGACATGGCGGCGATGGTCATGGCAGCAGCCTTGAACGGCTTGCCCAGGCGCTTCAGGCTTCCTCGAGCGTGCGCGGTCATACTCTCCTCACCCTCCCAGTCAAGGTCTTGGCTGCTTGCGGTCAGGGTGCGATCGCGGGTGGCTGCAGCGAGTACCTCGCTGCTTTCGTCCGAAGGCGGGTCGAATACGGCCTCCTCGTCCTCGTCGTCCTCGTCCAGCTCCTCCTCCTGCCCGATCGAGTCGGCAAGAACAAGCGTGACGGCCACAAGCACGCGACCGCGGCTGTGGCTCTTTCCGGTGACGGGATACCATTTCGGCTCGCCTTGGCAGGACTGCTCGTCAGTCAACGAGATTTCAATTTCGCCCATCGAGTGGGAGCCAATCGCGTTCATGTCGCGAACATTGAGCGTGAGAGGGTGGGCGTAACGGTCGCTCACGTGCGCCTTGAAAGTATCATTCCACTTGGGATTGAGGGTGGTTTTGATCACGCGCGACTGGAACAGCTGCTTGCTTCCCAGTCGGCCAACAACGTAAGGATCACTCAAGCCAGTGGAATCCATCGCGGGCAGATTCTCGCCCTCAATCAAACGGACGGTGATGGTAGCGCTGTCCACCTTGTGGTGTTTCTTGCCAATGTTGCGCAGGCGCTTCAGCGTCATGATGTCGCGCGAGGTCGTAAGCAACGCCTTGGCGCCCTTGCCACTGAGTCTGGCGCCCTTTCCAAGAGCGCTAGTGACACCCGTCACTTCCGTGTCCACGTCGTCGCCTGCCGCAACAAGATGGAATCAACAAAGAAAAAAAAACAAGTACAACGACAAAAAAACAAAAGGTGAGACAACCCAAACTTTCGAAAAACAAACAATGCTGCAAGTTTGGGTTCTAACGATCGTATCGTACTGGTATCTGGAGGAGCGTCGTCAAAGACCAGAGGCTGAGGCCGGAAGATGCCAGAAACGCACACCTCGCCATGGTACGGGCGCTTCAACCCCTCCTTGAGTTTTGCAGTGTCCTTGTCGAAAAGCACGGGAATCCAAACGCGCTCGCGGATCAAGTCCTAGCCAAGGCAAAGCAATGAGAATGTTGGCATGAAATTTGGCCGCTTCTACTACGACACAACAGCAGAAAAACGTGTCACGAGACAGAGAACGTGTCCTCCTACCACAGCAAACATGGTCTGCAAGTTGATGAGACAATGCCCAAGCGGGTCGTTGTCCGACAGGTCGTCGAAATCAAACAAGTTGATGCGGACTTTGGTGGTGCGGAAATCGAGCACTGCAACCTCTTTGGCTACCTCCCACTCGGGATTCAGAGTGTCGCGCTTGTAATTGGTCGAAAACCACTCGTACTTGCGAGTGCGCGTGCGAATGTCCACAATGCAGAACGGATCACTGAGGCCTACGTTTCGATCGACCCGCAACCAAGAACAATCGGTCAGACAGAAGGAACGCAACGTTAAAGCAACGACAAAAAAAAGCTTTTCTCAGCTTACCGTCGGAATCGGCCGCATCCAAATTGCGCGCTGCGTGTACAATCAACGTGAAGATGCCACTGTCGATGTTCGCAGGTGCGTACGCAGGCATGGCGGGATGACCAAATTCGCGCGAATCTGGCTGAGGCTCAAGGAGGGTTTTCTCGAGCGCAGACACATCCGTCAAAGCTGCCGTCGTGGTACTGTCAGCAGGGGCCGCGGAATCAGGAGCCACTGCATCCACAGTGGGCTTGGCCGCTTCTGGCTCCAGCTCATCTAGTTCAATCTCTGTATTTGCTGCCGCTGCTGCCGCCTGCGCCGCGGCGTCTTCCGTCGCGCGTGCATGGGCAAGCTCGAAATCGCTTGGCATACGAATATACGCCAACGGAATTCGCTGGATTTCCAAATGCACCAAACCGTCGATCGTTTCCAACTCGACCTCACTGTCAGAGAGGAATCATTCATCCAGAGGCAAAGAGGATTCCAAGAGAGTTGAGTTAGCACTCACTCACACACTCACACACGTCGGAAAAAGTACCACCAAAATCAAACAACAGCACCACCACCATAGCCATCCTTACACATTGTGCTTGCCCGTGGCGTCGTCCAAAGAGTACAGAGCCAGCTCTTTGCAGCCAAGCGTTTCATTCTTCAGCTTCCTTTTGCGACGCACGGTCAGAGTCATTGTGTCAAATTCGGGCTGCGAGGTCAAGAACACGAACGGCGTGTCAAAATTGTTCGACGCAACGTTCGTCGGACTGACACCCTGCGGCGTTCTTGCGCAGGCAACGCGCAGCACTTCGGTTCGTCGCTTGTCGTCGCCAATCTTGACTGTGCAATACAAATCCAGTGTTCCCTCGGCGCTCGAGTCGGGCATCGCAGCCCCAGGCTGAATGGCCACGGGTGCATTGGCTTTTGTCGGCGTGATCGTGTCCAGCGTGAACTGGCGCACGAGCTTTGGTGGCCCTCCCGCAGGCACACTGCCACCGCCACCAACGCCTTCCTCAGTGGATCTGTCGATGACCGCGACCGAACTCGCCTGTTTGGTGCCGGACGGTGTCAGCGGAGGCGGAGTGCTGTTCGTGATGCGGGACACGCGGACAACGTACAGGGCGGTTGAGAGCTTGTAAATGTCCGAGAAGAACATGAGCGCGTTTGCCTTGTTGCTGTTCAGGTTGATAGTAATGTTGTGCGGATCGACCACAGACGTGCGGAGGGCGTCCTCAACCATACCGTACAACCACTCGGACAGCTTTGGCACATCCATGATGTCGATGGTTTTGAGCGGCTGAATGGCAAAGCGAACACGGGGCATGTTCAAAAACCCAAAGGTGATCGAGTCCAAGTGCGGGAACTGGTCAATCAACTTGACATTGGTTCGCATGGTGCCCGCAAAGTCAATCTCCTTGAGCTGCACGGGCAATGTGAGCCCGATGAACTTGCCGCCCAGTTTGATGGACACGACAATCTTGGCGAGCGGCGCTTGGAAGCCGAGCTCAACATCGGCAATGATGCGATCGCTCGTGCTGAGGCGCTGCTGGTACCCAGGCGACGGACGCGCATACGGATCGTCGGCAGCCGCGGAGGCCGAGCCGCGCTTTGAGGCGCGCTTTTTGGCCATCATGAGAATATTGGCAGCGGACGAAATGGATGTGACGAGACCGGTTGCGCCTTCCTCGGTTGCCGCGACCTCTTCTTCTTCTGACGACGACGCCTTTTGGGCCGCGATTTGACGTGCTGCAAGAACGCGAACCGTGCGAATGTACGGAGCCATCGATCCAAGTGTGAAAGTGGTCAGTTTGATGGATTCCTAGCCAAGAAAACGAAAAAAAACAAAACATAAAGGGGGGGGGGACAACATTGAGTGTAAGCAGAAGGAGGACTCGGCATTGTTGGCGTTGAATGTACGAGGATGCAATGCAGCAACCAAGCAAATGGCAAGTGCACGTACAATCAAACCCGGTTTCGCGGAAGCCAACACCGGCTCAATGGAGTCCTTGATGGTTTTGCACAAAATGGGCTCGTAAAACACCCAATAGCGCTCAATCACAGTGTTGAGCCACTCTGTGGTTTCCGAGTCTTGCACAGCCTGCCATCAACCAAAAGGCACAACAGCAAGTGTGAGCGACCCGAGTATCTGAGCCAAACTTTTGTCCGAGACTTTTCTCTCCTCCACAGCGACCGTGTGTGTGTGTGTGTGTGGCTCGCTTGATTCGCCAAAACAAACGCAACAAACGAACAAACTTCTCAAATAAAAAAAAAAGACCTCACCCGCTCTCGGCGAACTTCACGGTGAGCACGCTCCTCGGCCAGGAGGAATAGTTTCTGGCGTCGTTTCGAGTCGGCGAGCGAAAGCCAAGCGATTGCGCCCAGCAGCCACAGAGAGCCAGGTGAGCAGGAACAGACCCACGAGGCTGATCGTGGCCTCCACCAGAAGCGACACGGACAGCAGCTCGCGGACGACGGCGGGCAGCAGCGACTTTTTGCGCGAGGAGGAGGACGAGGACGAGGAGGAAGCTGAAGCAGCTGCAGTGGTCGTCGCTGCAGGCGTTGTTGACGTCGATGCAGGCGTAGAGGCTGCTGCTGCTGCTGCTGTCTTTGCTGCCTTGCTGGTTGGGGTTGCTGGCCCTGGCGTCGTCATCAGAAGGGCGGGCTTGGGCGACGATGAGCCACTGCTGGATTTGGATGCAGGTGCGACTCCTGCTGCTGAGGACACGCTGGCTGATTTGGCCGCCGTGGTCAGCCCCGCCTGCCCACCACCACCACCAGCAGCACCACCGGCACCAATGCTACTGCTGGGGGTGGGGGTCGGGGTCGATGGAGCAGCCGGCGACGCGGTTGGCGACGGGCGCAGCGAGCTCAGAACGCGATTGGCAATTGAATCGTCAGACTTGCGCAGGTCGAGCGTCGGCGGTCTGCCGCTGTTCTGCGCCGCGCCGTTCGCCGTGTTCGCGGCGGTGGCGGTGGCTGTGCCTGCAAACGCTGGCGGCTGCTGACCAGCCTCAGTCGTAGACGATGGGCTGAGCAATGGCGGCGACGGCTGCGCTGGCATTGGTCGAGTTTTGTTGTTGTTGTGCTGTTTTTTTGTTGTTTTTTTTTCAAATCGGGTGATGTTCGACGTCACAACGAATTCACGAAACAGAAGACTGAGACATGACACGTACGACAAACTGTAGAAAGTGAACAACCAGAACACATCCAACGACAGCGGACGGTGGACGGCGGAAGGGGGGGGGAAGACGAAGGCACGCTGATGTGAGAAAAATGGACCGTTTCGCATCTGAAAACGCAAAATTCGCAAACCCCCAGGTGGCGACCTGCTTTCCAAACCATGCTCCCCATCCTGTAACCTCTCAGTTTCGTTAAATGGATTGGAAATATGGTTTGGTGCAATGTTGCAGATGGAGAGGAGCGTGAAATGCCGACCGCGAGCAAGAACAGCGCACGCCACAAGCAACGGTGTTTGTGTAGAACTATCGCGTTCCGAAACGACCCAGCGTTGCGAAAGTGCACGCTCCAGCACTAGGGAACTGATTGTGGTTTTTGCTGGATGGTCTATAGTACCAACTGCGCCTATTTGTGGTGGGTGGCATTCGTACCGTCGCCAGTACAATCGAAAACACAATTCCAGCAACTGAAAAAAACGAAAACGCTTCCAGCTGACGAACGATGAGCAATCACGTTCCCACTATTGGATTTGAGCGTTCTAGCCTGATTATGTGTGTCCGGATAGAATTTTTACCACTGATTTTGCACTGTTTTTGGGACACACCTCCCGCTATGAAACAGTTTTGGGGGAGTTTGAGGTTTTTTGAGTTGTCAAAACAAGTCGGTTGCCGAAATGGCCTCATTTATGAGCCGTCTACCTTTGATATAGGCTCATTCTTTTTTTCTCTTTCTCTTTAGTTTTAGCCAAAAACCTGTATTGAAAGCGAATGCGGTTTCAATCTGTTCTGAGCGCGTGCGTTGCGCTTCTTTTGATTGTGCCGTCTGCCGTTTCCGTATGCTTCCCTGACTCGGAGCGCCGTAAGTTCCGAACGCGTCCATTTCGCGCTGTCGCTCGCATTCTCTTGTCGCCTGCTGTCTCAGCAGCACTCTTTTCTCAGTGAAGCGGAGGCTAAGGGAGTGGGTGAATGAGCACGCTGCTTCTTTTTTGGCGCCGTGTTTATCGGTTTGAGATTGGATGTGCCATCTGCGGTTTTCGCCTCAAAACAAAAAAACCACAAACCCAGAACCAAAACGCGGCTGCTTCGACCTTCGTTGCGGCAGAAGACGTGTCCAAGCAGCTGGTGAATCCTCTGTGACATGTCAACCTTGCGAGCGAGTGACATGCACGAAGGTCCAGTTGTTGCGAGTCGGCATGTGGGTTGGCTAATAGGCGCGTGTCCGGGGAAATAAGCGAAACAAAAGTCAACAAGCGTCGGATCAGGCTCAAATTTTCTCATCACTTTTGCATCCATACGTCGTCAGCCATGTTGAAACGGCACTTGCGCCACCGATTCCTTCGTTGCATGCATGCATCAGCACAGCGGGGGATTCTGGCACAACAGACCTTATTTGGCACGCTGGAGCTACCAAGTGAAAACGAAAGCGGGGCGGGAAATAATAGCGGGGGCAAATCCTCGACTCGCTGCTTGTTCCGATTTCGTTGCTAACTTTTGTTGTTTGTTCCCTATTGTACGTCTCAACAGGTGTCCTCCGTACGGATCTCGAGCCCATTCGTCTGGGCCAAGGTGATTGGAATGGAGCCCGTGTCAACAACTTGGTTGCCAAAATTCTACTCGAGGTAACCCGTCCCAGTTGTCAAACAAGAATGAAAAAATGGAGGAAAAACAAGCAAAAAGTCACCACTCGTTTCGCCTTGTGCAATCCCCCTCCCCCGACATACACACACCTTGTTCTTTTTTTCTTTTGCTTTCGGGCGGCAAATCGTTGAATTAATTCCTGCTACCCGCTGAACTCTTTAGGAAAAGCTTGGTATTCCCGCTTCGATCATCGACATTGGTTCCGACGATACGGTCGTTTTTGAGATGATGGACCGCGGAGACCTGGACGCATACATGGAGCTATGGGCGATGGAAGATGTATTGGCTCACTATGTTGCTCGTGGCTCGGTTCAGTATGGTACGTTTACAGTGTGTTGAGAGAAAGCACTCGACAGACCTTTTGTCTGTTTGATTTTTGTCTGACTGACCAACGCCAACTTGTTGCCTGGACAGTTGGCCCGCTCGGCGTTATTGGCCGCTACGGTTGGTACATTCCCGACTATGTGGCAGAACTGAGTCGCTCAATGACCCAATACGACGCTTACTAGTATGTCAAAGAACGATGGGCAGCGTTCATGACATGGCAATGCGAAAGCGTCGCTCACCGTCTCTCCATCTCCTTCCCTCGCAGCTTTGCCGAAACTGTGGCCATCTTTCAGCTTCCAGTGATCAACTCGTCTACCACGTCCGTCTCGGACTCAACGAGTCCGCTCACCGTTGCGGAGTCTGTCGAAGACTTGCTCGCCAGCGACACGTGCAACCCAGCCAACTCATCTGCCACCCTACAAGCCTGCTACGATGCTCTTGCAATCCTCGTTGACCAAGTGCGCGAACTCAGCCGCCTTCAGGAGAACAATACAAACCTCATCACCTTCTGGACCGCGCCACCCAGCTGGAGTCCGATCGATGCCACCATTGTCCGAAACCTTGAGCTTCCAATGAACGTGACCGAGATTCCCATGCTGCCCGAGGATAACGGGGATGTCGAAGCCGCGATGGTTCGCAACATGGCCGTGGCGTACGCTGCTCGCAAGCCCTTCATGATGCAATTCTATGTCCCGCACCCTGTCTTCTCACCACTTTCCGGCATCGGCTTGAAGCGAGTTCAGCTACCCGACTATAGCGAGGACTGCAACGCACGTGAGTGGCCTGTCTTGAATGCCTTGTTGAGCCTAACTGCGTGCGTGCAGTGCAGTGTGGTCGGACTTGTGCTCACTTTGTTCTGAATCGCTTGCGATGTTGTTGTGAAATTCCCGTTGTTGAATCTTCCGGTTGTTGAATCTTCCCACCTGCCGCGCAACGTCCTTTGTGGTGTGACCCTTCAAATCATCAGTCGGTGACGGCTACAACTGTGACTACGAGTCGGACATTCTGAAAAAACTCGCTTGGACTGGTTTGAAGCGCAAAAACTCGGTTGCTCACGCCTTCATCAGCCAGTTTTCCTACACTGCACTCGACCAGCAAAACATTGTTGCCGCACTTGTTTACCACAACGCGACACTTGAGGATGCCGCTTGTGACTGGCTGAAGGACAATCGTGCTCTTTGGGAGCGGGGTTTGCCCGATCCAAACACGCTCGTCACCCCGTCAACGGCCGCACCAGGAGCTCGCGTCGCTCTCTTTGTGCTCGCCGGGTTTGTCGTGATGCTGTGCGTGGTTATGGCGGTGATGGTTTGGGGCTTCCGCCGCGTTCGCATCATCCAGTCTGCCAGCCCCGTGTACCTCGAACTCATCTTGCTTGGCGCCGTCATGTCGATGCTCTGGATTTTCCTCGACTACTCGGATGATCCCTCCTCCAGCCAGTGCACAGCCCGCGTTTGGATGCGCCACCTCGGCTTTGGCGTCATGTTTGCCGCGCTCTTCCTCAAAACCTACCGCATCGCACGCGTCTTCCAGCAAGTGACCGTGTCTCGGTCCACCCCCCTGAGCGATCGCCGGCTGTTCTACCGCTTCCTTGAAATGAACGCATTCGTGGTCAGCATTCTCATCGTGTGGACGGTGGTCAACCCTTCGCACCCGGACACGATGGTTTCGGGCAACCAAAGCTATCAAGTGTGTGGAATTACTTGGTGGGACAATGCCATGTACATTATCGAGCTCGTCGCGCTCTGCGTGCTTGCGGTGGTTTGCTTTAATGTTCGCAAGGCGCCATCGGCGTTCAACGAATCAAAGTTCATCGCGCTCTCCGTCTACAACTGGATTGTTGTGGCCAGTATTCTGCAAATCATCCTGCGCGCCACCACGGGAAACGCCACCTTCTTCTTTATCATTGAGGCGCTCGAGGTCTTGCTGACTGTGCCGATCATTGTCGGCCTGTTGTTTGTGCCAAAGCTCTACCTCACCCTCAAGGGCAAAGGCGGCGAAGTCAGCACCAGCAGTTACCGCGGTGCCTCCACGCCCCGTCCCAACAACAACAATACATTGTCTGGTGGGGACCGCTCGTCTGCCAAAGAGAAGCAGGATATCGAGATGTCGAGCAAGGGAGGATCGGAGTCTGAGACTCAACAAGCCCCAAAGCAGAGCAGCGCCAACGCGTCGGCCGCTGGACCGAGTGGTGCTCCCGCTCGCACCAGTGGCAAATCTGATCACAAGGAGCTCCGCGCGCTGCGCAACGAAAATGCTCGTTTGCTGAAGGAGACGGAGGCCCTGCGTTCTCATCTGCTGCGGCTCAACAATCCCCATGTGTGATTTGTCTCGTTTTTGGTTGTTTTGTTAGAGTTGTTGATGCATGTGCATGTATTGTTTGAATGCGCCTATGGATGATGGAGCGGGCTATTTTTTTTTTTTTTTTTTTTTTTTAGTTAGTGATGGTTTGTTGAGCAACTGTTTTTTGTTTTGGTTTGTTGGTTTGTTTTTTTCAAGCTCCTTTCATTCAAATGAAACCACAAAGACCAACCCGCTTCGCTTGACTGTATGAAATTCCATCCGTTCACACTTGAAAACAATACCGACCAGCAGGCCAGGCTTCGTTTCGAAATGTTACAAATTCCAAAACACAAAACATCACATCCCAACAACAAAGAAAAAAAAAGTCAAAGAATCGGAGAAGGCAGAAAGCAGAAGGAAGGGAGGGGGAAAAAGGAAAAATCCCTTGCGCAAACAAAAACACTTTACGCGTCCATACGTATCCGCTTGTTGGAGCCAGAGGAGGCCGCGCTTTCCGAGGAAGCAGACTCTTCCAACATTCCAGCATCACGCTTGACAGATCGCGGCGTGCCGGCGTAGTTCATCAGGGTTGCGACCGCTTCAGCAGTGTGCGGAGACGGAGGCTCGATGGTGAGACCAGGGCGTTCGCCAGGCAACACCAGTCCTGGCTTGCTGCCAGCGGCGTGCGGCGGAGCAGACTCGCCTGCAAAAGTGCGCATGACCTTCAACAGATCAAACATGCCGGCGTACTGCTCGCGCGGGCCAGCGATACGGATCTCGCCAAGTTCGGTGCGGAGTTGCAGGAATTGGAGGTGATGCATGTTGGCTGAGTCGGCTCCAGCACTGATCTGGGTTGCATCCAGAATGCGGGTCAAATGAACAGCGGCGCTAATCACGCCTCCACTGCTGCTTGGCGATTGTGAGCGCGTGGCGAGTGTGTCCAAGGAGGTGTGCGCGAGCTGCTCACTGATGGCGGATGCGTTTGTCGCAAACAGACCGACCAGCATGACGCCATCGCGGGCAGCGATGAGGTGGTCGGCGGGCATCATGCACTTGTCGGAGGGGCGGCAAAAGGCAAAGTGCGTGACGAAAAGGGAGCTGGCAGAGGCATTGCCGATCGGAGCCAGGCGCTCGCGGACACTTTTCTCGACCAGTTCGACCGCAAAAGTGGGCACGAGCGGCTCGGTCGAGCCAGGCATGGCACTGGCAGTTCCAATTCGGTTTGGCACGACAAACGAGCCAGTGTCGCTTCCAGCAATGGACGGTCGACCGACAGCAGCGCCACTGACGGCGACGGGGAAGCCTTGCGCGGATGCTGCTGCAGCAGCAGTCGTCATGCCGAAGGACGGCTGAACAGAGCCAGTTGATGCCCCGCTCAGACCAAGCCGATGGAACCCAGCGCCCAAACCGGAACTACCACCGCGGTTGAGGGTACCGGGCGACGGAGGCACGCCGCCGGTGGTTTGGTGATGCAATTTCTCTTGTGCATGGATTGCGTTCTGCAAATGATCCATGGTGGTGACAAGAGATTCGCGTGCGTTCTTGTATAGTTGTCTGCGCGCAAGAGAAGGAAACAAGGAAACAAGGAAACAAGGGAGAAACAAAAACAAACAAACAAACAAACAAACAAACAAACAAACAAACAAACAAACAAACAAAAAAACCAACAACAAAGATGAGAGATCAAATTAGAATAGGACGCCGAAAAACATCTCAATGAAGCACCCAGCCGAAAACAAACACTCCACAAAACAAAACATGTATCTCTACCGAAGTTCTTCATAGGCAGCGCCGAAGCCAGCAGTGGGCGCGTCAAATGCTCGTTTTGCGTTCTAAACACCTCCCCCAGATCGATTAAATGAGTCAAACAGCCATGGCGAAACAGACAGTCTGTTCTTTAAGACGATTGAACTCTCTTACCTCCAGATTCCACAATGCCTCATTCAGAGGAATGAGGGCTTCGTTACAGCTCCCAATGGAGAGCATCGAATGCGTGCACGCGTTGAGTGCATTCTGGGCGCGTTGCGACAAGCCGGTCAACTGGGTTTCGACAATCATAGAGCACCGCGAAACGTTCGCCGATTCTTCCAGCATGGCCGTCTCGCGAGCGGAGGCAGGAAAGTTAAAATGGAGGGTGGCTGACATTGGCGTGGGGAGAGGGGTGCCGTGCTGGCCGGGTTGTTGGTGATGTGGCGGATGTGAAAGGTGCTGCGAATTGACCTGCTGTTGTTGGGGGTGGCCACCACCGACATTGAACGCCGGCGGCATGGGTGGCTGGAACTGGTGCATGCCTGGCTGCTGCGGGTGATGTGGTTGCGATTGTGGCTGCTGCTGCTGCTGCTGCTGTTGCTGCTGTTGCTGTTGTTGTGGTTGTTGTTGTTGTTGCGGCTGCTGGAGATGGTGTGGCTGCGGTTGCTGGACTGGTGGCGGCTGGAGCATTTGGCCGCTTTGGGGAGGCATGGGGATGTGGCCGGTGGAATAGTACATTCCCTGCCCGCCTTGCGGCGTCTGTAGCGGTACCTGAGGTCCAAAGAGCCCCGGAGATGGAAGGGGCGTACCGCGGGTGACTCCCGCGCCGGAAGGGTTGCCCAACCATTGACCAGTGATGGCACTACCAAACCCAGGCGTAAACTCGCCAGCGAAAAAGCCAGGGGACGTCAAAAAGTTTCCCTGCGTGCCATACATTGCAATACCAGCAGCACCGGCCATGTTGCCTGCAGAGCCAGCACTGCTTGCCAAGGGCGGAGGCACAGTCCTTTGTCGCACGGGTGTGGTGTTGGCCGGGTTGTGAGGAAGGGCATACATGTTGTTGAGCGACAAGGGATGTTGTTGCTGCTGTTGCGGCTGTTGCGGCTGTTGCTGCTGCTGCTGCTGCTGCTGTTGTTGTGGGTGCTGGAGTTGCAAACCAAGCTGAGGAGCGGTTTGCTGCAGCAGCTGCGCTTGCGGAGGCGGGGCTTGCTGTTGCTGAGGCATCGGTTGCTGGCGTTGTTGGGATGGCGCAAATGCCGGCTTCATCGGACTGTCTTGGGTCGTGTCGGGCGCCTTCAGAACACCAAGATTGGGCGACTTGCCCTCCTTGTGGAAACGCGGAACGCGTGGGCCATCTGCGGTGATTTTCAGCGCTTCCATCACAGTGGCGTACATGGGCGGTTCGCACAGGATGGAAATGAGCAGGTCGAATCGCTTACCGCGGCCGCTGCGCGAGGTCGACCGCGAGACAAAGCGCAGGTCGGTGAACAACGCCGCGTTGTCCTGAATCACAGTCATCCCGCCCTTAATTTGAGCCTGACCGACTTCATCGTTCTTGGCGTGCAAGATGACTTGCGTGCCGTTCGCCACCTTATAGCCCGGATGAATGCCGATGCGGAAGGTGGCTGGCAGCGCCTTGTTTGCACGCCAATGCTTGGGCAGACCGACGACAAAAATGTACGGATTGTCTGTTTGACTCACAGTGGCAGAGTGGTCGACATCGCCTTCCTCGTCACTGTCGTCCCCGCGGCCGCTGGCAGGTCGGGCAGCGCGTTTTGCCCGGCCTTTCCCTGCCGAGTAATCGCCATCGTCCTCATCTTCGTTGCCGCTATGGTGCGGATTGGAACGCAGCCTCGTCGTCCGCCGCAGTCCGCTGCTCGGCGAAGTGTAGCTTGTCGGTGATGCTGCAGCGATGCTCATTCGATAAAGCCAACGACGGAACGAGCAAGAAACGCCAAAAAAAAAAACACCAAAAACAAAAAAAAGGAGCGGTCGAGCAGAGCTGGAGGGTTGATTGGAGAGATACCGAGTTCAACCAAACAGACACCAAGCCTGGCAGTACCTGCAATAAGAGAGAATAAGAGGAGACGAGGCGTGAGAGGAGCACGACGAGAACAACAATATACCAACGAGGGCAACAAAGCAGGCAGGATACACAAGATACGAGGTTGGGTGGATGGAGCGCAGGGGGAAAAGGAAAATTGCAGAGGGTGTTGTTCCGAATAAAATGCAAGAGCAAACAAGTCGCGGTGCGGTGTGGTGTCGCAGCTGTGGTAAGAGAAACGAAACAAAAAAAAAAATCGAAAACTCAACAGAAATGGCGTTGAAGTACACAACGGAACTTTTTGCTCAAAAAGCCCCTCCCCGGCCAACGAGGGGACGAGGAACAGCAACAGCCAAGCGAGTGCCGACATGTGTGCTGCAAGTCGGGATCGAAGCGGATTCGCGAATGGATAAGAAGACGAAGAGAAAAAAAAAACCCTATGCAAAATAAGCACAAGAACGCCAACCAAAACAAACCGAGTTTCCCTCTCAAGTCGCCGTGGACGGCGCAATGCGACTGTGTCAAAAGCTCATGGCAGCACTGAGCAACGAGACGGAGAGCGCTTTTGTTCGAGGCCGACGAGCATGGGCTCAAGTTGCTGGCGGAGAACGCACGCAAAAAAGCACAGCGTTCACATACGCGGTCACCGTGTTTCACGTCGCAACAAAACGCATGCTCATTTTGACCGAGCCAGCATCACTCACCGAGCCTCCCTCCCATCCCCACAAAGGCGCACACAACACGCAGGATTCAGGGTTGATTCTGTGCTTTGGGGCACAGCCAGATGGCTGCTCGGACAGCACCGACGAAAAGAACATCCGAAACCGCGCGCTCGCGTCGCCGTGTTTGGGAAGCTGGTCAAAAAGGGCAAAAGAAAACAATGACCACTCACTCTGAGGTACAAAATGGAACAGTGGGCTGTTGACCGAATCAGGAAAAAACAATACACCAAAGAAAAGAAAAAAAAAAACTGGGAAAAAGTCAGACGAACTTTGCATCAAAAGTGGCGCGAATCACAAGTGAGACATGGAACAACGAGAGTGCGTCAAGCAGCTTGGAGGAGGTTGTTTGTGAGCGCTGTACAAATAGTGCAATGTGTTGGATCATGTGGAAATGGATTCAAGAGCAAAAACCAACTCAGATACCCAGATCAATCAGAGAAGAAGAAGAAGAAAAAAAGCCGCAGAATTTCGCATCGAAAAAAAAAAATAAAAAAAATAAGGGTGACAATTGGTTGCCTACCGCAACCCCCGAGCAAGTTAGACTTCCACTGGCTTTTGGAATTGGCGCTTGTCAATAGCACATCATTCAACGAGACGATTGAGTACAAATGGCACGGCAAGCTCGACTCACACGGACGTTAAAAAGAAGAAGAAGAAAATAAAAAAACAGTCCCGTGTATCGTTTCTGTTATTTTCAATCGTGTAAATCGTGAAGCCTCACTACGCGACTCAAGCAAAGCAAAAAGGGGGGGGGGGAAAGTGTTGATCTCACAAAAAAAAAAAAAAAAAAAAAAAAAAGTTGGTTCCGTTCAACCGCAACAGTACAGCAAAAAAACAGGGCGGCGAGATGCAGGCGCCCTGTTGTGGTTGATGCGGCTCTCACTTCAATCGCAGGGAACGACTTGCACAATGAGCCCACAGAGAGAGCAACATTGCATGGCAGTCAAGCTGGGGGAGAGGGAGAGAGTAGGACGACGAAACGTCGCTCGCTAAAACCAAATACAGGAGCAGAAGGATGGGTTGACCACCAAGCCCCAGCAGCACTGGCTGCAACGAGCGGACGCGGGTGATCACCACGAACACAAACAGCCGATCGTTCCACGAGTGCACCGAGCAGGACCAAAACCGCCACCCGCCCAGCGGGGTGGAGAAAAAGAGCTGGGTTTGCAGGGTTTTACTCGAGATCAATCTGATGTGCTCTGGACACACCAGCACGCGCGCGCACACACACGCACAGATTCACATCACATTCTCGGCAGCACCAAAGGAAAGGGGACGAGACTGTGTTGCGCGGCGATTGGTGAACGAAAACGAGAGGCGAAAGGGGGGTCCAAAGCGATGGAGACCGCCAGATTCGCAAAGAAAAAGAAAAAACCAACAAGAAAAAAAAAAAAACAAAAAAACCACACAACCACGACGACGACGACGGGCTGACCATCTCCTGCCTCCTTGCTGATCCCCCCTTCCCATGTCCTCAGAGGGGGGAAGAGGTAAAAGGACATTTTCCTCAGAAACACGCTCGTCAACAAGCGCGGATCAACACGGCTGCGTGGTTTCTCATGGGGCTGAATGCACACCTGCTCATGCACTTCGCCGCGCAGCTTTCCTTGTTGCGGTTTTCGTGGCTCATCCCGTCCTCTGCCCACCCCTGTTTTCACCCTTTGTCTTCCTCTGCTCCATTCGAGCCGCGTGTGCGTTTCTTCGAGTTGAGTTTCGCTTGCTTGCGTTCTCAGCGGAGCCGTTGAACTGCAACCAACCAACCAACGACGGCAGGAAAACTGACCACTGTGCAAAAGACTGATCGGACATTACGACATGAACAAGATGACATTGTCGTCCAAAATGAACAGGCAGCACCAAGTTCCGCGAAAGTCAGAATCCTTCCATCCTTAAAAAAAAAGCAATTTATTCCAAAAGGGTATTCGTTGGACGACACCAAACGCAAAAACACACAAACTCGTCCCGCTCGGCAGCTCTTCGACAAGCCAACCAAAAGTGCATGTCCTCTTGCAAAGGGTCAGTACGCACTGTTAACAGGAATGACGTCCAATCTAGGCCCGCACAGCATCAGCCGTCGACTCGCGCATTCATCGCCAATCGCTTGAAAAATGAGTGCTGGCTCAAACGCTCACTCTGGACGGCATCCTCTTCCCAAAGTCTCCGAACACTGGCTCGAATTGGCATTGGTGCGGCAGAGCTTTCCCCAACGTTGGCAGACTCGCGGACGAGGACAGCAGCACGAGGATTGTCGTCACAGCTTCGCGAAACCTGCGCAGAGTGGAGCAGTTGCGCAGAGGTCAAGTCGACCGCTGCGCTCGCATTACCATCTGTCGGCTTGCTGGAGCTGGGCCGGAAGAGAGCATCGCCTCGTTGGTGACTGGCGACCGAATTCGACCTCCTTGCCACATCAACAGCAGCTGCAGCTGGCTCCCTTGCCACACCAACAGCAGCCGCAGCTGGCTCCCGGGTCTTGCCAAAGAAATTGGTAATGAGATTGGTATCGGGCAAAAAATTGAGCGCAGAGAGTGACAGGCTGGTCAGATTGCCCACGTCGCCAACATCGAGCGACGCCGTGTACGCATCGACTCCCAGCTTGGTAATCTTGGCAACAAACTCTTCAAATCCGGGGAACGCGAAGGGCGTGGGGACGCCGGCGTTCGCAGTCGTCTCTGGCGCCTCGCTGGTTGGGCTGGTTGGGAGCGGACGTCGCGCCGTCTTGGCGGCGGACGACAGGGCAGGGCGCAGCACCACCGGCCCGAGCGTCAGCTCAGAAACGGAAATCTCGACCATATTCATTGCCTGCAAGGGGAACGGGAAGGTGCGGCTCCGCGACCAAGTGTCGTCCACGCGATACGCAACAGTCAGAGTGGACGGGTGCCGGGAGTGGACGATTTGATCTTCCAGGGTGCGCTCGGCGAGATCTTCAGCCAGCTCTCGGATGAACAGGGAAATGTCTTCAGAGACGCCCACAGGCTCGATGGTGGCCGTTGGTCCGCCGCCAAAACGCGGGCGAGCCCACGCCGTGAGCGCCATTTGCGACGAGATTGACTTGATGAGGCCCCGGTCAACCACCTCCGAGTCGTCTTCTCCCCGGCACGCTCGCAACAGACTCGCTGGAGTAGGGCTCGAGGCCCCAAACAAGGAGGCCAGGAACGAAGGCGGGGCGCGCAGCACATCTCCGCCGGTTTCGATTCCAACCGTCTTGAGTGTGTCTGTCACTTTTCCGCCAAACGATGGAATGCTGCGAACAGGAATGTCCCCGGAGCATGGCATCCACTGCGACAGTGCCGCGTTGGGCGACCTCCCCGAAGCAGGACGCCTCGATTGGTGACCCTGCCTCCTGCAGCAGCAGCAGGGGATTGGAGTTGACCACAACCACCTGGCCGTTCGGCTTTGCCAGCCGTGTTGCGAGTTTGGCGAGCAGCTTGTTGTGCGCGATACCCGCAGAGCACTCGAGGCTCAACACCGAGAGGATGGCGGCCCGAAGCTCAGCGATCAGAACGGCGCCGGCCTCGAGCAGATTGGATGGTCCGCCGCTTGGCAACACGCCGCCATGCACTTGCTCGCCGTCGTCATACCGTTGGCGATGGAGCAGCCGCTCGTTGGATGCTTCCTGCGCGATCGTCTGCACCATGAGATGCTTGGCGCGTGCGGTCAGGTCGAGGTAGCCTTCGTCAATGCTGGCCACCTCCACCGTGACTGGCGCGCTCGGAACAGCCGTGGCAAAGCTGCGCACAACGTCAAACACGCAAATGGACAGCAATCGGTAGTCGCGGTAGGTGGCCTTCCCGAGGCCGCGCAGTGGGACGTGCACGATGGTCACTTCAGGATGCGTTGCGCGCACAACGCCCGGCTTGGTGTGCTTGGCGATGCCCAACGCGCGCGCCTCGTAGGACAGCGCAATGATGTCCTGGTGCTGCTGCAGCGCAATGGGCTTGCCTCGAAGCCAAGGGCGTCTGAGAATCTGCGCACAAACAAGCACCAACGCTGAACTCAGTTTTGCATGCAAGACGGGAACGATCGAACGAACGCATGAGCAGTGCACCCACACACACACACACTACCTCTGCTTGGATGAAGAACGCATCCACATCGATGCAGGCCACCACTCGTTCATGTCTGCCACCGGACATTGCGGCATGTCGAGTCCGTTCGTCCGAAAACCAAAGCTTGCACGTACTAACAAAAAACAAACACGACTGAGAATCATCTCAGAAGCAAAAGAATTGACAAGTACATTTGGGGAAGAAAAAGCGTTTTGACATCAACAACATTGAAAAAAAAAACAAAACCAGTACAAAGGAAATCGCTCAAACTGTTCAACTCAAACCACGAAAATGGCCAAAAGAAAGCGAAAACAAACACGGCCGTTCAACAAAAGCTCAAGGTGTTTTTTAGACCAAATCACCACAGGCAAAACTACGACGACGGAAGGTGTCCAGACGGTACTCGGTCAGCAGCGAATCGGTACCAACAAACATGTGCTCGTTGCTGGGTGAGAAGGCGAGACCGGCAATCACGCAGTCTGCAGATCCGGGTGCGGGAAGGCGAATGGAGTGCTGCTGCGAAAAGGTGCGGGCGTCGACAACATGCGCATACAAGACGTGCTCGGTAAACGCGAGCAAGTCGACGGTGGACTTTTGGGAGAACTTGACATTGCGAACGGCGCCCTTGATGTGGCCTCGCTGGGTCGAGTGCAGTTTGGCAAGCGCTTTGCTGTAGCGAATGTCCCACACGGCCACCAAGCCATCCTGCGAGCCCGCGGCAAACACGGTCGAGGACGAGTGCCACGAGCAGCTAAAGCCGTGGTCGCGAGCCTCAGAGAAGCGAGCGACGCGCGTGTAGTCGTGTCCCACAATGCTGTACAGATAGACTTCGTTGCAGTCGCCGACAAGAGTCATCTTGCTTCCATCCGGGCTGACGGCTGCAAAGTTGATGGCCGTGTTGCACGGAATGGTGCAGATTGGCTGCAGCGACGGCAGGAGGAAGACTAACCAAGAAGAGAAGGGAATTGGTTAGATTTCCATGAGCGGGCAAGACATCCCATCATCCGATGCGTTGAAGGTGGGAAAAAAAGCACAAAGCTGAGCGAGCACAATACAAACACCTTACCATGCACGTTGCTGTCGTTGGAGGGAACAATGAGGCGCACCTCATCTTCGTAGCGCGAGATGTGCACCGCGTTGAGAACATTGTGAATGATGAACGAATCGTGTATCACTCTGCGTGATGAAAACGTAGTAGCATGTCAGCAAAAACTCGCGGCCACATAGCCTGTCTCTAAGCGTCTCTTGACACCCAAAAGCCGAAAAAAACTCACGTCGAGTCCTCGATCGAGTAGATTGTAATCTGGCCTTCCTGCCCACAAGTGGCAATGTAGCCGTGATTGACATCAAGTGCTGTTGGCGAATAGGATGTCTTGAAGAGCGTCCGAGACTGCGCAAAGTGTTGAAACGTTAGGTTGGCCAACGAACAATAGCAGAATGTTGGCTCAAAAGTGAACTTGTTTTTTTGTTTTTTGGTCCACAAAATACCTTTCGTGTTTTCGTATTGTATAACTCGACGTCTCCCTTGTACACGACGACCACCTCTTCATCGGACAGCGCTGCGACCAGATGCCTCAGTTGCCTGCAATCACATCACCAACAAAAGTAAAGTTGGTGAGTGGTTCTTATATTTCTGTCCTCAAGCTTGGTCGAATATGCGACAAGCCACCATAAATCTTTCTATTTTTTTGCTTTGTTATTTGCTTCGCTCAGAGTTGTAAACTCTGAGACACGATGATCTCGGTTTGTTACCAATGCTGGATGGTCGAAGGCCTTGGATGGGCGGCGACGTAGTTTGCAAAGTGCCAGTCGACCACCGGCGGCTGCTCGAACGCAAACGCTGCCAGCATTGACGTTGCAGATGCAAGGGCAGAGCGGTCAAAGTGCTGCTGCTCTGGCGGCGGCGGGAGTGTCGATCCGGTCTGGGAGGTTGGTCGGGACGGCGGCTGCGGCAGGAAGGAGACGCGCTGCTGTTGTTGCTGTTGCTGCTGCTGTTGCTGCTGCTGCTGCTGCTGCTGGTAGTGGTGGTGGTGGTAGTGGTGATGGGCGCCCGGCACTGGCGAGGAGGACTGCGCCAATGCGAACGGCGTCGGCGACCCGTCCTGCTGCTGCTCGTCCGCTGCTGCTGCTGCGTCAGAGTGCATCCTGAGCCGTGGTCGCGGGGGTGATGATGATGATGATGATGATGATGATGGTGACGATGGCTGGGCAGTCGAGGGCAGCAGCGACGTGTGCCACAGCGCCAGGCTCGCAGCCGTTGTTGGAGTGACTTCAATCGGCGCAGCGACAGTCGACGAGCTCCCCGCGACAGGCCACGGCAACGCAGACGTCCGCTGCCCCTGCTGGTAGAATGCCATGGCGATGCGTGGATTGTTGGTGTGTGAATAATATCGAAAAACTCGAGGTTGCGCGTTCTAAAAAGGTGGAGAAGGACAAGTTGCGTTGTTCTTGTTGTTTTGTTGTTCTCCGATCTGAACGGCTCAGAATGTTCGTGTCAAGCCAACAAAAAGCACACACACGCGAATTTGGTTGTTGATTTTGCTTTGCTTTTGGATGCTGGCGTTGGTGGTTGTTGAATCACGCAAGAAGGAAAAAGAGTGCAAAATCAATGGAAAAAAAAAGAAGAGTGTCTGAGCAGCTTTGGCTTTGGCTTAGACTCACTTCAAATAGAATCCAATCCGAGCAAAGATTGCCATGGCATCATTTTCACTGTCTCAAAAACAGGCGAGGACATTCTCATCTCGGGTCGTGTATGGCAATGTCGATCGCAGGAGATGACGAGCAGCAGCAGCTCTTGCTGGAGCTGGTTCAGCACATTGAGCGACGACTGGCCACCACGACTGCGGCAACCACATTGCCTCATAATGCCGATCTAAACTCGGCTGATACTGCTATGGCACAGCAACAGCAGCAGCCGCAGCCGCAGCAACAGACGACCGGCGTCTCGCCAAACGCTGCGCGCGTGCTGCTGGACTGGCTCGATCAGCGTCAGGACTCCGCCGACAGACCTCCGCAGCAGCAGCAGCAGCAACGTGGCAGCGTGTGCTCGTACTGTGCATTGCGGTGCATGGGCGCCATCTGCAGCGCCGTGTACGCACTGCCTCGGAGCGTCGTCGATGGCCAGCTCGTCGCCAGTCTCGCGCGACACGCGACAACAACCGCTCCACCGCTCGAGAGCCCATCCAGTAACAATCATAGTAATGGCTCAAGCAACACGAGTAGTAACGCATGCGTCCTCTGTCTCGGACTGCTGCAAGCAATCTCGGCACCTGCCTCAAGTCTACTCGACCAGATGATTGACGCGCTGGATCTGCCAGCGTGCGATGGCTTTGACAACTTTGCCGTGCAAGTGCAGTTGCCACCAGCCATTGCCATCCATCAGCGCTGTTTTGGAGCGTATTTGGCAGACCCGGCCACGGATGCTCCCATTTCCGGCATCACTCCGCTGCCGTTGCTCGAGGTGGTCAAAACCATGATTGGCACCCAGCTGGCACGTCGGACAGGCCTCAAGTATACTTCAGGAACAAGCGGGGCGCCTGTCGTGCTGCACTACCGGTTCGACCATGCAGAATCCGTCGAGGAAGAGCGCGCACTGACACAGCTGCCCGAGACTGGCTTGCGACTCCCTCACGCTGGCGACACTGGTCCACGGCGGCACTTCCACCAACAGCGCGACCGAAACCGTGCGCGAGAATTGGTTGCAAACGCAGCCGCATCGCTGGTCTCAGAGAACGAAGGTGAAGGCAACAACGACAGCGATGCCGGAGTGCGCGCCGTGGCGCCTCCCGTCGCGCCGTGGCCCCACATTTTTGAGCTCGATGTCGTCGCTCGCGCAGTCGCCGGCCTGCCTGTCGAAAAGCTGCGAAAATTCGTCGCCGTGCCGCCGAGGCCAGTCGCGCAGCCGGCCATTCTGGGCCATAGCAAATTTACACGCGATCCCATCTTTATCGGAGGGCGCTATAACAAGTACTCGCGCGTCGTGAGTCAGTCGCCGTACATTGTGGGCGAGGAGCGCAAGGGCGACACGTCCGTGCACGAACTGATTGCGGCGCCGATGCTTGCCTACTGTGGCGCGTCCGAAATCAAGTTGTCGTCTTCCGGTCGCGAGGATATGGACGTTCGCATGCTCGGTCGTGGTCGGCCTTTCGTGCTCGAGATTGCAGACGCTCGACGAAGCTCACTGACTCCCGACAAGCTGGCGCATCTGCAAGCGCTGGTGAATGACGCTGCTGGCGGCCGCGTCCACATTCGCGATCTCATCGTAGCGCAGCGCGCGGACATCCCAGCGCTCAATGAAGGCGAAGACGACAAGAAGAAACTCTACGGCGCGGTCATTTGGGTGAGCCGGCCCATCACGGCGGAGGACATTGCGGCCCTCACTCGCCCAGAAGAGATGGTCGTGCAGCAAATGACACCATTGCGCGTGATGCACAGACGAGCCATTTGCACACGACCGCGATCAGTGTACTGGATGCGAGCGCACCAGATCAACGAGCACTATCTTCTGTTGTGCCTCAGCACGCAGGCCGGCACGTACATCAAAGAATTCGCTCATGGCGACTTTGGTCGCACGGCCCCCTCCATCGGGTCGTTGCTTGGCAATTGCGAAGCGGATATCGTTCAGCTTGATGTTTTGGATATTGACATGCCATGGCCCCCAGCCCGATGATCCCCAGGACAAAACAGGCGTCCCAAAAACCTGATAGCTTGTTTTTTTTGTTGGTTTTTTTTTCCGGATGAATGTATTGAAATTTAAGGCCAGTGCATCAGCTTCAAGTCACAAAACCCGCTCCTTCAGAAAACAAACAGAGAAAACATGCAACAAACAGGAAATTACATCTTTGCAAGCAGGAAGGGCTTAATGTACTCGTGGTAGCCCGGCGCGACTTGGGTCTTGTTGAGGGGCTCTTGCTGGGCCCACTCAAACAGCGTCTCGTAGACGCGGCCGTTGTGCACACCGAGGGCAGAGCCAAGCGCGTGGTCGGTAAAGTTAAACGCGTCGACGAGGGCGACAGCATCAGGGCGAATGGCCTCCAGCAGGCGACGAATTTGTGCGTGCAGAGGTTCGGTGTGGAGCGAGCTGAGGTAGCCATACTCCAAAAAGTCGCCCAGGTCGGCTTGGATGAAATGGAGTGCAAACAGATCGCAGAGCGTTTTGAGGACGCGGAGGATCGGGGTGCTCGTGCCGCTGGCCCGAAGCTGCTCAATCGCGTTCACAAAGTTGTTCAAGACCACATAGTACGAGTGTGCTTTGGCAACCTTGACCATGTCGGACTTGATGGCCTCGACGGCGAGCACCTCGTCCTTGCCCTTCTGCATCTCGGCGACCAAGCGATTGGCGCAGTTTGCAACCAGGCTGTCAAATTACAGCAGTAGAGTGGTCAAAGTCAATCATTGAAGCACGCGCAAGTCGAGCAGAATGGAAGCTGCGAGCAGCAATAACAACAACAGCAACAACTCGCCCCTTCCACAGCAACAACAGCAAAAAAAAAAAAAAAAAAAAAAAACCCTACTCACCGAAGTGCGCGGTTGCGATACGCGTGCAGCTGACGCGCAGGATCAAGCCAAAGCTCCTCGGTAGAGGCATCGCAGCGCTCGTCCAACAGAGTAGACTTTTCGAGGTAGGAAACGTTGCCAGGGAGTCGCAGGCCTGGCTTGGCCTGGGCCTTGCCGTACAACTTGAGCAAGTAGCGTGCGAGTTGGAAGCACATGACAGTGTTGTCACCTTCGTACGTGCATGCAGGGATGTAGTTGGCGTACAGCGAAGGCAGGCCACTCAGCTTTGAGTAGCCGTGACCGCCGCAGCTCGCGCGGCACGTCTCAATGCCCGCGCTCGCAATCCAGGTCGTCAAGCTCTTGAGGCCGGCACTCGTAGCATGCATCTCGGGCAGGACGCTAAAGTCTTGGGCGCGCATGCCACGCACAAAGTCCGAGTACATTTGGCGAATGTAGTTGCCCGTAAAGTGGAAGGCATACGCGGTGGCGAGCAGCGGGAAGAGAGCCGCCTGCTGGTTTTGGTAGTTGAGGATTTGCTGCTCGGGCTCGCCAGAGCGCAGCGGGAATTGCTTGCGCACACAGCTGTAGCGCACAGCAATCGTGACGGCCTTGGCCAACGTGGACGACGCAGTCCCGATAATGTAGGCGCGCATAAACACCATCGTGGCGTAGCTGACCTTGGAGTGCGGAGGCGTCGAGTAGGTGCCGTCAGCGGCCACCTGGGCAAAGCGCATCAGCATGTGGTCGCGCGGGATGCGAACATGATCAAAGCGCAAAAATCCATTGTCCATCGTCTCGTAGGCAAACTTGGGGCCAATGTCGCCGACCGTGATGCCCTTCAGCGGCTCGTGGTTCTCGAGGCTGCGCAGCTGCACCATGAATGGATGGACGCCGCACTCCCGATCGCTAATCACAAGACGAGCAAACACGACGCAGTGCGTGGAGGTCTTGCCGAGCGCGCCAGGCCACCACTTGGTGGCAGTCAGCGTGGGGCTGTTGAGGACAAACTCTTGCGTCGACTTGTCGTAGGTTGCGACCGTCTCCAGGCCTCGGATGAAGCTGCCGTGCCCCAGCTCGGTCTGCGCGTAGGTGCCGATAATCTTGTATGCGCGCGCGAGTGGCAGCCACTTTTTCTGCTGTTCGTCCGTTCCCTGTCCGACAATCGTTGGGATGAACATTCCGACGTGCAGTCCGATGGGCAAGTCTTCATCGATGGCTCTACGCGCGCGCGAAAGCAGCAAGGAAAACAACCAGAGATGAAAATGAGTTGGTGAGCAAGCAATCACGAGCCATCAAAACGGCATTTGTGCAGATGCCACCCATGTTCGACATTGTCATTGCTGACGGGTCAATCGAATTCATCTTCATGCCATGAAGCACGGACATGCCATCGATGATGACACACAAGCACAACGGGAACAGCCATCTAAAAACACAAAACTCACTGGCGCAAATCCTGCTGGTCGAGCTCGCTGTGCAGGTTGTGCTTGGCGATGAGCTCCTTGTAATGGCGGACCTTCTCGAGCGACCTGCGGTACTGCTCTGTGCGCGACAAGAAGAAGCGGTCGGTCTTGCGGAAGACGGGATCGCTGGCGACCATGTTCGCTGTCAGACACAGACATGCAGACATGTAGGCAGGTCAGCAAGAATTGCGCAAACCTCCAAAGCAGTCGAGCCAACCATCATAAGAGTGTGTGCTTTTCGTTGATCGACAGTTTGCTTGACCCTTCCATAGGTGCTTCCAATGTCAATGAGTGGCTCGAGATTGGACGAGTTCCGCTTCCGCCTCGTTCTCCGACTTTGTCCTTTCCACCCCCCCCCACCCGCCGCCTTGCTTGTTGTCCAAACTCTGATACTTGGCCATGCTATTCTCAACAACTCGGAGACTTCATTGAACTCTCTCGCGTTGTCGCTTGTCAAAGGCGGTGTGCTTTAAGTGGTTTCCCACTCATTCCGAATGGCACTCTTGGTTACCAATCCGCTCGAGGTGCTCGGTCCGCTCCTGGCCGCCGTAGACCAGGTAGGTGAGGTCGCGGACGGGGAACGAGGCGGCACCGCGCTCGCGAACGAGATCCGCATTCGGCGGGCCGTTGACGGCGTTCGTCACTGGGAGATTGGGCTTGGATGAGGAGGACATTGCAAACGTCAATGATTTGAAGACTGCAACCCTGAAATAATCAGACTGACAACAAAAAAAGCAAGAATTCTCAGAAGGGTGGGGATAATCAAATGCGATTGGTTGAGATGGAGTTTGGAATGGGTGACTGCCACTGAGCTCTGAGCTGCGTTGCAGTTGCTGGACCAAACAAACCCACATAGCTCGGTCGGTCAATTCGGGTCGATTTGCTGAATGAAAAATTACGAGCAATGCAGTGGTCTTCTTACGATTGGACAGTCCTTTCTACTCGTCAATGCCCATCAGTGTCAGAGTCGGCTCGCCATTGTCGTCACACTGCCTTGCTCGAGCTCGATTGCTTCACTTGCCGCCAGTCGCGCGTCGCACTCTGGTCTCCATCCCAACAACAACAGCAGCAACCACACCAGCAGCAACACGACCATCCCGACAACCACCACCGCACGGCTGCACGTTCCCAATCCGGCAGCCTTGCACTGCAGTTCAGTCCTCAGTCTCGGCGGCGCAAATGTCAACCTCGGCCTCCGCACCTTCCACACCCGCTCCTTCCGTGAGTGTGCCACTTGCTCGTTGCAAGCTAAACTCGTTGCAAACCAAATGAGCACGAAACGGCAGAGATTTGCTCCCCAGTGCAGGTTCTTGGGGCTGAATGATGCGCACGGACGAAATGGCGGGAAATCCAACATATGTTTTCCCGCCAAATCCCCTTTCTTCATCACATCCCACCACCACCACCACCACCACCACCACAACTGACATGCTGCGTCGCTCATTGTTGCTTGTTTTCATGCTTTCTTCTTTCCATCCTCCTTTCGAATGTTCCTCCACAGCGCCATGAGGAGATGCAGTACCTGGATCTCATCCGGGCGATCATTGAAAACGGCGACGAGCGGCTCGACCGCACCGGCACTGGCACGCGCAGCATTTTCGGAGCCCAGATGCGTTTTAGCTTGCGCGATGGCGTCATGCCTCTGCTGACGACCAAGCGCGTGTTCTGGCGTGGAGTGGCCGAGGAGCTGCTTTGGTTTGTGGCTGGCAACACGAATGCGACAGCGCTCTCCGACAAGGACATCCACATTTGGGATGCGAATGGATCGCGCGCCTTCCTCGATGGACGCGGTCTCCAGCACCGTGAAGAAGGCGATCTCGGCCCAGTCTACGGCTTCCAGTGGCGACATTTCGGCGCGCCCTACACGACCATGCACGCCGATTACGAAGGAAAAGGTGTGGACCAGCTGAAGCATGTCATCGAGACAATCAAGACCAACCCGAACGACCGAAGGCTCATCATTAGCGCCTGGAATCCTGTTGGTAAGGGCATGTTTGGAGGTTCTTTTTGGTTGATTTTTTGGTGGCGATTTTTGTGGATTGCTAACGTGTCATTCTCTCGTTCGTTTTTGGCTTAGACATTCCCAATATGGCCCTTCCTCCATGCCATATGATGTGTCAATTCCACGTCAGCAGCAAGAAGGAGCTGTCATGCCTCATGTACCAGCGATCTGCCGACATGGGTCTCGGTGTTCCGTTTAACATTGCCTCGTATGCGCTTCTCACCATCATGGTTGCTGAAGTCACGGGCTTGACTCCAGGTTTGTTTTGTTTTGTTTGGTTGGTTGGTTGTACCGTGCCTTCTCTTTTGATGGATGCGCCGGTTGGAGGATGCTTGCTCGAATAATGTCTTGGCTTACTGGATTGTTTTTTTTTTTGGCAATTTCAGGCGAACTCGTTCATACCATTGGAGACGCGCACGTGTACCTAAATCACATTGATCCCTTGAAGGAGCAGCTGAAACGCGAGCCGCGCCCATTCCCGACCTTCAAGCTGAACAGGAAGGTCACCGAAATTGACGATTTTCGTTTTGAGGACTTTGTCATCACTGGCTACAATCCACACGCCAAAATTGAAATGGACATGGCCGTGTAGCAGCCGAAAGGGGAACGAAAAGCTCGGATTGCTTCGTTGCAGCAAACAAGACCGTGTGACATGTGTGTATTAAAAAAAAAAAAAAGTAAATGTTATGCTGTCAAGTTTTCGTTCACGACCTGACATAATGGAACAACCCACAAACATTGGTGCCCCGAGAGTCGAGGCGATGGGCGTTACAACCAACCACCTATTTTGCATATTTTGCACTCAGGACATAGTGGTTGCCCCTGCACCCTGATAAAATCGCGGACTGGCCTGGGCGTTCGTGCCGTACTCTGCGTTATGCAGAAGGTGGACGTGCTGCTGTGCTTGCATGGTGCCGCCATCGAACATGCCGAGGCCTTCCAAGGGGGACGAAACAATTGTCGTTCCAAACGCCGTCGCGTCGCGAACGGAAACGCCTTGACGGAGAGCTGCTCGCATGTGTTGCAGGTTGGCATTGAACCGATCCTTTGTGCGCAAGGTCAGGTCTGGTTCGATGTCGGCCATGAGCTTTTCAAAAGCAGCACGAGCGATATGCACGCGGGCGGGAGGGGACGATTCGATCAACAGATCGCGAATTTGCACATACTCCTGTTCAGCCAAAAAGTGCAGCCAAAGGGTGGTGCATGTGTGAGACAAGTGAGTCCGACCGCAACGACACGGGGAGGAGTGCGCTGCAAAGAGCGAGCGAGCGAGAGACTTCAGTTACCGACCTTTTCAAAGAGTAAAATCAATCCGAGCAACGGCCGCCAAAGCATGTGGCATCCCCGATCGGTGTCATAAAAGATCATGTTGAGAATCAGCTCGAGAACATGAGGCAGTGCTTGAGGGGCTTGAGCAAGAAGTTGCTCGATTTGTGAGCGGTCGGTGCTCGGCTTTTCGCGTGACATGTGACGATGGACGTAGCCGGTGATGTTCTCCACAATCCGACAACACAGGTCCCGCACATCCCGGTCTGTTCAAGCAGTGTTTGACCGCGAGACAAGTTGCACCAAAATGCGAAACAAAATGAGCACACGCAGCATGCATACCAGCAAATCTATCAATGAATCCGAACACTGACCAATGTGTTTCAGGCCTTCTTCGACGCAGCCGAGCACGGAAATGTACAACGTGACAGGCATCACAAACAGGTAGCTTGTGAGGTCTTGAAGGAAGTAGTCGAGCGCCGAGAAAAAGTTTTTGGTTAGTTTCGGGATGCTGACCAGGTCCGTGGTTGGAATGGAGCTCATCAGCTGGAGGAAGGAAACAAGCGCTGTCTCAACCGAGTCGTCGTGATACAAGGTCATGACTCCGAGGTTGACGAAATTGGCCGCCAGAGCATTACGAATCAGCGCAAAGCAGTGGATGCAGCTCTTGTACCTGGTGCGTTTGCAGTACATGCGAGAGTGAGAGCAGCAATGGTTAGCTTTGCAAACAAAAAAATGGATGCGTGAGTCTTACTTGTACTCGAAGAGGTAACTTGAATCTATGTTAGAAGCATTCACTCCCACAAATTTGCGAGCTGTCGCAGTGTCAAGAGTCCAACATCCAAGCCAATCAGGAAAGTCAATTGGAACGATCTAGGTAGATTAAGCATCAGCAGAGTCCCCGCCCGAGGCTCTTACCACAGAGGCTCAAAACGCGAGACATTTCGCGAAATAGATGCACTCCTCCCGGCGACGTTGTGTCAAACACAATCCGTTGACCAGTGTTGGTGCAGAGTTCCACGAAAAGCTTCAAGATGGGCACGATCAACTGTGGGTCGTCGCTATCTTCAAGTGCGGCACTGAACACGGATAAATAGACCGGTTGACTGAAATGATACAAGGGTAGAGCCACGTCAGTTCCGAATGCCATTCCCCTCGTTCATGCGCGACAAACCAACCAAAAAACCTAAAAAAAAACTAAAAAAAAACCTTACATCCACTCAAACAGCAGCATGAAATGGCTCTTTTTCGAAAAGGCGCTCACCACGCCAGTGAGATCCCGAGCAAGGCAAACGACTTGGTGGCGCAGCTCCTCTTGCTGGAGAGCACCAGCGGTTTGGAGCTTGTTGATCACGTCATCGAAGAGCTGATCAAAGTGCAACAAGAATCGCTCAAGCCGAACGTCATCGTAGCCCCCCGTGTTGAGCATGGCAAGGCGGATGAGGGCCTCAAAGAAGGTTTGTCGAAACTTGGCCTCGATGGGCTGCAAAAACTCGAACGCCGCTCCGAGCGATGAATTGACGAGATACTGCACCGCTTCGATTCGAGAGCACACAACGTTCGTGTTGATTGCCAGCGCCATCTCCTTGAAGAGCTCCATCGTGCGCTGGATGACATCGTCGGAATCAGGCCATCGGCGGATGTTGAAGATAATGTTGTTGAGAATGACATCGAGAAGGCTCTCCACAGAGGCCAAGCTCAGGTGCTGCTTTGTGCGCTCAAAGAATTCATTCAAGCGCGGCGTGGATGAACCGACAGTTGGAGGGATGGCCACGAGCGCTGAAGCAGACTGGGACGCCGCCAATTCCATGGTCAAGTAAACCTTGCGCACATTCCGGAAGAAGAATAAAAAGGCGCACTCGAGCCGATCGGCCCCCGTGGTGTCCAGGGAGGTGCGGTTGTGGGCCATTTGAAGGACACGGAAGACGAGGCAGGCCAAGTCCCCATTGTGCCCATCCGTGCTCTCGGTCACCTTGGTAATTTTCGGACGCCCTCCGATCAGCGCGCCAATCATCATGACGAGCCAGACAATTCGAGTCTCGTCGAGGTACAGCTGCTGCTGGAAGTCTGCACCCATGGATTCAACCGCAAATGTCGTGGTGCAGAAGGGCACATCGAATGGACTAATCCGGCCCCGTGCCAAACCGTTCTGGGACATTCCGCCGGCACCGTTGGACGCGGACGCACCAGCGCTGCCGGACAACTTGAAGCCAGCGCCCTTGACATTCGCCGCAGTCTTGCGAGGCGGAAAGCGCGGCGGCATTGCAGATGCAACAGCCCCATTAATCACATTGAGCGCCTCCTGCCCAATCTGACCGACTGCGGCGTGTTGGAAGGAGTTCACCAAGCCCGAATAGGACGCAATGACGCTTATCAAATGCTGCTCGAGCAGTCTGCGCGTTCGATCATAGTCGAATCGACCCAGCGCAGCAAACATGTCCAGCTCCTCGACCAAATTCTCCATCGAGTCGAGCGGGTGCTCGTCGGCATTTTGAGAAATGAGGAACTCGTTCTTCAAATGGACGTCGATATAAGCGTCTGCGATCTGCCGAGATGGGGCGATGTCGTAGGGGGTGAGCTTTGCATTCATACATTTCACGCAGCGATTGGATGAAATGGGAAACCAACAGCGAAAAACTAACCTGTGGCACATACTCCTCCAACTTGTGGGGCCGACGTGCAAAATTCATCGATCCAACCAGCCGGTGCCATAAACTAAGAAGATGAAAAACGCTGTTGCTGGACCACTGAAAACAGAACAGGCAAAGCATAAAAAAAATCAGAACAAGTCGGCCATTCATGTGTGCAAGCACAACCAAATTCGCCCCCGTACCTTCCAGTCTTGGAAACTGGCCACTGTCAACTTGCACGTCATTTCTATCACATCTGGGTACGCCTCAACAGCTGCAATGTCGGCGAGCTGGTGGTTCCGCTTGAGCAAGAAGAGCATTCGACAAAACTGCTGGTAAATTTCAACATTTGCGAGTTCCTCTTGATGGAAGAGAATGTGTCGGATGCCATCCAAGACACGGCCGAGAAATGCCATTCGCTCATCCGCAGTGGAAAACAACGACGACCGGCAGGATACAAGGAGGGAGATGCATGACATTGCCTGGAATGGACAAGGAAGAGTTTGAGCAATTCAGATCAAATCAAGAACCCCCAAAAAACAGCCCTCGCACCGCATGCAAGCTGAGAAAGCAGAGAATCATCATAAACAAAAACTGACAGCGATGGTGACTTGGTGTGGATACCCGCTATACAATCCAAAGAACATGTTGACCAACGCCGGTTGTGCAATAATGGCATTCCATGAGTTTGGTAGCTGCCAACCAATTGACCACATAGGCGAGTCAGAAGGCATGCATTCAAGTCAAACAGCAACACCTGAACACCTTGAAATTCGTACATGCGCAACGTGCTCGTCCTCAGCCGCATCGTCCAACGCTGTGCCGTTAAAGTCGTACGACAGGCACGCCTTAACCAGGCCTAACAGCAACAAACAGAGTTCTACCCAGGCGTGCACAGTGAAGAGTGAGACAAACCGCGACCAACCAAAAAACGCTCCAAAACGTCAGAAACAAAACAAACCAACAACAACAACAACAGCAAAATAAACCAATCCACAAACCTGTGTCAGATTCTGGCACAAATGGCCTGTGTGTGAATTGAGACAGCTCTTCGAGAGCTGCCGTAAAGATGCCAAGAAGCGCAACGTCTCGAAAGTCAAACAAGACTTTCTTGTGTCTCTGAAACCCGGTCAGTGGCTGGCTCACTGAGACGACCAGGTCTGTCAGGATTTGCAGCCCGAGCGAGTGGTACTGCTCTGTTCCAAGCAACGGCTCGAGATCGCCAAGCACGTTCTGAAACGCAGGCTGCAGTTGTCCCGCTGCAATTTCAAACCATCCGATTCGCGTGATCAGGCAGTAGCACTTGACAATGTACGGCTGCGCGATTGTTGCCGTGGGATGCGATGACAAGAACGACAGCAAGAATCCACCTGGCAGGATCAGCAGCAGAATCAGGCATCCAGCACAATGAGCACAATGAGCACAATGACCACAATGAGCACAATGAGCACAATGAGCACAATCAGCAATCAGCACAATGAGCACAATCAGCACAATGAGATGCAGATCCAAACTGCGATCGGAGAGGGTGTCTCAGCAACTGTGGCCTTTTGTCAAGTGCGACGTTGACGCCGAGCTTGGTGATCTGAGTCGCTCGATCGGCTTGCACCCCTGTCTCTTGTTTGGAAACGGTGGTGTGTTGACTTACGGATGCCAATTTTGATGTCGATGGAGAGAATGGCATCGTGCTCGAGGAGGTAGTCATGGAGGACGGTCGCAGCGACGACATGGCCGTACTCGCCGCTGCCGTCCGACCTGAGCACGAGCTCGCACTTGGAAAGCACGTCCGTTGCAAAGAACTCGTTGATCTGCGCGAGCGCGCCAGACGAGCCCTGGACGACCGCCTGCTCGCACACGACGCTCAGCTGGCTCAGCTGCTGCTCGTCCATTCGCGAGAAGTGGGGGGGGGGGGAAAGAGGTCTGAGCAGAGCAAGTCTGAGCAGAAAGTCTGAGACAAAACACCTCCACAAAAATGCAAGATACAGATACGAGAATGAATGTCGGTTGGCTGCTGTGCGTAGGAGGAGAAGGACGCATTGCTTGAATCAACTTGTCTCAGTTCCATTGCGCGCCAAAAACGCATCCCGACGAGCTCAAAGCTACACGCGCGCCGTACAACACATTGCAATGCACAGTCGACATTTTTTTGCTCTTTTTCTTTTTCTTGTCTTTGTCTGTGTTGTTGCTGAGATTAGAGCATCGGATACTGTATTCAATGGCACCAAGCCGACTCCGGTGCTGCAGCCGATCGTCAGGCGCAGGCACAGTCTACGTGACGATTGGATGGTGCATCCTGGCCCTGACGAGCTTGCTGGTGCTCTGGTGGCTGGGCAGCGGTGACATGGCGGCCGTGTGGAACGAGTTTGGCTCGGCTCCCAAGGGACCAGAAAACGACGACGGTGGCGACGACGACATGCTCGTGTCATCGGACATCATGGGGCGACTGCCTGTGATTCTGCTGACGGATGACGCCCCGGGACTCGAAGGTCCGCTGCTGCTCGAGGACGACGGGGCAGCAACGGTGTCCCATCCGTGCTTCCTCAGCGTCGCCCGCGCATCGGCGTGGCCAGCTGAAAGCGATCTGAACGTCCTTGTCATTGGCGGAGCTGGGTTTGTTGGATCGCACATTGCCTTGCGAATAGCGGAATTGCCACGCGCCAATGTCGTGGTGCTCGACCTGATGGACAACTCGGCGGATGCCCGGATACGCGCAGACCGCGTTGCATTGATGCGCGCAAAGCAAGTCATGGTCATGAAGGGAGATGCAAGCAATCGGCAGCTCTTGACACAGCTGTTTGAGCTTCAGGGACCATTCACGCACGTCGTATTTGCAAGCGGCGACGAGCCAGCGGCAGCAATGTGGCGAGAAGCTGCCGCGTCGTTGAGCTCCAGTGAGAATGGCGGAGTAGACATGCTCAGCCACGTGAACAAGCGCTTGAACGATTCGCACGTCGATTGGGCGCAGGAGGCAGCGGCTCGCGAAAAGCTTCTTCAACCAGACCGCGTCGCGGTGGATACGTTTGGCTCGGGTTCGCCCATGCCGCTATTGGACGTGGTTGCAGTCCCAGATCTCACTCTAACCCGAGGAATCGTCGGCGCATTTGGCAGCGTTTTGGACGTGGCAAGGTCCCAAGAGCGCGCGCTTCGTCCTCGCATCATTCTGCTGTCGTCTTACGGCCTTTACGGCGACCGTGCAACGATGCCTGTGGGTCAGCCGCTCGCCGCGGACGACGTCGCCGACGACGACGCTCCACAATCCCCGTCGAGCGGAAGCTCCAAAGACGAACACGACGTTGAGCTCACCCAGCACCACTCCTTCCGCTGGACACCAGAAGACTTTGTTCAGGAGACGCATGCAACGGACCGAGTCCAGGATCTCGAGTCGGCGCTTTTGAAAACGACCGAGGGCATGGCGTACGCGTACCACCACCTCCATGGTTTGATGGTTACCACCCTGCGGCTACCGCGAGTGTACGGCCCGATGCAAGGCTCGCACGCCTTCCTGACGCCACTGCTCGAGCGCACAGCAAAGCATTCCGCCCGTCGGCAACTTGTCGAGCTGCTGCATGTCAACGATGCCTCGGCTGCAGTGATGGCTGCAATTCAGTACGGGAGCACATGCGACATTGTCAATGCAGGATCAGGCCTGCTGCACAGGGTGGATGAAATCTTGGACTATGTCGACAACTTTCATCGCGGTCAGCGAGTACCAGACTGGGAGCAGCTCGCTGCCGCCGCCCTGTCGCCCGTCAGCACCGATCGAGCCGCGCAGCTTCTTGGCTGGCAACCCACCACTGAGCTGCACGTCGGCCTCGCAGAGACTTTCAACTGGTGGCTGGATCGCGTTCAAAGCTTCCAGGCCAAGTGGGCTCCACTTGGTGCGTACAGCTTTCAGAGCGCGGCAAGCAAGGGTGACATCGGTCAAGCAGCAGCCGCCCAGCACCGAGCTGTTCCAGAATCGTCGCCGCCGCCCAACACAGTGATGACGACCCCGGTGGACCTTGTTCTTACTTGCTACTTTACCAGCGATGTTGATCCTCAGCGAAGCGAAAGCACTCCGCCCAACATGTACTTTTACATGGCGCGCTGGTACGAGTCCATGCACGAGCTGGGACTGCGCGGCGTGATCTTCCACGACCAGTTGAGCGCAGAGTTTGTCGCGCGTTACACGTCCGACCTAATCTCGTTTGTGCACGTGTCGGATCTCCATCACCGCTCCACCAACGACGCTCGGTTTTACGTGTACAACGCCTACCTGAAGCAGCATGCCGAGGTCCGGAGAGTGCTGATGACCGACATCAGCGACGTCTACTTTCTACGCAACCCTTTCGAGATGATGTCGGCGCTGCAGGATCGTCGCCTGCTGGTCGGCTCGGACATTGACATGTTTCCAACCATGAAATCCATGGGCTGGCTGGAGCCGCGCTTGGCAAAGTGCTTTGGCGAAGGAAGCGGCGACCCAGGCGGCAAAGTGCACCCGGTGATGAGCCTGTCACAAGTATACAATGCTGGCGTCATTGGGGCGCATCGCAGCCTGGTCGAAACCCTGCTTCAACGTATTTGCGACGAGCTCGACGCAACGCCACCCGAGACCAACTGCAACATGGCTGTTATCAACTATGTCATCCACCGTTGGTTTGAAAACCATGTGTTTACGGGGTATCCGCTTACGAGTCGCTTCATGCGTCGCCAGCAGGCGCCTCGAGGGGTGTACATTGTGCATAAATGAAATCCGCTGTCTCGGGTTTTGCTGCTCGGTTGCTCCAAGTGTTGCTTACTGTTAATTTAGGTTAATGTTATTGTTAATATACATGCGTACAGTATATTCTTCAAGGCGACGTCGACGAGCTTTTGCAAGCGGGCCGGCGGGCAAACGAGGTCGTCGAAGGATTTGACTCGCTCGAGCCCTTCGATGCTGTACAACCTATCAAATGCTATCGTGAGTGAGTACTTCCACTCGAATAGTGTGAAACGACGAAAAAAATGAAACCAAAAGAGGCTTGAAGGCAGTCGTCGTTTCTGACAAAATTACACAAACGCACCAAGAATGGCCGATCAACCTGCCTCTGCGAACGCTGCTGACGGCGAAATCGTGGTTGTCGACAAGGCTTATGCAGACAAGCTAGAGCGCAGCATCAAAAAGGACTTGCGCCACTCGGCGAGCTGCGTCTGCACGTACAAGCAAGGTACCAACGGGCTCGCGGTTGTTTCGTCGCGTCCCAAAAGAGATACGTGACGATATGAGGGACAGCCCGTAGTTGAGGCTTTGCTACGTGGCTCTGTGCTGCTGGAAGCGAGGGAAGGGAGGACGGGGAAACACAGCAAAAATAATTTTACGCGCCAAAAGCAAAATCTCCCGCCAAAATTTTTCATTTGTTTCAACGACGAAATGCTTGCGTCGTCCTTGTCCCGACAACCACTCACCTCTACTTGGCCGTGGAACGTCTTTGAACCAGGTTACATCTCACAACCCATCTATGCCTGCAAGACGTGCACGACCGGGCCCGAAGGCAGCGAGCCAACTGTGCTGCCAGCCGCCATCTGCGAATCGTGCGCCGCAGTGTGCCACGAGGGGCACCAGGTCTTCAGCCTGTATGGCAAGCGCGACATTCGCTGCGACTGTGGGAATGAGCGCCAGGCGGCCGGCGGCGGCGTGGGGACGTGCAAGTTTTTCCCGGTCAAGGATGGCGACAATGTTGAGAATGCCTACAATGTCGAGCACAACTACTTTGGCCGATACTGCTGGTGCGACCGAGCAGAAGAAGAGTCGACGCACATGATGATGGTGCAGTGCACGCTTTGCCAAGATTGGTACCACAAGGCCTGCATCGACGAGCGCACCGCCGAGCACGGCGGCATGCCGGATCTCTCGCAGTTTGCCGCGTTTGTGTGCTCGGGCTGCGCAGACAACCACACAATCCTGACTCGCTATCGATCATTGTACCTGCTAGGTGCGTCTGACACCGCAGTCGCCAACTCGGACAAACCGGAGACGGCAGACTGCGGCCTTCCCGCGTCACCCGCCACCAGCGTCGGACTGAAGCTTTGCTTGTTCATGCGGCCAGAGTGGCGACTGCGATTGTGTCGCTGCGCGTCTTGCGTGGACAAGTACGCAGCTGAGAAGATTTCGTTCGTTCTGACCGAACTGGACAATTTCACTGCTGACGGCGAGCACGAAGATGTGACCGAGCAAGACCTCGACGCCGAGGGCACTGATGACGATGACAATGACGGGAACGACGACGATGAGGACGACAATACGCTGGGCCAAATGGTCCAAAATCTCATCCAGACACTTCCACCTGCCGTTCGTACCCAGATCCAGGCGAGTCCTGTGATTCTGGACCGCATGACTCGGGTCCTGACTGAGGAATTGCGGCCGTACGCCGAGTCTGGCGAGGTGGTAACACCGGATGTAAGTGGTAGAAGGCCTTGATTTCGTTGTGAGGTGCTTGTTTTCGCTTCCTTCGCTCATGCCGTTCTGCGCCCCCCCCCCCGTGTTTGTTTGTTTGTTTGCCTCAGGTAATTCATCGCGCTTTCAGTCGCTTGCGAGAAAGAGATTCCGATGAAGGTTTCGCTGCGTCTCTCGCCGCGCGTCGCAAGCCAAGCGATGACGACGAGAGCAGCCGTCCAACCAAGCATGCACGTCTTGGTTAATAATGACAGCTTCTAATAGAAGACCAAAAACCGCAACTTAACAAGTGCATCCTGATGTGATTGTAAATAAAATGTATGCGCGTTGAACAAATTGCCCTTGCCAATTCGAAAACATCAACAACAACAACAACACTTCAAAAATTTGGTCGCTTGTAGTACTGCAAACAAGCGACGACGAAGAACGGGAATAGGGACTTAGTATAGTCTCTTGGCCTTATGTTGCTCCTGCTTGGAGCGGTAAAACACAATGCCGCCCACAATCAAAGCGATGACGGCCAACGAGCCCAAAAAGATGAGAGCGATGCTTCCAAGAGTGCTGCCAATGGTATCGCCATGATCGTCATTCACTCGCTCTGTCAAGAATCGAAGATGTCGGAGGAAAGAGGAAGAAAAAAAAGACAGAATAAGTCACTCGTGCGCATGTGTAATGGTCTCTGCAGGCCGCAAATATCCTTACCGCGCTTGAGTGGTGCCTCAGCGACGAATGGCACCTCGGTTTGCCGCAATTCACGAGTCTCCTGCAAAGGACGCTGCGGCTGCTTGGGTTGACCGTGCAGCTGAGTGAGTTGAGCGGTGATAACGTCGTGTGCATCTATTGGTGGGGTGACAATGATGAGCTTGGCCGAACAAAACGAACAGAAGCAAAAGCATAGAAACGCCGGCTGCGACGCCAGAGAGCAAATCACGTTACCAGCGACATCGCCAGTTGCGGCGGAGAAGCCGAGGTGATAGCCAGAAGGCAAATGAACACCAGACTTGGTGAAGCACTCCTTCCAGCTGCGCTCGTTGTCGATATCGTGGAAGACCTGAAAATGGAGGGACGCGAAAAACAGTGAGCGTGAGCAACATAGACCCACCACCAAGATGGGCAGTGTCCACAATGCCGAAATGAAGCGACACAAACCTGAAGAACATTGTTCAGGTAGGTGACACGGAACCGCGTCGGGTACGGCTTGTTGCGGAACTGAGCCTCGCAACCGGCAAGCTCGGTCAGGGTGCCATCGGCGTCATGGTCGTAGTGAAGAGTGCCATCGCCAATCATGGCCGAAATGTACGGGTGAGCGTGCTGCGCGGCCAAACACATCAACGATTTTTTCGAGTGAGAAAACAACCAGTTACTCGCCCGTGGACCGTGGAATTTGTGTGCTTGTTTTGCATCAAAGACTGAATTACATGGTGGTGGCCGTTGTGGTTGCTGTACGTGTCAAAGAACAGACCCAGGCCAGAGAAAAAGTCGACGCTGCCAAAGACGGGACCAGGAGTCATGGGCTGCTTGGCGTACCAGAACGCCATACCATCGCCGAACAGCTTGCGGCCAGAGCCATGCACCTTGAACTCGACAATCAAGTCCCAATGGTCGAACAGGACGGGCTACATCAGCAAGCGAAGCGGGGGGGGGGGCGTCAGTTACCAGAGTGCAGTTGTGAAACTGTGAAACTGTGAATGATCCAAACGTTACCAAGCGCGACCACAGGTAACCTTGCTTGCTCTGACGATCCGGCGTGAGTCGAATGTACTCGTCCGAGACGACCGAGTGTCCGCCAAACTCCCAGTACGGGATTTCCATGCCAGCGCCTGATGTTGAAGGTTGAAGGAGAGAGAGAGAGTAAGATCACACGAATCAGCCACGATCGCAGCGAAAGAAGAGCGAGAGAGAGGAGGAGGGGGGGGGGCGTACGTGCCCATGAGAACGACTTTACACACACACACACACAAGTCGAGTCGACTGGAGCAAAGAGGCGGTAAAAGCAGGAGAAAATGGCGCGGAAAATCACGAGAACGCGAGATCTCTCATCCAACCCGTCGCCCATCCCGGTGGACTGTGGGAGTGGGACGCTCTAGCAAAGAGCAACAAACCAAAGGGAGAGGCCGTACCGAGGTAGGGGCGGGACAGGGTGAACTGGCGAGCGGGCTCCTGGGCGTGTGCGACGGTCAGCGCAAGGGCGGCGACCGCTAGCGTTGCGAGCCACGACGACGACATGCGAAGCGGCATTTCAAGTATGGAATAAAATAGAATGAACATGACAAAAAGAATAATGTAATAGAAGAGGGGAAAATATACGATTCGCCATTCATGCATACAGGGCAAAAGTTACACTTTTACGAATCAAAACGAAAAACAAAACAAAAACAAAGCAACTTGATCTGGTAATGTGGAGCAAAAGCACGAAGAAAAAAAGCAAAGCTCAAGACGATGGAAGGCGGTGTGTGTGTGTGTGTGTGCGTGTGTGTGTGTGTGTGTGAAGGAGACGGACTGAAACGCTCAGCAGCTGTACACTTCACGCTCAAGCCACTCTTCATAGTTTTCGGTGAACGCAGGGTCCAATTCCACAACTTGCGAGAGGGCCGTCACAATGTCCGTCGAGTCATCCATCAGGGCGAGGTCTTCGAGCACGTACAAGTCGCTGCTCTCCTCGTCGTTCTCTGGGAACATGTCCACGTCGCGAATGGCGCCGCGATCGGGCAGACGGAACCGGAAGTGTCGCCGATTGTAGAGATCAACATTCTCGCGCAGAGTGTTTTCGTCCACCTGTACATTGCAGCGATTTACAAAGTAAGCGATGAAGGCTTGTTGAACAGCCAGATGGGCACAATCCACCGCTCAAAGCGTTGCGCTTACAGGCTGAACACCGCTTTCAAAAGTGTCGTCACCAGCGTAGGCCCAGTCGTCGTTCAGGAAGTGCCGAACTTTATGATAGATGGCAGAAATGATTTTCATATTGCCTGAACGGAAAACAAACACACAAATAAAAAAAAGTTGTTAGAATTCATTCCGCACTTTAAACAAGAACGTTGCGTTCTCAAATTCACTCACTTTGGCGCCACTTGCGTCCCAGCAAGCGGGATTGGGCCTTGAACAGCTTGAGGACGTACAGTTGCAGCAGGTCGCTGTTAATTTTGAGCAGCCGCTTGAGAATATTCTGAAATGAAACAAGTCGCAACTAAGGTGAGGAACTGTTCAGCTGCAAATACATAAACGCAAACGACATACAGGAGCCTTGTAATGAACAAGAACCGTCAGCCGCGCGGGTTTGAGCTTGGTCAGCTTTTGCAGGATGCGAAGAAGATTCACGGTCGAGAAAAAGTTGCGCCACGAATAATAAGGATTGGTCGCAGCCATCGACAGCAAATGCGTCTCTGTGGGCATTTTCAGCAAATGAATCGAGTGTCAGAATGAGGGAGTGGAACAGTACGAGCAGTACTACTGCAATTCGCGTGAGTCGACCACTTACGATACTCCTCGAGCGACTTGTTCAGCGCCGTAGTTTCATCCACTGAAGAGGAGACGGTACGGTTTGTGAAAGTGGTGAATCTGAAGTGTACAACCTCATAGCATTGAGTACAGAGCGACAAGTACTCAGGGTGGCAGACTACGGTCGAATACAAGGCTGTTGGCAAACTCACTCGGCGCAAGGAATATCAGTCTTGGCAATAATGAACTCGGTAATGTTCTGGTTTAAGATCTTCAGCACGAGCAGAATGCACTTGGCATCGACCAGAAGTTGGCTCAGGTGCTCGAATTGGTAGACGTCTAGAACACAGAATCAAGCACAACGAGAGAAAACCATTGAGACAGACGGACGAATTAACATTTCGAGCAGAAACGGAAAAAAAAAACCAGAACGTACGATTGGCACGGAATTGCTTGAGCAATAGCAACAACAGTCCAGTCACTGCCTTCACAATGACTTCCTTGTGGCGATCCAGATCCAATGTTGTGTACATGGATTCGATCATGGACTTTTCGCTCTGGTTATCTACGCTCGTCAAACCAAGAACACACACCCCCCAAAAAAAAAATCAACGAAACAAGCCACACACAAACACACACACAGGCTCAGCTCAGCGCTCCTTACCGTGCAAAATTTCACCCATCAGATTAATAGCACCCTTGTATCCCTTCGCGGCAGGGGCGGAGGCAAGCAAAATCTTGAGCAGGACAACCACGTAGCGACCCATGTTGGGCAGCAACGCGCTGTACAGGTCGTCGACGCTGCCGAGATGTTGCAGGGGTGTCTGGCGCTGAGTGGGCTTGGGGGCGAAAGCAGCGTTGGGAGCAGGTGGCACGACGTGCGTGGTTGGAACGCGGTCGGGCAACTTGGGTGGGGTGGCGGCTGCCGCTGGCAGCGGCGATCCCGACGATGATGATGAAAACTCGGCTGCGGGGGAAGGAGATGGACGGTCGCTCGTGTTGAGGGCTGCGGACAAGAACTGGGAAGCCGCTGGGTGGCCCAGAAGCTCGCGCGCAATGCGTTGGTCTTCCTCGCTCACGACGTCCTGCACATTTTCATCCCCGACGTCCATGTCACTCACGACGCCTTCGCCGTTCGCGTCGCCGCTGCTATTGCTGCGGCTGAATGCCAGAGCGCTGTCGACGTCCAGCTCCAGGTCGTGTAGATGCTGCTGTCGCGCGCGCTCCTTCTCAATCTTGTGGAGAAACACGGCGTACGGCTTGGCCTCCATGGCAATTTGGTGTTCCGCCAGCGACTCGTACAAGTGCTGGCGAAGCACATACAGGCCCTCGTTGATGGGTGGCGGAATGTCCGGGGTGTGCGAGCGCCAAAAGTTGGCGTCGTACCCCGCGCTGCCGAAGGGGGTCGCAGCTGGAATGGTGCTCACACTGGCCGTGCTGGCGACGCTGTCTGTACTTGAGACGCTGGCAAGGGAAACGTCGTCGCCGTCGCCGCGGCTGGCAGCAGACATGGCGTCGACGAGAGAATAATCGAGCTCCTCGTCGGCCTCGTTTGAGAAGCGAGAAACGGCACCACTCGGAGTGTTCGAGTGGCCGTGGTAGCCATAGTACTTTTCGTTGCTGTTGATGACGAACGCCTCCAGATCGAGCTTGCGAGCCTTGACCCGTCGATCGGGCTTTTCGAGCGGGAGGCCGGCTTTGAGGCGACCTTGCCGAGTTCGCTCGGCAACAGCGGTGCTGTCGCCATAGCAAACGAGGACGAGCTTCCAGAGAAGCAGCAACACTTTGCGGATGGGCAAGTGCTCCGTGTGCTCGTCCTCCCCAAACTGCGAAATGCAATTGAAGAGCAATGTGACCATCGTATACGAATGGGCTGCAGGCTTTGGCGAGCCGGACGCGGCGGCAGGCGACGAGGCTGATGCAGAGCCAGGAACACCCACTCCAGGAGGAAGTTGCGTGTAATCGTGGTTGCCGAAATCGTGTTCACCACCAACGCCCAGATGCGGCGACTGTCCGCCCACGGGTTGCGGACGAGACGCGTTGTCGCCGGCATGTGCTTGCGAGTCTGACGGCATGCTGAACGGCGTGAGCAGCTCGGTGACGAGATGCACGCGCTGCTTGTCAGTGCCCACCCGCCGGATCACCTCAACAATAAAATACAGAAGACCGGCAATCAAGCGCAGCTCGCGGTTGTGTTCCAGTGTTGCGCGCGACGCGGGAAGCCCGCCGGCCTGTTGTTGTTGTTGTTGCTGTTGTTGCTGTTGCTGAAAGGTCGCGGGGGTTGGTCCGGCAACCGCTCCGGTTGTGACATTGGTCACGAGGAAGGCATGGGGAGGTGGAGGCGCGTTGTGTGAGTGTGTACCCTGGCGAGGTTGGGTGGTGGCAGATGCGTCGCCGGCGTGATGAGCGCTTGTTGGGGCTGCTTGCGGGACGGCATTGGCTTCAGTGCCATTGGAGGGCTCAGGAGCAGCCACAAGCGCCTTTCTCAGCAAGAGTAGGAGCAAGGGAAGCGCGTCACACTTGTACAACAGGAGAGTGTTGTCGCGAATCGCCTTCATTTGGCGAGCAGGATCGTGAGCGCACTCTCCAAACACACCTTGCGCAATGTACGCAAGCTGCCGGAGTGCAGTCAGACGTGCAGGGAGCGAGGCAACCTCGCAGCGGTCGAGGCAGCCAAAAATGAACGACTCGCGCTTCTTTTCCGACGCCGACAGCCAGCTGGTGCCAAAGTCTCGCTCAAACACCTCCTTGCCTGCTGCAATTTCCTTGTTTTCGGCATACGAGAAGAATTCGCACAGCTCGTGCTCGAACGAATCCGTGTCTGCATATTCAAACAGGAACGGAGGCTCTTGCTCGAGATCGCGCGCAGCGAGTTCGCCCTTCTTGGCCAAGACCGCGAGTCTGAAAAAACAAAAAAAAAAATGTTGGGTGGTACCAAAATGTGAGACGCACGCAAAAAAGTGGACCAAAGCAGCCAACAAGCATTGTTGCAACAGTCGAGTCGAGTAAAGCAGCGCACTCACTTGAGAACCGAGAACGAGTCGATCGCGCCGTCTTCCGTTGCCTTGGGCGGGCCTTCCTGTTGACATCCAAGGTGCATTTTGCAGAGGTGAGTTGGCAGGAGTGGGGAAACAGACAACTGGCTTTGAATTGGTAGTCAATGCAAAGTCAAACAAACTGAAACGAATGAATTTTCAAATAAAAAAGACGGTTGCTTTGTTGTTTGTTTGGATTAAGGTCAAAAGAAGCAGAGGGGCAAGACCACGCCATGAGCACTGCGCAACGACGTGCGATTGTCGCAAATGCAGAGTGCTTTTGCCCAGACGCGCGGTGGGGGTTGTGGGGGTAGGAAGGCAACCGAGAAGAGAGAGAGACAATGGTAAAAAAGCCAGCGAAATCAAAAAAAAAAAAAAAAAAAAAAAAAAGCCAATAGTTCAACTCGCCTCGCCAGTCGGTGCGCGCTCCTCCTTCTTGGAGCCCGGCGGGGGCTTCTCGCCAATCTGGCCAGTCTCGGCAAAGAACCGACGTGGGCCAGCAGCAGCAGCGGCGGCGGCGGCAGCGGCAACCGACAACGACGGTGGTGGTGCCTGATCGTCCTGGTCGCCCATCTCTCAAGCTCGCTCTGCTGCTCGGCTGAGGAAAAGAAGTGGTAAAGACAGAGAAATAGAGGGGGAGTGAACAAGAAAACAAAATAGTAACAAACAGCTACACACCTCGGGATTTCGTCAGCATGAGCCGTTAGATCTTCGATCCAGTGAATCGGATTGACAGTGCAGAACAGTACAATAGCAGAGACTCCGACAAGGGCTACTTGTCTCGGATTGCTGTTTTAGATCCCGTAGAGTTTTTTGCTAGATTGCGGTGAACAGCTGGAGAAGAGGCGATTGATCTCGAACAACGCCAAACCCTTCCAATGCCACCTTCTTCACACAACCCGTTCGCCTTTTGGTTCAAAGCCTCTCTCTAAAATGCTGAGAATTTCCATTTTTCCATTCAATTTCCAGCACTAAACTGGCGAGTCTTGTCGAGGTCACTTCTTGTTCTCCATCCACTATCCAATGCAGTGTGCGATTGTTGATTGTGCAGTGCTGAGCACGGACGCTGCGCGTGGCTTGCTCACCCGCGTCGCCACCGAGCTCCCTCAGCTCGCAGCATTCATTCCACATCCGCACGATCTCCTCCGTGTGCGCAGCGGCGCCGCTCCTGCCCCACGCAGTGCCACTGCCGCTGCTCCAACTGAACGAGCGGCAGCGACTTCTCGCGCCACTACTCCTCCGCCGCCCTCGCCGCTCGTCCACGCCTTTGCAACGCAGACCACTGCCTTCGGTGCGGGCATTTCCCCCATTTAGTTTGCTCTTGCTTTTTGTTGTTGCTCTATTGTTCTGCCTGTTGTTGCGTCCAGATCCGCGTGCGCTGTGTTTTGAGACGGCCATGACGTCGCTTCTGTTTTTCGCACTCAAACGCAGCGGTGCAAAACCTCGCGCTCACGTTGTTCTTGTTCTTGTTGTTGCTGTTGTGAACATCTTCTCCTCGCGCTTCTTAGTCAATCGGCTGCAAGAGGAGCAATCTGCCCTCCGATCGCTGCTGCTCGACCCGCTCTACCGATGCGGTGCCGCTGTTGCGAATCATGCCCAAACCCAGCAGCAGCAACCCGCAACAGCGCTCCCGACGGATGCACGGAGGATTACTGTGCAAAGCTCCTACGAGTCCTCCTCCACCGCTTCTGGTCTGCAGGTGTTGCACGGCGCCTTGACTGCCACGGGGCGATTCTGCGTCCCGCTCGGATCGTCGCAGGAAAAACCTGCCGCCGCTCCTGCACCGATTCTGTCGCCACTGTCTGGATGTTCAAACGGATTCCCATGCGCGGGTCTCCAGCCGAACAGTCCGCAGGCTGCTGCTCTTCCGGCCTGCTCTGGTGCGCTGCCCGCCCCCGACGTCAACTTTGACGACGTGCATCGCCTCCTGCTGCGTGCGTCCATTGTGTTTGAGTACTACCCGATCTGCAACATGGCATGGATTTCCTTCCTGTCTGTTCCAGAACATGAGCAGGATCGCTGCATTGCCATTCAGCTGGTTGCCGCTGCCACAAAGGTAAAAAAAGAAAAAGAAGAACAAGCAATCCTCCACCGCGCATGCATGCCTTTCGTTGTGGATGTCGTGTAGGGCAAGCGATCAATCACTCACGTGTGCGCGGTACCCCCCATGTTTCGCGTCGTGAAATTCATTTGCTACATGACAGACAATTCGCCTTTACGCTATTGCCAGCGGTCACAGCCGACCCAAGGCCATCCTCGCTGCCATCGCTGCCGACGCATCGTCACGCGTGAACGAGAGCTGTCTTGCTGCCCTGGGCTTTGCCTTTGTCAAGCACCCCGCTTGGGGGCTGCCCGCGAGCTTTCCACGCTTCCAGAGTGGCCGTGCCCAGTTTTTGTCGCTCTCGCCGTCCGGCCCGGCCATGCCTCGTGCCCCTCAGGGTGGCGCCTCCCTGCCCTTCCCTGTGCGAAGCAATGAGGGTGCCTTGGTCGAGACTGCCACACGTCTGAATACCTCGATTCTGCGCCAATTCCTTGCCGCCGTCTGTGGAGCGACGCACCGCGAACAGGTCGCGTTTGATTTGGCCGCCTCATTCGGCCTTCCATTTGAGTGGTTCCAGCTCTTGCAGGAGACGTACCAGTGTGAACTGACGCCCTCCCTGAGCGAAGCCACGGGCAATGCGAGCAGACTTGCATCTGCCGCTCCGTCGCAGCTCCGCAGCAAGCAGCCTCAGCCTCCGCACGTAGTCATTCTTGGTGGAGGTGCTGCTGGCCTGTGCGCTGCTGCTGCGCTGCTTGGGCGTCGCGTTGGCGAAACCGGCACCGAGCCAGTCACCCGTGTGCCCTTCGTCGGCTCTACCCCTCCGCGAGTCACCATTCTTGAAGCGGGCGATCGTCTGGGTGGTCGACTGCGCTCGACTAACACCCTGGTAGACCGTCCAGTCTCGGTCGGCGGCGAGTTTTGCCACGGCGACCAAAGCTGTCGCTTCTTCAACTTGATGAAGGCTGAAAAGTGGCAATTCGACCAGCTGTGGCACTACGAGCCCGACCAACCGGCCTTTGCTGGCATCAAGGTTGCGCTGGATGGTGAGCTCCGTCCGTTCGACGACGAGAGCAATCCCCACTATGTCGCAGCGGGCCGCATCTTGGACCACGTTGCCGCGCTTGGCGAAAAGGCCGCCATCCTCGATCTTCCGGACTCTCTGGCCTACAAGAAGCTTTCGGCGGAGGAGCGCACCCGCTGGGCGGAGGAGGTGGGCGAATGGTCCAAGCTCTCTCTGCGGGCGATTGCTCTCAAGTTCAACGCAACCGTTCAAACAGCGCAAATTCTCGATGCGATCAGCACGCAAACGGCGGGTGCGCTCTGGAACACGCATGGCGCGGTGGAGACGGCGCGCGAGGATGCTCATTGGCCGCATGGCCGCGCAAACTACCGGTAAGTATATTCGCTTGGTGTTTGATCAGTAAAAAAGCAAAGCGAGTGACAGACAAATGTACTCAATGATCTTGTCCCCCCCCCCTTGTTCCTTGGACCTTGTCAGGCTCACCGCGACCAATCAGCAACTTGTGGATTCTCTTGTCGGCCATGCACAAGGCGCAACAGTGCGTCTCAACTGCCAGGCGAAGGTGGTTGTGCACGAGGCTCCCGATCGTTTCCGGATCATTGATCAACACGGCGATGAACTCGTTGCCTCGCACGTCATTGTCACCGTTCCGCTCACCGTTCTCCACGACGAGGATGTCGAATTTGTGCCTGCACTGCCGCCAGCGAAGCAGCTGGCTCTGCAGCAGGTTTCCATGAACTCTGCGACCAAAGTGATGATTCGCTTCTCGCGCCGATTCTGGACGCAAGACATTGGCGTCCTCTTTGCACCAGGCATGTTCATCCAGCAAGTGTGGATGAATGTTCCTTCCGCTGCGCCTGCCGCCAACGACGAGCAGGTTGTCATCACTGGCTTTGCGTCCGGATCGATTGCTACTCGTCTGTACCTCATGTCTCCCGACGAGATTGTGGTCGAGTTTTTGCGCCAGTTGGATGCGGTTCTTCGGTCAGGTTTTTTTTGTTTTTTTTGCGGTGTGGTTGTTGTCAACGCGACGCTGGTTTCTGTTTTGCTCACCTCCTCCTTTTTTGCTTTGTGTGTAATGTTTTTGGATTTATTTGGGGTTTGTTACCGTGCTATAGCACACCCACTCTGCCCAATCCTGCCACGACCTACGCGACCGGTGCAGAAGTGTACCATTGGCTAGACCACCCTTTCGTGCGCGGCGCTTACAGCTGCAGCACTGTCGGTGGCGATCGCAGCGGCCGGCAGGCGATTGCGCGACCGATTGGTGACCGCGTTTTCTTTGCCGGCGAAGGCGCTGCTCTTGATGCCACTGCCTGCATTCAGCACGCTATGGAGACTGGTGTGACGGCTGCCGACCAGGCTCTGGCGGCCTTGGCACGCGAACAAGCGACCACGCCTGCATCACGGCTCTAAAAAATTGTTCGTTCTCGTTTTGTGTGGTGTGTCGCGTCGTTGTTTTTGTTTTTTTGGATTTCAGATTATCATTTGCAAGCTTGCCTTGTGCATCCATCCATCCATCAATCAATCAAAAGCAGCATCAGGATCAAAGTTGGCTGTCAAACTCGAATCCCGGCCAAACTGCTGCGCCCAGCTACGAAAGCCTCCCTCGAGGCAGTACACTTGTGCCAGGTGCTTCCGAGCATCCAGGTTCCTTGCGAAATACTTTGCGCAGGAGGGTCCCCGTTGTTGACTGCGAATATACTCGAGCAAGTTGAGCATCTCAGACCAAGAACGAAACAAAACGAAACAAACACAATTGAAATACTAAAATGTTACCTGTACATGCAGTGAAAGATGACCATGTCGTGCTGACCATACTGCTCCACCAGCTCGTCGATGGCCTTGCTGATGGTCGCGGACGGCACATTGACACAGCCTGCAATGTTGCCACCCTACCAATACCAACACGGACCAACGATGTCGGGTTGAACAATAATAATAGTGAGCTGCACTCCCCCGATGACCGCCATCACACAGAAGAGTCGGTTGCTTGCATTCAAATTCAACAAGTTGAAAATCCGCACCTGAAAGTCGTGGTCGCGAACATCGATGACAACAAACCTGTTCAACGGAGGCGAAACAGAAGCGAAACCAAGGTCAGTCTCTCGCATCCGTGGGGCAACCCCCACGCAACTCCCGCGGCCGAACACTGAGTCGAAGGCTCACTTGGGTGTAGGTTCGCCTGCGAGCTTGGGAGCGCGAAGCAAGGCCGCAAGCTCGGCTGCACGCATCACGGAATAGGCCATTCTGGGGTATGCTCAGTCACACAAAGAGCAAGAATTGAATGAAGAGTGGTCAAAACCCATAACATACAGAAAGTACAAAGCACAAGTACATTGATGCAAACTCTATCTGTCAAATGCTACTGTACAAAGGAAGGAGAGATGCGGCGTCGACACAGTCCAAAAAGTAACTGTACTGTATTACAAACGCTAATTCACATCAATCATTTGCAACACGGCGTCAGAAAACAGCAACAAGGAATTGGTCGTGTCACCAAGAGCACCACTTGGGAACACGGCGTTCACGAGCGCAGCTGGCACTAGTGCAGTGTTGGACAGGATCACATCCGAGCTGTCTGCCAACTCGCCAGATTCCAAAAGGCCGTCCCCAGGAGCAGGAGGTGCCGAGTTACTCGATGCACCTGCCGCTTGCGGACGCGGCGAACGCGCACGTAGTGCAGCAAGCGTTGTGGCAGGCAGCGCGAGTTGCATCACTCCTGCGAGCTCGGCGCACTCGGGTTTGAAAAGGCGACGGAGGGCGTTGTACACATCGGCAAGAGACTCCCACGTCTCAAACATCATTTGCACAACCAGGCCATCCATAAACCGGCATCGCACGCACACAAACCGGTACTGACGGCGATTTGCCTGCAGGTCGGCCGCGCGCATCGCTTTGGTGCGCAACATGGATTGCAGCTCGAGCTCTCGCGTGCGCGTTTGCTGCTGCTCCTTGAGTTCTGTGGCAGAAAGCTCGTAGAAGGCTGCTGGCAAGTCAAACTTGTTGGAAACAAAGGTGGCCGATGCTCCAACAGGGAAGAGCTTGACGTTGCGCTCAACCGTCGGGCGTGGAGGCTTGGGCGGCCCGTCGGCGAGGCAGTCCCGGGCGCACTGCAGCAGCTCCAGGGAAGCCGTTGCTGCAAACACAAACAACGGCTCGGGGGCGGCTGTGCTGGGCGCGCCATCCGTTGGCACGACGGCAACCTCCACGACCTCCTGAAACCCGCACGCGACCAGAAACTCACTGGCGCCAGAGAGAGACAGCACCTTTTCGCTTAACGCCTTGTTGCCCTTGCGCATCCGACGGAACTTTGGCTCGCTGGGGTTGTGGAGGATGTTGTCCAAGCATTGCAGCAAGGTTTGCGAGCATGTTTGGAGTCGGGCTGCAGATGTTGCAGCGGCGGCGGCGGACGCGTCCACGGACGCAGCAGCACCAGCACCTGCAGATGGTGTGGACGACGCCCCAGCAGCAGCGCGGTGTGCTTGAATGTGTGGGAAGGGCTGGTACCCGTTGAGCCGGAACAACCGGAAGACGGCGCGAAGCACAGGTGCCTCCTCGCCCTCTGTAAATTGCTCGAGGCACTCCAGGGTATGCGACTGAATCGCATCCGCAGTGTGGACGGCAGAGCAGAGGGAGCAATTGTACTTGAGCTGCTCGGATCCACCGCCAATGGACAAGAACGGCTCTGCGGACGCCGATTCCGACCGCTCCTCCTGCACCAACGGCACACTACTACTACGCCGATTCCGACCGCTCCTCCTGCACCAACGGCACACTACTACTACTGCTGCTGCTGCTGCTAGAGCTGCTCGACGTTGATGACGCTTTGGCGGCTGGCTGTGGCTCGCTGGCCATCGCAGACTGCATCATGCTCATCTTGGGCGTCGGCTTTGCAGGCTGGTTTCTCGCTTGAGCTGCAGCAACGCGCTCCATGGCAGCCTGCCAACAAGGCCAAACAGCAAAACAGCAAAAGCGATCAGCAAGTTCATGAAGTCAGTCAAGATGGCTTTGCGCGGGTTGCTTTGCCGCAGCGTCATCATCAACCCAGTCCCGTCCTCCAAACCCAGACCCCGGGCCTCTATCACACCATCACACTCGCCTTTGCTGCAGCAGATTGCTCCTTTGGCGGCTGGCGAACAGGAGCAGCGGCTGCGGCTGGCTTGGCATCCGGCTTCTTGCCATTGTCCAGCATCGAATGCCCCTTGCCAGAGCCAATGAACTTGATATTGGCAATGAACTTTTTCATTTCATCAATTGCAAAGTGAGACTGTCCTGCACTGAATTGCTGCAACTGTAGATAACTTTGAATCAGCCAAGATTTGATCCGACTTTGCTCTCGACGATTCTCGTTTGTGGGACATCAAAGCATTAAGATCACGAAAAAAAATGTGCACCAACGGAACTACTTGTACTTTAACTTGTGCTAGTCTTTGTTTCATTTGTTTCAGATTTGAATGAGCAGCTGGGGCAAAGGCGGCAGGACGAGCGCTACCAGCAATCTGCTTGGGAGCAGTGGCAGCAGCAGCAGCAGTAATGGCAGCAGCTCCTGGTGAGTTTTTCATTTGCCGTCGCCCGTGCTCTGCCCCTTGTTCTTGTGGTCGCCCTCAGCACGTGTGTTCGTCTGATGCCCGAGCAAGCGCGGGGAGAGAGAGAGAGAGAGAGAGAGAGAGAGCGACAGATCGAAGCTGTTGTCGTGTTCACCCCAGCAACAGCATTGGCCTGCATCCACTCCCCGCCATGATAGGAAGGGGGACTTAATGGGGGGCGGGGTTTACATTGAGTAAGGACCCGCGGTGGGGATTGGGGGCCACTGAGACTCGCATCGACGTCCTCGTGGAAGGGGGGTTCGGTGCGAACGTGGCGTCTCTCTCTCTCTCTCTCCCTCTCTCTCTTGCTGGCATTCATTACAAACCACCAGAACCTCCAGGTCGTATGAACATGGTCACTTGTACTCTGCTTGCCGTCGATGTCTTGTTTTGGTGGTGGGGGTGGTGGGGTGGTGGGGGTGACGAACAGCTCGGCTCTCTCTGTTTCTCAGTTTTCAGCTCTCTGTTTCTCAGTTTTCAGCGAATCCCTCGTCAACCTCAGACCTGTCGCTCAGAAATTCAATCGCTAATGACTCCAACTTTCGCTTCCTCTTTTTTGGTTTTTTTTTTCTTTTGTTAGGAACACCTCGTCCAACCAAACGCCGAGTTGGGCCGCTGCGACTCAGTCGTTTGGCATTGGGATGAACGCCGGCCCCGCACTGTCGCGATCCGTCTCAGTGTCGCAGTCATCGGCCGTCGCATCGATGGTCTCATCCGTACTACCAGAGCGCGTCAAGTACACAATCGCGTGGATTTACTCGCAGCGAGGCGCTCGACTCGTCACCCTCTTGCTCGGACTCCTCTTCCTGGTTTGGCTCATTGCAGAGCTTGCCTCGGGATCGGACCCGCTCACTGCAGACACTGTTGTCGAACCAGGGTAGGGTGCAGCAACCCAAAGTCTTGTCTTGTCGTTCTTGTCGTTTTCTGTCACAAACACATGCTGACGGAAACAATGTGCAGCAATCTTCGGTATGGCATTGTCATTGATGCCGGCAGCAGTGGCTCGCGCGTGTACCTGTACTCTTGGCCTCAAGAACTCAACGAGCAGGGTCTCGTCACGCTTTCCCAGCTCTACGATGAGAATGGCAAACCACTGGTCCGCAAGCAGGAACCTGGGCTGTCGACCTTTGCCAACAACCCCACCGAAGCTTTTGAGAGCATCTTCCCTCTGCTCAAGTTTGCATCACAGTACATTCCCGTGGAGGAGCACGAACGGACTCCTCTCTTTATTTACGGTAAGGGATGGCTTGCCCATTCTTTTGTTCTCTTCCGCTTCGCCATTGGTCACTCAATCGCTGTCCTTCGCCACACCCATTCCCCCCGCAACAATAGCAACTGCCGGGATGCGCCTTTTGCAACCACATCAGAGTGATGCCATCATCCTGGATATCGTGGCGTCCATCCCCAAGCATTTCTCGTTCAATTTCCAACCGAGCAACATGCAAATCATTTCTGGAGCCATGGAAGGTGCGTACAAGCATGCATGCAGTGTGCGGGCTCGATTGTTGTCGTTGTGTTTTCCGACTTGTACCGACTTGTACCGACTTTTCGCGTTCAGGCGTCTACTCGTGGGTGGCTGTAAACTACGCCCTTGGTCGGTTTAGCCGCTCTCACTCGCGTGGAAGCGGACCGACAACAGCGGGCTCGGTCGAGATGGGTGGTGCTTCCATTCAAATTACTTTCGAAGTAGATTCCAAAGAGTCGGTTCCTGAAGAGTACTTGCAAGTCGTCCAAATGGGCGAAGGGCGCGAGTATCGTTTGTATGCGACCACCTTTTTGCGCTACGGCGCGAACGAGGTATATCATTTTTTTTGTTCTTGAAGTGATGCGGTGTTGCGGTGTAGTTGATTCATCATCAAACACTGACATCCCTCTGATTCTTCACAAATAGGCTCGCACACGCTACCTTGAGAAATTGGTACATGGCGAGGCTCGTGACTTGGCGCGAGACGGTATCATTGAAGATCCATGCTTGACTGCCGGGGAGACCGTGAGCATGACGTTGGACTCGCTGCTCTCAAAGTCGTTGCTGTCGCCAGTCATGATGGAGGAGCTTGGTCTCGGCCTTCCTTCGTCCAATGACGTTTCCACGCTTCAGGATGGTGTCACGTTGATTGGCACGGGCCAGTTCCAAGTCTGCAAGGAGCTCCTCGTTCCGCTCTTGAACTTGACCGTTCCCTGTGTGTACGATCGCTGCTCGTTCAATGGAGTCTACCAGCCTGCCGTGTCGAGCGTCGCCGATTGGTTTGGATTTTCCGAGTATTACTACACATCTCACGACGTCTTTAAGGTTTCTGGTCCGTACGACCAGGATGTGTAAGTTGCTTATGAACGTCGAATGCAATGGTGAAACTGCACTGGACTGTGACTGATCGTCTTTCGTCTTTTCTCTCTCTCTCTCTCTCTCTCTCTCTCTCTCTCTCTCTCTCTCTCTCTCTCTCTCTCTCTCTCTCTCTCTCTCTCTCTCTCTCTCTCTCACTCACTCTCTCTCTCACTCTCTCTCTCTCTCTCTCTCTCTCTCTCTCTCTCTCTCTCTCTCTCTCTCTCTCTCTCTCTCTCTCTCTCTCTCTCTCTCTCTCTCTCTCTCTCTCTCTCTCTCTCTCTCTCTCTCTCTCTCTTTCTCCTCATCACAGGTTCCACGATCTTGCCCTGCAGTGGTGCGGATCCAACACCACCGACCTTCATGTTGCTGCGGCTGCTGCCAAGGTCAACCACGATCGCATTTCCACGCAGTGCTTCAAGAGTGCGTGGATGACGACCGTGCTGCACATGGGCCACGGGTTGTCTACGGCGACCAATAATCTTGTCAACACGGAGCGTATTAACAATATCGACGTTGGGTGGACTTTGGGCGTGATTGTTCT